CAGATTAATGTGCATTGCTGGGCAAAATCGAACACGTGGCGGAAGAGACACGCTAACTGGGTCTCTGAACATGTGCGGTGAGCGGCCAGGAGTCCGCGAGTCAGCAACTTTCGCACAAACTTTGTGGTTTTCTCTTGAGGGAAGACTCTGACCGAGTGTCGGCGGAGCTCCAGAGTGGCGGCCACCCTGATGCAATGGTCGCCGGAAAATCAATAACTCAGTGAAACATGCTGGTGTTGAGGGTATGGGCGCGTATAAAAAATAGAAACGAGCATTTATTCTATGCCAACACCGGCAGCAACAGCATGTTTCGTGCAAGGCTGTAAAATAGTGATATTGGTGAAAAAAATTACACTTTTATTGCTCGACAGGGCCCACGTTTCACGAAAAGTCTTTCCGATATCACGCCTTTGTGCGAAGGACCTTTTCAACTCAATGAAAACGACTTGAGGCGTGGTTACTGCTATTAGACAGATTTTATACTACATTAAGAGGGATATAACAAAAAATTATCGTAATTTCGTAATAAATTGCAAAAACGTATTACTGCATTTCCTCGATGTGATGATGTTCACATGAATGACAAGCTTGAAACAATTTGAATATTTGAAATAAAGTTAATATTCATCGGCGCTCTTTCATTTCCTGAACGTCTCAACACAAAGCGCTTTCAGCTGGCTAATTATAATTTTCTCCAAAATCATTTGAATTGGTGGCACCAATGAGGGAATTGGGTGAAAAAATATGAATTTGCCATGTAATTAAAGCTATCTGGACTCTTATCAAGTGCTCCCTATTATAAGACGACGCGAAGAGCCACAAGACATGATTATAAAATTCAATAAATGGAAAAATGCAAGAGGCTATCAAAGATTATCAGCTTGAAGAACCTTCTCTCATAAACAAAATCCATATAATTAAACATTCGAGGGGAATGTTATCGGGTTGTCGGGAGTGCTGAGCTGAGAAAAATCATTTAATTTTAATCTCTATTGAAGCCTCTATTGACTGATAGTGGACGCGTATTTGAGAATATGTATGACATGTTGAATATTTAATTCATGCTGTCACTCTGGGCAAAAGTGCTGAGTGAATTGCCGTGTGTGACATAACAATTCGATGTATTGCGTTTGCCATTTTGACATGTTTTCGATTCTGTGCGACGAATCAGGGATGAGATTTTCCGCGGAGCGAGAAAAATTGGCGGATGCTGCGCAACTGCTGGACCGAATTCTCCGCCCCAAATCTCACCCTTCGCCTGCACCGGGACTTCAGCCTCCCCTCCGGTCTGATCTGTTCACCAATGGCCGTGTGCAATGGAAGTGTGGCGTACATTAGTCATTCGGGCACAATTTCAGCGCTGAGCGATGGAGGAAAAATGTACAAAAGGAGGAAAACTACAAACTGCCTCTTTACAATGTACATATTATATAAAATTGTAATAAGGGGCTATTTCTGGAATGGAATTGATAAGCGATGCGGCCTGGTGGTGGGAAAGAGACAAAGAGCAGCTAGGAGACTAGGCAGTAGGGGAATTTTGTCCAACGTGGCAGGAAATGATTATTAAGAAACGCAAATATATTCAGGTCATATCAGGTCACTTCCAAACCCGCGACTCCTTGTCACAATAATCTACCCATACAATATTGCCTCTTCCTCTCTGCTCTATGGCCAATTCAGGCCCCACTTATGCCCTTGCAATCCACATAACGAGAGGTTACAGTAAAGTCGTCGACGGCGCCGCTAAAAAAAAACCTTTCACGTGTTTGACTCAATTTTCTCCTCTTTTTCATTTCACTTCTTCCTCCTTCCATGATATGTTTAAATAGACACATTTATGCAATCGAGAGAGAGTCCCATACAATCAGCACATGAATCCCTACAGCACATGGTCAGGCAATTTCGTTCAGATTGCACTTTGCCAGATCAATTAGTGCGCTAAGAACAACTCTTGAGCTGCGCTCTTCAGAATGCGGGCAATGGAGCGGCAAATGCCAAATCGCTATAAATAACCAGAGAATCCAAATGAAAACATTTTTAACATTTGCATAAATATCCATTAAATGTCTTCGCGGTGTGATTGCATTCAAATAAAATATTTACATTGAAAGGAAGAGATGAGAAGTGCAAATTGATTGCAGAAGAGCTTAGGAGATTTCATGGTGCTTAGCAATTTAATCCAGATGATCTTTCAGTATAATTTCATTTCAGTTTACTCAAGGTAACTCAAATAATCTCTAGCGTAATTTGCACATCGTGATGCAGAGAAAAATACTCTCATTTCTTCTCATGTCCTGGAGTACATTATTTACCGACTATGTGCTCTGTAATAAAATGAATTTTTACTAACTACAAACATACATAAATTCAGCTGCGCACATGTCGGGTATTAAATCCTCGCGCTGCTCATATAAATGTCACTCTGCACTGTCTCACCAATGAAGAGTCAATTTAAAAGTCTACGAGGACTTTGGAATAACACACCTGGATGAATGGGAGGGAATAAACAAGAATTCAGTATTTTTTAGACCAAAAGATAAACTTCAAATTCACTATATCCACTTTTTTCCCCTTGACGGACTGAGTGACTTCTTGACGGGAGACGACGAGAGCCAACACTCCGATGATCTCTTCCAACTGATAAAAAAGATTTCGAGGAGGAAAGGAAGCCCTTCGAATCTCCGAGGCATTTTTTTTCTCATCTCAGCTTGACACCGAGCAACGTGCCCATGAATGAAGATAAAAATAAAATATAATTTACAGCACGACAGTTGTAATTAATAATACTTGCGGCAACTTCTTTTCTAGACGGCGGAGCGTGGTGATGTTCGGGAGAGGGCAAAAAGCCATCTGAGAGTGCAGTTGGTAAATATTGAACAATTCACTTGATAAAGTGGTCAATTGGGTGTTTGAGAGTATAAATAGTGGGTTTATGTAAAAGAAACTTGTTTACGAGAAAAAAGGTGCTTAGCTAATCGTCAAGGCGCTCGAACGTTCACAATTTGCACTTGAAATTCGAAGTGTAGCGCAATAATTGCGATGTGCATAATTTGAGTCGACTGTGCCTTAAAATCATGTGAAATATGTGCAATTTCCACTTGACACCGAACCTTAAAGTCAAACTTGCGGGGCTATAAATTTCATTTTGGGTTTCCTCTTCCGGTGAAGACTCCATGGGTCGTCGCCGGAGCCGAGGGTTCGCTCCTTTCCCGCCACCGTCGCCACTTTCACCCTGAAAGTAAATTTAATTTAATTACTCCTCCCGAGAGTCTCGCCAGAAAATCCACACGGGGACTCGAGTGGAAGAGGTGAGGCGCTGAAGAAACCACCCACAAGATTTCTTTTTCGCTGTCGCCAGAAGCGACATGGGAGGAGGAAAAGTAATTAAGTGGAAACTGTCTAATTTTCTCAATAACTTCAAATACTCTTCACCGATATTTATATCCATGAGTGAAGGAGAAGTTGAGCGCCAATGAGAGACAATTTGTGAAATGCGAGCTAGAAAATGATGAAAAATCCACTAGCATTTATTGACTGCGCCTTGCAAGAGCGACGAGGAAAAGTTCCTCAGTTCAACGGATGAAAATGAAATCACAACAGAAAACGGCGAAGATTCTCTCTATTGGATCCATTCCAAATTATTCCCGCGCGATGTTTATTTTTATCACACGACATATTGTCTTTTTTATTGTTTCATCTGCCTTTTTTACTCCTCCTATATTTACTCCTTCTCGCCGTTTACATGCTCAGACATCAACCTCTTCCTCAATCTCATCCCCTTCTATATTCCATTCATCTTCAATCCGCATCGCCACGTTTTGGCAGGGAGACAATGGCGAAGAGATTGGCATCAGCAGAGGACTCAGGTGTTGTTGTTTTTTCTTCTTCACCCGGAAGGAAAGATCTCGCCAAAGACACACAAGATCAATAGACAAGGAGGTATTGCCTTAAATGCTCTTCATTGGGCTTTCTTAATGGTTCCTAAAGGTTCTCACCCGCCGTTTCCGGACCATTTAAATTAATCTCGATGGTAATTATCTCATCAATCGCCTTGTGGCCTCGTGCGCGCATTTTCTTGGCGCTGGTGTGACAAACGCATAACTATAGACGCGTATTAGACTCACGCCGCCGTCGTGAAGAAGTTAAGCAACAGTCTCAGAGGAAAAGCGGAGCGGAACGCCGAATAACCAGGACAGAAAATTAGGATATCCGTTCACAGTTTCTCCAGGCTGCAAAGTATTTGAACAATAAATTTTTGGCCTCTAAATAGAATTGATTCACCATATTTTAATGTAGTGACTCTGTTGTGAATGAGTGTAATTTGCTGTCCTGCCAATTTAGGGAGTCTGCACTAAGCCATCTGAAGAAAATACTTCTTTTGCGACTTAAAAATAATACCACACATACGACTCACTCGGAATACTCTCACTTTGGGGCCATTTAATACCGAAGGAGTTCCACGACACGGAATGAGAGTGTGGGACATATTTTTAGAGCCGCTCATCCTCTTTGCTACCCATCAAGTATGTGAATGCCATCCACTTTGCATTGCCATCTTCTCCTAATAGGTTCTCCCTTTCTTAGCAGTCGTCGCGTTTTTTACTGCTCTCTCACTCCTTGTTTTTCACCTCTTCAGCAATTTATCCATTACATGCGTTATATGCACACTATTTTCAACATTCTCGGATTAGTTGAATGCCTGCAGCGTTTCTTCTTCTAATTGAATTGAACTCAACTAGTCTTGTTTACGGTGTTCAATGTAAGGTGCATAAAATATATATATTTTTTACTTATCAACAAGCAAGTATCACAGTTTAATATCTATAAAATCAGGCAAAGCATTTATTTTATTAGAATTTCTCATTTGCTTGGCGTTATTTTCACATCTAAAATATGAATGTTTGAATTCTTCTCTTTTCGTCCATGTGCTGCCACGATGCGTACGCATTCTGAACTTACACAAATTCACAGCGTAAAGAAAAAGAAGAAGAAATTTACCTTAACCTCGAAAGTGTTAATATTTCCCTCACTGTATTTTACTTATTTTCCCAATAAAATATCATTTACTAACTATGTAGTGAACAAAATATGACGAAGAAAAGCTCACCGTACGCAAAGAAAGTGAAGACAACAGAGTTGGTACTGACTAAGACGTTTTTTCAGGCGCAACAAAGAATGGGAGAAAGACAGGAGAGACAGACTGAACAAGACATTCGATAGTCTGGCCAGGAAGTTGCCTCAGTATGATCCAAGCTCACCATTCAGTAAAATTGAGATTCTGCAGAGGACCATCTCCTTCATCGAGGAACTGCAGAAGAAGCAGAAGGACCTGCTTCTCTCAGAATGTGATAAAGTCCTCTTGAGTAAATAATGAAGATTTGTAGAATCAGAATTAGAAATCTAACATCAATTTTATCTGTTTATCTCCAACAGAGGAACGGGAAGAATTTGAGCAGAATATCAATGTGCTGAGGAGTAGAAATAGTCAACTGGCAGAACTTCTTCGACAGGCTGGCATTACAATTCCCAATTTCAAGGCACAGAAGTTTGCAGGAAACCTCTCGGATAAGCAAATTGAGTCGCTTCTAGAGGAGAACAATGCCAATGGGTTGAATGTGAAGCCCGAGAAGCAGAAGAAGTACTCAAACAAACTGTCCTCAGAGCAAATTTCAAAGGTGGTGAAAGAGAATGAGGATAAGGGTCGAAAAAGTGCCAAGAAGTTTTCCAAGACGAAGACAAGTCCTGAGAAAGTGGATAAAAAACCAGCAAGAAGTAAGGTTTCAAAGGCGAAAGAGAAGAATGCTGAGGAAAAACCACCTGTAGCTGTCTCATTAGCAACAACTGCACTTTCTTCGGCACTCGTGAGCTTCACAGAAGGGCAGAAGGCAGCAAAAACCACCACAATTAGTGCAATATCTTCCAAAAATGGTATGTTTTTCTATAAATATGTGTTTTTAGATACCTATTAAGTGATATTTCATTGCATATTTTAGTCACAATCACCCATACGAGTCTCACGAGACCTATTATGGCTACAGGGCTTTTCCTGCCAGTGCCAGTGGTTCAGGCACCAGCGCAGCCACTGCTTATTGTAAATACTGGCCGCGTTCCGGCTCCAATTGCCAAAGTGAATCCGAAGATTGGAAAGAGAAAGGGCAAAGGACGATGGTTACAAATTCAGCCGCATCCAGTTCCGGCGAGAATTCCCTTTGGAAAAATTCCAATTCCAGCACTGAAGAGCAACTTCATCAAGAAGAAAAAGCGCATCATGAGGAAGCGAATTTGTGTGAAAGATGATAAAACACCTGCGAAGAAACGGAAAGTTGGTGTAAAAAGAAAATCAGAGGAGAAAATCGAGAAGATAAGTAAGAAGTCAAAATCGGAGACGACAATGGAAAAAGATAATGGGAAGATTGATTCAAGGAAAACGCCAGAAGATAAAATTGAAGAGGAACAAAAGAGTAGAGACAAAATTGAGAAGACAGTAACTGAAATAATTACTGAACCTCAAGACATCTCGGCTCCTCTGAGTCACTCAGATCTATCCAATGACATATTTGCAAGTCTTCAAGTGCCTTCCGGAGGATCAAATACCGGCTGTTTGTCTCCTACGGCAGCGTTCCTGATGACATTCCCTGTTGTCTCATCGGCTGGCGGCGGAAAGAATCCGGAAACAGTTATGTCTGAGGATTCTCCGGGGAATTCTGGGAATGTAACCAATCAAGCGGTGGAAACAGGCAAGGAAGATCAGGAGGCGGAAAATAGCAGTGTACTTTTGGATAACTTATCATCATTATTCGGAACCAGGGATGACTACACTGGTCTCTATTCGACTGAGAATCTGGAGAAGACTCCTCAAAAGCATTCTGAGAAAATTTCAACGGATTCTGCTGTGGTACCCAATCCTATTCGCATTAGAACAGACATGGGAGCTATTCCACAGAAGACCATGGACACTCAAATACCGACATCCTTCACAGAGACCTTTTCGTCATTTGACTACAGTCTATCGAACAACTGTGGAAGCAAGATCAATTCAAGTGTCTTTCCCAGCTACACCGCAATACCTTTGCTTCCGGAAATGGCTCCCGTCGTGAGCACTACAAATGCCACAAAGTGTGAATTCACGTTCAGCCTGACAAAGACCTCTTCAACTGCTCCTTGTTCATCTTACAAGGCAGACACTCTCTACAATCCCTTCTCTTTTGCCTCAACATCCAGCAGCAATTCGGTGATTAATTCATCCTGTCCACCAGTTCCGCCAATGGACACGAACCTTGGCTTGCCGCTGCCGCTTAACATCTCTTCGTCGATCTACTCCAATGTTCAGGATGATGTTTCCAACAAGACTCAGGGAAGCTTCACATTCTCCTTGACTAACACAACATCAGCACCGAGTTACTATTCAAAATCCTCAACGAATCTCAACATCTCTTTCCCGGGAAATGACTCATACAATACCTACAATCCCTTTTCCTTCAACGATCCCGTGGGGATCAAGCAAACGAGTGACACTAGTACGAATTTCTCCTTCTGCCTAACCAGCAGCACTGGCAAAACTGCTCCCATTTACACATCAACTTCCTCATACAACACCCTGAATCCCTTCTCCATTGATGCCACCTTGCAGACATCTAATTATCGGCAGCAGAACTTTGAAAGTGCCAAAAACTATCAGTTCTACCCGAGTCAAGGGCAGAAGCAGCCCAGCCAGAAACCTCAATCGAATAAGTATCAGCAGAAAGACGCATCGCGGACACAAAATGTTCAGCAACATCAGAAATCTCCTGCGAAGAAGACCCAAAATCAACAGTCAAAGTATCACAATGTCAATTGGATGACCAATTCGGACTACCAAGGAAAGAGCAATGACTTCCACATTCCTCCACCTCTGGATTTCACACACACACCCAATCACGCAGCTTCGACTTTTACATATCCTCCACCTCCGCCTCCGACACTCGGAACCATCGACCTCAAGAGCAAGTCGGATATATTCTTCGCTCATCCTCCCGAAGAGAGCTTCTCGTGGTCCCCTAACAAACTGTCTAATGTCTTGGAACCGCCAGCTATCCATAATTACATGCCTCAAACGGCTTTGCCCACTCTCCATGGGGATCTGGCATTGAGCACAACCACTCCGTCAGCGGTGATTTCGCATGAGCCCCAGAAGGAGAAGAATCCTGTTCAGAACAGTCTTGAAGGCTATCAAGAACAACAGCAGCAGCAACAGCAGCCAGGAAACTTCCTTTCTGTGAGTCAACTTCTCGTGGAACAAAATAAGAAGGGAAAGAAGACAAAGCAGATCAAAAATGTCGATGATACCGCAAGGAAATCAATGAAGCAAGAAAAGAAGCAATTCCACTGCATGAATCCTCCAGGAAATTACTCGGATCAGACGCTCAACTATTCGGATACTGTCAGAGGGAATCAGTACTCAAATATTTACTCTGCTGAGTCTCTCATTGGCTACAACAGCAAGAAGGACAAGGCGAGTGGACAACAAAACTATCATCAGGCATCTCTGGACTTACCTTCGTCAGGAGGAAATCTCTTTCCTGGGATCGAACTCAACAATGACATCAACTACAACAGCAATATTCTCTTCAATCCACCAACGAGCAGCACTTTCGTTCCTCCGCCTCAGAACTGCATGTCAATGTTCCCTGAGAATGATTTCTATGATTACTCAGGCAAGGCGGGAGGACCTTCGAAATCTGGACAGCAACAGAATGCCTACTATTTCAACAAGTCCCATCAAAATGGTCTGCCGCCGATGGACTATACTGCCCACAAAGGTGACGCTAAGGCTACAAATTCACCATCTTTTCTGGGAAATAAGTTCAACAACGTCCAATCGACGTCCGTGGTGAAGACCAAAAAGACGCCAAGTGCCAAGATACCTGACTTCTATCCACCACCTCCTCCGCCGCCGTCAATCCACCCAAACATCGGCAACTACGACTCTTCGGTGCCGTCCTCAAATTACTTCTCCGTGCCACTGGGCGTGAATTCTCCCCATTTGCCGCCTGCCGAAGAACCATTTCACCTGCATTTGAACTACTCAAATACCCTGAAAACTCTGGCGCCCAGCAATTCGTCGCTGTACTTACCGGAGGGTTCGAATGTATCTAATCCCAGCAACTCCTTGACAAATTTCCACCTCAGTTCCATATGTCCTGAGATCAATGACAAAGTGAGACAACAGAATTGGTAAGATAAATAATTCCTATTCTCTATGCAAAATTAAGAAGAGGTTTTGGTAATGTTTAAACAACCTTTTCTTCCCAATACCCAAATCTGTTCTTGATGTAAATATCCACTGTCCTAAATCCCTACTAAGATCCCTTTGTTAGGAGAAATAAACATAATTTTTATTTAATAGAAAAAAAATGTATAAAAACTACATTAATCGACTGGACTGGAAATGATAATAAGTATTTCACTACAACCTGAGATACATTTTGATGCCACTTCGCAATATTCTCCCAATTCTCATATTCAACATTACAAGAATGGATTTTGAATCTTCCAGTTTGGATCTAGTTTAACGCCGTTGCAGGACCAAGAAATGGGAATGAAGAAATTCCGCGTTGTGTCCTCATATTCGCAGTTTCGTCTGGCATAGCTCTCCATCGTGTACAAGCTGTAATTGATGCCGTTGCCGATGAACAGTGCGAGCCACATGAGTATGTTCCCGAAGGCCTTTGGGTACTTCTGGCCAACAATCATGAGAATAGTGCCAAGGCCGGCGAATGAGATAAACAGGACGGGGTAGAAAAATCTGAAGGCAAAGATGAGAGCGATTTCGTGGAAAATTGCAGAAATCACAAAGACTGCAGTTGTGGCGGCGGCTCTGTTTCCTCTGAACACATTCTCGTAGAGGTCTTTGTAGATGTATGTGTACAGCCAATCGTGCACCACTACGTTCCACTTCCTGTAGTACATGGAGAAGGATGTGGAGTTCCACCAGTCTTGGTAGAACATGCGATCGCCGAAGCGCAGGAGCTCGGCTGCGCCGTTGAGCCAGGCGTGGAGGAGGCAGTAGAAGCCCAGAATGAAGATGATGGCGCTGGGCATCATGGAGCCAAATATGGAGAGCACCAGCTTGCTGAGTTCGACTTCCGACTCGCCGAATTGGTTGAAATTAGGCAGAAGATGGCGCTCAAAGATGAAGCTCAGGAACAGAATCACGCCGAAGACGTCCAAGAAGTGGAAGAAAGCCACTCTCCAGCGGATCTCTTTAGTTCTCGGGTAAGAGTCACGATAGACGAGTGTTGGGCAGAACAAGAAGTACTGGAAAGTCTTGAAGGAGGGAAGAACTGACGGTGCGTCCTTCAGATCCTCATCACTCTTGACTTTCCCAGTGAGAACTTTAGGAGCATTCGATCTCACAAAGGCATGAGCTTTCATCGTGAAGCGACACTGAAAGGGAAAAAAATTAGATATTTTGGATAAGAGAAATAATCAGTTTCTCACCATTTCCAGAAGAGCCGCCAAGGATGAGGCTTGAGGAAGGTCAAAATAGAGCACACCTCGAATGGAGAGAGTCACAAAGAGCGTTAAGTATCCGCTGAATCCTACCACAGAAGCATAGTTCCAGATCTTCTGGAGCTGGACATTCGTCTTGAGTTTGTTATGGCCAAGAGCCCAGAATTTGAAGAAGAAATACAACGCTGAAGTTGCGGTCTGCATTCCAGACCAAACTACCAGAGCTAGATGGAATCTGCCAAAGCCCACCTTAATAGGTGAGAGTCCTAAGTTGATCCTGTGAGAATAATTTCCCGTTAAAGTCTAAATAGTTCTATTTTTTAGTAATAAGATTCTTTTACCTTCCCTCAGCCACCAAATCGCCCACAACGGTGTTGAGGAACATGATAATCATGCATACGACGAAGAGATTATAGATCGTCTTGATGTGTTTTACCTCGAATAGGTCCGTGAGTAGAGAATTCCTAGCCATGAACTCCTTCTCTGGCAGCAAATTAGTCTGCTCCGTTTGCTTCCGGTTGGACATGAGCTTCTCATCCCTGAACAGATTCCGCAGTTCCGTGTTGTTTAAATCGAACCTCTTCATTTCGTTTATCAGCTGTTCACCCATGATGCCCAATCGGCGATCCACATCGCGACTAATCTCACTCTGGAGAATCTGTGATGGAAGCGTGTTCGTGGGACAAATTGCGTTGCACGACAACAATAGCACGCCAAATCGATAAATGAACGGATTATTGGTGAACACTATGTAGTTAATAACGAGACAGTCGAAGGCAATGGCATACCTCAATACGTTCTTGAACACGCTTCAGAGCCATTTCCCGGAGGACGTCATCGGTGGAGTCCTTGAAAAGGCGTCTATTTCTGGGAAATCCATCACTCTCCGCCGTGGAGTCACTCCCTGCGGCTGCCGCAGTAGACACCGATGGATTACGCCCCTCTTTGTGGAATCTGCAGCCGGAGGAGGCACACGAGAGATGGTGAGTGGGACTTTTCCATGCTAAGTTCAATCTAATTAAACTCTAATGAGGCAAAAAGACTCACCCGTTCATGTCGAAGCTCCAAATGAGAGTGATGAGTCGGGCTGTGAGGCGAGTGATTATATGTCTGCACCGCTCTCAATTGATAAGATTAACCGTTTCAGGCTATAGAGTTAACATGTACTGGAAGCATTTGGAGAATGTTGATAAAAAAGCCCTGACTCTCAGTCTCTCAATAGCTCGAGTTTTCCCTCTCACAGTCACTTGTGGCATTATCATCGTGTGTCTAAGCGCGAAGTGGCGGGATTTTTCTAAAAGGAAGAGTTGAGCGCTGAATTTTAATCAACAAAGCGATGTACTTTGCCCACATGCGTTGAATGTACTCGGCATGAGAGCACAACAAGACCATCTGAGTGCTTTGTGACGACTTGTTGAGATAGATTATGGACTTCTCTGGAGACTCTCTCAGCGGAGACACTTTCCACCCGCCGTAATTGCCACCCACTTGGCCAGGGGACTAAGTGTGGGATCCCTTGATGGATGGCGAGTGCTGAAAGTGAACTTCTTGAAGGCAATTTCTTCATTGGAACATGCCACTCAGTGCTAGGATATCAATTCAATCAACAATCGATTAGTGGCTGGAAAAGTGTTACTCTGAAGCAGAGGATCTCCTTTCAATTGAAAATACCTTGAGGATTGAATTTCCATTAGTGGTGTTTATTGATTGAAGGACATTGTGGCAATATGAATATTTTATTATGATTATTTTTTCCCGTCTGTAAGTTTTTCTAATGGGCAAAAGGTCAGTGGAAAACTACATTCTTCCATGACATGAAAGCTCAATACATTTTTTATCTTTGTATCTAGAAATTATCAGATATTGTTTAAAGATTTTTCCGAATATCATAGTTATCCTTGAAAACAAAAATGCATTCAGTGAAATGTAAAACAGAACGATAATTACTGTGGAAATTATCTGTAAGCTTCTGAAATCGGTCTTGGGTGAGAAAATCTAATGGAGTGAGTTTAAGGAATGTTTCTTGTCACTGGGAAAGTGATAAGACCGATATGATTCTTGCAGTGGAATAATATAAAGGCAACATTGTAAATCGTGCAATAATCAAATGTTTATATAAGTGGTTATAACTGTTTATCTATTGTTGTAGAATCCACTTGCATTTGAGAGTTGTCAAGTGATTCAATAATAAATACATTTTAATTTCATCATTATATGCCATGAATTAGAGAATTGCCAGCTTGTTTTTAGGTCTAGAACTGCTAAGAGAGTAATTGTCCGGCCATAAAGCTTAAATCATTTGTTGTGAGCCTAATTAGCGTAAACAATTTAATTCTGGCAATCTCAAAAACACGTTTTATTAGATTCTCGATCAACAAGTTTATTTTTTTTTAACTCTAAATACTATAATGAAGCCACATGGGAAATTTCCCTAGTAAAATTGATATATTTTCTGAGTTCAGTCAATAGTTTCATCACAATTTTGAGGGGAAATATTTCTGCACGTGATGAAATCATAGTAGCAGCATCGCGAAATTATGTGACTCAATCGGCTCAAATGAATTTTCATGATTGTCGGGTATCCGAAGTAAATTATTTTGTTATTTCTCTGCGGATCTCCTCCGGCGCGCGTTCTCTTGTTGCCATGCCGAGGCAGTTAATTCTGCTCCAATTTTCAAATTGGCATCGCCTGTAAGTGGGCAGATGGGTGAGTCGGAGAGCGCGAGAGAGAATTTGGCGCTAGGGAGCTTAGACAAATCTCTGCGCTCGCTCGGAGAAACAGCTGATGATAACCGCTCTTTCGTCTGGCCGAAAGCCGGCTCTATCGCCAGAGATATGCTTATGCAATGCCTTCGATCGGGCCAATAATGCCAATTACACACACAAGCCAGCAATTCGCGATATGACAGTGGAGAGGGTGACGCACGAGCGGGAATCGCGAGAGAGAGAGAATCCGCGTTGTACCTTGAACTAGAGAGAGAGTGAAGTTGAATGAATCTGTGCCAGTTGGAGTCAGTTGCGAAAAGAACTGGAACCCGAGTGGAGGCTCCAACTGGTCTTTGTTCTCGCCACTTTAGACGCCAGAAACTTACAAAGCGGGATTAAGTGAAATTTCGCGCTCTTCCGTGATCGTCCTTTGCCAGTTCATTACCTCGCTATAGAAAACCAATTGACCATTGCCAGTGATAATTGTGCAAAGTAAACGAAAAGAAACTCGCGTAAAATTATTTCAAGTGCTGTTTTTTTTAGCTGAAATTGTCAAACAAATTATACAGTGTGCCATTGTGCTTGCGTGAGTCGGACAAAAACGTTGCAAATTGACGTGATTTGTGTTATTTTCTGGATTTTATCGATAAAACTGACAATCTATAGAGATAAGAAATTGTTCTGTGATTCGAATATTTATTGTTAATCCAAAGATTATGCTGAAGAGGAATTGCATTTGACTGGGAGATTTCAGCTGAGATTAATCTCCGTCAAAACAAAAAATAAATATCAACAGTTGATAAAAAAAAGAAACATTACCAAAGACCACAGATTAAAGATGTAAGTTTAACATTTTTGCAACAGCAATCAATCATTCACTAATTCAGTGATTATACAATGAACTAATGCAATAGTTTCTTGATCATATACACGAGGCAGTTAGATAACACATGAGCGGATATTGATGGCGCATGGGAGCTATTATTATTACAAATAGATACAATAAAATCATTCTATCAAGCCACACAAATTGTCTCTTTATCATGTGGATTTCCCACTAAATTTTCTGTCCCTGGATAAAAATCAAGATAAAAATTGATTGCTAATTTCTTTTGGGGGGAAACCGAAAAAGCCTCTAACAAGCATCGTATGAAGATCATAAAAGGCTCTCTTTCAAGTACCCCAATTGACCGATATTTAGCAAAAGCCTTCGAATTGGCGAGGTGATGCTGATAAGAATAAGAAAAGATGACGCGAAAAACGCGGTTGCAATCATTAACCTCTGTCTAAGAGACATTAATCACGGCAGTGCTGGTCAGAAAATCTTGCCGAAATCCAGAAACAGTTGTAAAGAGCGATGATTTTGATAGCTCTTGGTGTTTTCGTGCTTATCAATTAGTTTAATAGACCACTATCAAGGTTTCCCTAATTATCTTAATCGTAATTTCAGTATTTTAAAAAATACCCAACGCTTCAAGGATCAGCAAGTGTTGCACGTAAAATATTCAATTAAGTTTTTGCTAAATTCTTCCCTTACAATGCAGATATAAAAGTAACGAAGTTGTGTAGTATTGCGGAATCCACGTGTAAAGAATAAATATAAATTATTCTGTATATAAAATGCTAAAATGGTGACAGTCATGCAAGAAAACAAAGTTTATGATGAATCGAAGAACTTCAGAGCTTCGCAAAAAACCTGTTTCACAGTTTATTTGTTCATCTTGTTTAAATAAGAACAGAACTTTTTCATTTCACATTCTTACTAGTTTATCCCAAAGATAATTAGCTATTATTTGTTATATAGCATGTCATTTGGTATTTGCTTAAAAAAAAACCACCAAAAACATACAATTCACCACCTGTAAATTAATGTATAAATTAGGAAAAAATTGAAACTTCTATCTGAATTAATTCCCATCAAAGTTTGTTGGCAATAAATAGTAATTTATACATCAAGCAGGAAAATTCTTTCCGAAAATGTGCGCAAGAGATCGAAAGAAAATTATTTTCAATTGAAAATTCCATTCTAAACAATTTATGACAATTTCGAGCGATGGAAATTTTTCTCTGTTCATTTTCTTAAACAACAACTTTATCAGTGTTTGAATCTCTTTTCCATCAATTCTCCAAAGTCTCATAAATCACCCAGAAGCGTTAGAATTCCTTGGCAGAATCACATGTTCTAATTGAAGCAAGAATTGAAGTCAAGTAGAACTCCTTCAAATCTAATCATAACACTTTGCTTTACAATTAGTTTCCCACTTTTCGTATCATGTTCTATGTTTTCTCTTTTTGCAGGAACAATGAAAATGAGCTCATGCTCAATTCACATGAGAAAAAGTCTCGCGAAATCACACTACTCAAATCCAACCAGTCGATCTTTGGTCCGGATAAAGCGATTAAAATTGTTAGTTCAAAATCTCAATTGAGCGATGGAGCCAGAATTTACAAGAGTCCCAATGAGAGACGCGGAGTTATTCACCAGGTAAGAATGGCAAATTCAAGAACATTTCCTCACAGCATAAATTGCATCATTGCTAACTTCTTCACTGATTTGTGTGTGACTTGCTAACTGTGCCACAAACATTTTGGGAGGAGAGAAAAACCCCAGAAATCTTCTCAAAGTCGGTCACTAATTTGTGTTAATTTGCCTCAATTGAACTGCGACATGAGGAGTATCACTGATGGACAAATGAGGAGAAATTGATTCCAACGCAGATTCCAATTCGCGATCGATTGGTTATTACATAATTTGGCAATAGAAGGAATTTCTTCTCGCTCTGAGGTGTAACACTTTGTCCTTCTCTCTCAGCTCCTCGTCACCGGCGCCGTGCTGATCTTGACGGCTGCCTGCGGAATGCCCATCGGCTACTCGGCAGTGCTCCTGCCACAACTGTCCGGCAACACGACAGATCCTCTGAGGCTGGATGTGACGATGGGCTCTTGGATTGCCAGCATTCACAGCGCTGCCACGCCAGTCGGCTCCTTCGCGTCGGGACCCATCATGGATATCCTCGGCAGGAAGACGGCGCTGCTCATTTCCATTCTGCCTCTGGTTGGCGGTTGGACTTGCATCGCTTTGGCTCAGTCTCATCTGTTGCTCCTCATCGGACGCGTGGTTTGCGGAGTCGCCGTGGGACTCATCAGTGCTCCTGTTCAGGTGAGTGTCTTTCGCATCCCAATAAAACCAGTAGTAGTAATCTAGATAATCACATTGGCTTAAGAGTGTGTGCAAGTGAGATTTTACCGTTTCTTTTGCTCCGAGGTTGATAATAAATATTGCTCAATTCAAAGATAATGTAAATAGGAAAATTATGCCAACAGATAATAAGAATAAAAAATGAAGTTATTTCGAGGTCTCTTCAGACTATAATTTATAACAATCTCAGCAGATGATAAAAAAATTGCAGTGTTATTGCATGTCATAAAAGAAAAATCCCTTGTAAAAAAACACTAGGCATCAAGGCATTGAAGAAATCTCTCTTTTCCAGGTGTACATCGCAGAAATAGCGGAGCCGAGACTGCGAGGAGTGCTGATTGGGGCGCCGTTTGTGGCCTATTCCGTGGGCATTCTGTTCATTTACGGCTTAGGCGCTGCCCTTCATTGGCGAGCTGTAGCATGGTGTGCCATAATTTTGCCCACAATCTCCTTCTTGGCCGTTATCTTCGCCCCTGAGACTCCGACGTGGCTCATCCGACACAACCTCACGGCCAAGGCCTCGGCGGCACTGTCCTTCCTCAGAGGCGATGACGAGAAAGGAAAGCGCGAGCTGCAGCAGCTCACCATGAGATATGAGCGCGAGAAAGCCCTCATGACGGCGTCCAGTGAGAGATTCGTCAACATCCTCAAGCGGAAGTCCGTGATGAAGCCATTAATTATCATCAACACATTCAACATGATCCAGGTGATTTCGGGCGTGTATCTGGTCATCTTCTACGCAGTCGATATAATCAAGGAGTTCGGCGGAGACACTTTGACGCCAACCATGGCGGCGGTGTTCACGGCGGTCGTACGCCTCATTTCCACCATCATCTACTGCTTCCTGCTCATGTACACATCACGCCGCATGATGAGCATTTTATCTGGCTTGGGAACTGGCATTGCCGCCACGTCTCTGGCCATCATCTTCTACGTCCATCCTGAGAACATGGGTGGTGGTTTGAGAGTTCTCTGTGCCGTATTTCTGGTAATCTACATCGGCTGCAGCACCGGATACATGGTCCTACCTGGGATAATGGTGGGGGAATTGCTGCCCGCGAGGATTAGAGGACAAGTGGCGGGCTACATCTTCTGCCTGTTCAACCTTGGCCTGTTTATTCTAGCCAAGGGCTACCCATACGTGAAGGACGATATGAAGACAAGTGGACTGTTTCTTATGTTTGGAGTTTCTTCATTGGTTGGCGTGATCCTGCTCTACATAGTTTTCCCTGAGACCAAAGGCAAAACCCTGGGCGCCATTGAGGATTACTTCATGGAGAATCCTTGGATGTGGTCGAGGAGAAAAAGTGCAGTGAACCGTCGCGATATGACAAGATCTTAGATAGATTCCAATCTCTTACCAACAAAGTACTTAACATTCCAAAATTAGGCGAGCTAGTGATTGTTGTTAGATAGAAATTATTTGTTTATATAGTGTATTTCAGCCCGTTTTAGAAAAATCACAACAAATTTGTAGTGTTTTATGGAAAAATACGCGCACAAGACAAGATTCTCGCAAGAACTACTTGTTGACCTTTATACTGAGGTACATCTTACCCTGGATGGTCTGCTTCACGGGATTAATCTTCTTCAGGATCTGCGTCATGGTCTCCACTAAGCGATCGCTGGACACGCCCGTCTTCTTGTTCTTGAACTTGGTCAGCAACTCAATGGTCGTCATTGGCTTGCGCATCAAATACCGTCGCACATCCTCCTCGGTGATGCCACAATCCTCCTTGTTGGAAGCCACAACACCGGCAAATGTGGCCGGCAGGGAAGGAGTATCGAGCTTCGGCTTCTTTCCAGGTGTATTCACAGGACTGCTGCAGCTGTTTTCCGGTGTGGACAAGTCGGAAGGCAACGAAGAGGCCTTCCTCTTGTTCGACTCTGCCTGGGCGCTATTGCGTGAGGCCTTGGAAGAGCTGGATTGATCCTTATCCTTGTTTTTCTTGGCGGATTTCTTCGCTGCTTCATCGTCAGAATCACTGCTATCGCTGCTCGTCTCTGAACTTGACTCCTTCTTGTCGTCCTTGGAGCGTTTCTTCAGCTTCTTCTTCCTGGCATCTTTGCCATCCTTTCCGCCCTTTTCCTTGGACTTCTTCTCATCCTCCTCCTTGTCTGACTCCTCACCAGACTTCTTCTCCTCATTCTCAGACTCCTCTTCTGATGTGAGCAGCTTTCTCAGCGCGTCCTCCTCAGCTACACCCTTCATGTCCTTGTCAATCTTACCCTCATGGTCAGAATCACTGTCTGAAGAGTCCGAAATGTAGTCCAATTCTCTTCCCTCTTCGTCACCATCGTCTGACTCCTCGAAGGCCTCATCATCCACGTCTTTCTTCTTCTTCTTTTTCTTCTGCAGTTCCTCCTTTTTGCCCTTCTTCTTGGCATTCTTCTCCTTGTCGCTATCCTCTTCTTTCTCCTTCTTCTCCTCCGAGGAATCAGAATCACTCTCGTCAGATGAATCTATCCACTCGTCCATGTCGCTGATCTTGAGATCCTTGCCCTTCTTCCTGTTGGCTTTCTTCTCCTCGGGATCTTCCCCTTCATCGTCGTCCCCCTTCAGTCTCTTTCGCAACATCAGCGAGAAGAAATTCATCACCTTTTTCCTTCTTCCAAACTCCTGTTCAGCCTCCTCGGCTGAAAGAGCCTTGTACCGCTGAATGGGTTGGAAATTGTACCACTCATGCAGCGGATATGCTTCAATGGCCTTGTCCGGGGCGTGTGTGAACACGTAGAAGGCAGCATTCTCACCAACGCCTCCCTCTCGAATGCCCTTAAACTTCTTTCCGGACTTGTCCACTTTGAGGATCCATGGCTGCGCCTCAGGCTTGTACTTCTTCGAAATTATGCCAAACTTCTTGCGCCGCACCTCCTCCTTCAGCTCCCGATTGTATTCTGAGCCCGCTCCGAACTTTGGCAAATCCTCATCGATGCCACGGAAGTCCTTGGCGTTGTTCTCTCGCTCCATCTTCACCATCTTCCACTGTGCGAAGTCTACATTGAGTGTGGCATTGAATCGCATCACATGGTGCTTCTTCTTCATGTTCTTGGGCACTCGGATCACAAACTCTTGGACATTTGCCACGGGGTTGGTGGCGGATGACGAGCTCCCTGAAGAACTCTGCAAAGTAGAGTAACCAGCGTTCGGTCAGTGATACCTAAATAATTTCATCGGAATATTGTGCAGCTTACCGTTGCGGAATTCATGGCACACTGTATTGTGCTGGAATTGAAATAAATTCACTAAAATAACGTGGTGAAATCGCGATTCACTCACAGTTGCACAGCATTTTGGGAAAAATACCAAAGTGCCATTTCTTCGATGAAAAATCGACGAGTACTCTTTTGCTCAGCGGGAGACCTCTAGCGGAATTTTTTGGACATAAAGATGACATCGCGCCGCTAACCTCTAAATTCATGCTTTTCTTGTGACAAATTGTGAAATTTTCCCAGCAAAAATAGTGGAAAACCCCCAGAAATACACAATGGATTTCCTCGAGATGAGTGATATTCAGGCGGAGATTAAGGGATGCATGGTGAGTAACTGAATTTAAAAGTGTGCACCGAAGAAATTGTGTGCTTTTGGCGGAAGCGTCTCACCTATAATTGTTTCCATGTCTTCCCCGAAGACTCCCGGCCGCTTGAAAATGACGGACCAGAGTATCATCTTTAAGAACAACAAAACCGGCAAGGTGGAGCAAGTGAATGCTGCCGATATGGACTTTGTGAACTTTCAGAGATTCGTGGGAACGTACGGAATAAGAATCTTCATGAAAAACGGCACTCTGCATAGATTCAGTGGCTTCAAAGAGGGCGATCAGGAGAAGATTGCCAACTTCTTCAAGACCAACTACAAGAAGGAGATGTTGGAGAAGGAGCTGTCCCTGAGAGGCTGGAACTGGGGTACCGTTCACTTCACCGGTTCAGTATTAAGTTTCGACGTGGAGAAGAAGACAAGCTTTGAAATCCCACTCAATCACGTTTCGCAGTGCAACACGGGAAAGAATGAGGTGACGCTGGAGTTTCACCAAAACGACGATGCCCCGGTGAGCCTTATGGAGATGCGATATCACATTCCCACAACTGAATCCAGCGATATCGATCCTGTGGACAGTTTCTACCAGAATGTCATCAATAAGGCATCCGTGATCTCAGTGTCTGGCGATGCTATTGCCATTTTCCGCGAGATTCACTGTCTCACACCTCGTGGTCGGTACGACATAAAGATCTTCCAGACATTCTTTCAACTCCACGGCAAGACGTTCGACTACAAAATTCCCATGTCAACCGTCTTGAGGCTCTTCTTGCTGCCTCACAAGGACAACCGGCAGATGTTCTTTGTGTTGTCTCTGGATCCGCCCATCAAGCAGGGCCAGACGAGGTATCACTACCTCGTGCTGCTCTTCCAGATGGAGGAGGAAACCAGCATCGAGCTGCCGTTCTCCGAGGAGGATCTCAAGAACAAGTACGAGAATAAGCTGACGAAAGACCTCTCCGGTCCAGTGTATGAAGTGATGGGAAAAATCATGAAGGTCTTGATCAATCGCAAACTCACCGGTCCAGGATCATTTGTCGGCCACTCTGGAACGCCTGCCATCAGTTGCTCCTTCAAGGCAGCCGCGGGTTATCTGTATCCTCTAGAGCGAGGCTTTATCTATGTCCACAAACCGCCCATTCACATCCGCTTCGAGGAGATCTCGTCGGTGAACTTTGCCCGCAGTGGAGGCTCCACCAGGAGTTTCGATTTTGAGATTGAGCTCAAGTCTGGCACTCAGCACACGTTCAGCAGCATCGAGAAGGAGGAATACAACAAACTCTTTGAGTTTATCGTCGCGAAAAAGATCCACGTGAAGAATACCAACAAGAATGACAAGAACACATACAAGGATGACTTCAGTGATTCGGATAATGAGAATGAACCGGATGCGTATCTGGCCAGAGTGAAGGCGGAGGCCAAAGAGCGCGATGAGGACGATGACGAGAGCGGGTCGGGTGAGGAGTCCACGGATGAGGACTTCAATCCAGTGGAGCCAGAATCTGACGTGGCTGAAGAGTACGACAGCAATGCGGAGTCGGATTCATCGGACGACTCAGAGGCAGGATCTGATGATGCGGAGAAGAGTAAGAAGAAAAAGAAGAAGGAAAAAGAGAAGAAGCGCGAGAAGAAGTCCTCCAGTTCGTCTTCGAAGCCCAGGAAGAAGAAGGAGCGCGATGATGGGAAACCCAAGAGACCCACGACGGCGTACATGCTGTGGCTGAACGACAATCGTGAGAAGATTAAGAAGGAGAATCCAGGAATCAAGGTGACAGAGATTGCCAAGAAGGGAGGAGAAATGTGGAATGCACTCAAGGATAAATCGGTGAGAAAATCCTCAATTTCTATAGTAAATGAATACCTTTCTTAAGAGATTTCTTTCGTCTGTGTTGTTTCAGGTGTGGGAGGAGAAGGCTAACAAGGAGAAGGAGAAGTACAATGAAGCGATGAAGAACTACAAGGCCGAGGGTGGCTCAAAGGCAAAGAAGGAGGGCGGAGACAAGGGTAGCAAGCGCAAGAAGGAAGCGTCGCCCAAGAAGGGCACCAGTATGACAGGAAGTGGCTTCAAGAGCAAGGAGTACATCTCCGAAGAGGACTCGACCAGTGCATCTGATGAGGACAAGGGAAAGAAGAAGTCGAAGAAGGAGGACAAGGACGAGAAGGAATCATCGGAGAATGAGAGTTCAGGTGGTGAGGAGAGTGATTAAGTTCACATAATTCTTTGATATTTGCCTATTGATGTATGAAGTAAAATAAATTTCTAAATAAAGCGCAAATGTGCAGAGGATATTATCTATTCCTCATCGAAAGGATGGAAAGTGTATGGAATGAATTGGTTCTGCACGGAGGAATGCTTGAATTTAGCGCCCTAAAGTCGCACAGCAGATGTCGCTGATGTCCCCCATATAGTCCCGAAGCCCATAGAAGATAACATTTTGTTCGAGCACTCTTGTTTTTTGTACTGACCTATGCAAAAGTAATGATGTGGAAAAATTGTAAAAAATAAATAAAAATTCTCCTCCGAAGAAATAATTATGATGTTTGCGAGTTTTCTTAACAAATTTCTGCATTTTCTGCCTCCAAGGGACCGATGGGGTGGAATGTCCGTGGCGAGGTGGCGCCACTGAGCGGCGTCTGAACGTGTGTTCGGCGTGCCGATTGGCCAGCATCGAGAGACTTTCTTCATACACGGCACGACGACGGAAATCGCCTTGTACTGTTCACTTGACTCCGTGGTGCAGGAAATTTGTGGTGTGTTTTTCGTGAATTAATATCGGCGGAAAATTATTCTGGTGAGTGAAAATTCCCCTTCCACAAATCAATTTTGAATACCTGTAGTACTTTTTTGTTGAAATTCCAACAAAATCTTTGGCGTATTTGAGGTAAAATTCGATGAAAAATGTCATCACCTTCTGGCGTGGGGTGCTCGCGAAGTGCTGAGCAAAATGGTTGAATATATTCCCTTGAAGCACACAAGACCCGCTCGACTTTTCCCCGATTTCCCTCGCGTTGGCGCGGTGTTACGCCCCAAATGGGGCACTCTCTCGCCATTCCCGGTGGGGCCCCTCGATTCCCATCAATATTGCGTCGATTTTCCGTTTTGATGATAAAAATAAAAATGGCTAGTACGAAGCATCACTTGACTTGGGAATGCCGTTGAGAATGGAAAATCATTTTGCGTCCATGCGGCGCGTCTGAGCCACATTTCGCGTTCCACGAAAATTCGCCAATATTGCGCCCCGCCGACTGGCATACCTCCCACCCGGGGGTCCCGTGGAAACTCAGGGCGGAATCCGATTTGGCGCCAAAACCATCGACCGGGTCAAATGCGAGATATATTCCCATATAGGCGGCCATTGCTTCTTGGCCGTTTCGTTCGTCGCTCGAGCTCGAGGTGCGAGCGAGAGGGGCTGAGCGGCTTGGCGAGCGTACACCAGGCAGGCAACATGAAGCCAAGCCGTGCGTGTGAATCTGCTCGCACAGCTGCCTCTGGTTGGCGTGGGCCAGAGCGAGATGGCGGACCAGGGGCGCTTGGCGTTTGGCCGCCTCAGTGGCGAACCCTTCAATCGGGCTCGCCCGCCAATGGCATGTGATATTGGGCTGCTTTGGTGGCTTCTTCTCTCCTTGCCGGATTCTTGTTCTCCTCATCACACCAAATTGCGCTTGCGTTCACAATCAACATCATATTTTATATACGGTGGCGGAGAGAGGCATTTCTGTATTGTGTGTGTCGCTCTTGGTGCCCCCGAATAATTCCCACAAAACCCAAACTTCTGCCAGAGAGACAACACAGACAGGGCACCAGCGCGGTTTCCTCAGGAAGGGATAAATTGTGTGTTCAGGAGCAGCGGGAAAAATTGTCCTCAGTTTTGGGTGAATGAACAAAGAGGGAAAAAATGCCGGCTGTATGAAATTCAGCCGACATTATCAGTCGTTCGTTCAGAAGAAAAGAGAAGAGAGAAGATCTAGCAAAGCTACTTTTTCTATTTGCATTTACATACTTATTGTCTATAAAGCTCTTCTTGTAATCTTGTAAAAATTTGTCATTTTCACATGAGGGGCATTTTTGGATTGTTTGTAAATAATATTTCCCAATCAGATGCGCGTTATCTGAGAATTAGGTCACTTTCAACATGATAAATGTACTGATAAAATATTTTGCAAACAGCAGAAAAACATCTTCAAAAATTTATTTTTCCTCTTTTTCCTTGCTTGGCTTATAATGTGATTTCATTAAAATCTTCCGTCACAGAATACAACACTCTTGAGATATATAGAGAGAGAGAGAGCATTTAATTGCAATCTCATCATGAACTGAGTTTTACTTGAAAGTTTTAAGGATTGCCCTTGAAGATTAAATTATTTTATAAAGCATGCAATTGCAAGGTTTTGCCCTAGAGTGAAACTGTTTATAATTAAGTTTGTGAATTCATTTGGCGAATGCTTGGAATATAATTGGGGGAAGGAATTTGTGAGACAAAGATAGAGTAGTCAAAAAGGTACCTTTTCTGCTGAAGAGGCGCCCGTGCTGAGTAGAGCCAGAGCTTTGTGCTGCTGAGGGGGGATTTTGATCGCACCACCAGCGAACATGCGAGAACCGATGGGAGCTGGGAGACACATTCAGAGGAGAAGATATGATGGGAGCTGAAGAATTTTAACATTTATATACCACTGATGGTGTGTTTCACCTCAAATCTCCGTCTTCTTCCCATTCGCACCGTCATTTTCATACGGCGGCGGCCTTCTCGGTTGCCGGAGAATATATTCACCATTGGAGTGGAGTGGAGTGGAGTTGGAAGAGAACGAAAATCGACACTGATAATTCCAGAGAACTTTTTGCCTCGGCCTCTGCAATCGAGCAAAGATGGTGTTGGGGAGCGATAATCTGGCAAAGTGACTCTCTTGCTATTGGTGTTATTTTCATGAATGGCCGAAAATGATGTCTGTGTGTCTCTTGGATTTTATTTATCGACCAAATTTACGGTGTTTGCGCGCAGCGTCACACCAAAATCACACCGATTTCATTTCACTGCTTCTCTCCCCTTTGCCATCTCGCACTCTCAGCTTGTATCCGCTCTCGCATCGGCTTTTGTTGCACGAAGCGAGAGTTGGTAGGGAAAGGCAAAAACATAAGGATATGGGCGAACTATTTGATCGAGGGACAATGTACTTAACGGAAAGGTTTTTTTTTCAGTCCCTTCAATCCAGATGGGAGGGTATTTGCTTGCAATATAGGGTAATTCCTCAGGGCTTTCGGCGTCGAAACCCGTTGGCGTTTTAGAGGTCTCTTTAAATGTTTAAAACTCTGTCGAATAATAAAAAAAAAGAAATGCGTAAATAATGAAATTTGATATTCAGATAATAGTAATGGGAGACTTTTAGAGCATTAGCACAGCAAAATAAGCAACCAGTGAGAATATAATGTGGAGATTAGATAATTTTTACGTGCTTGCGACACTGACTGGGCAAATTGGGTAATTTAGGCAATTTCTCTTCGTCCTTGCAGATCCAAGATGTCTGATAAGCCGAAGCGTCCTCTGTCTGCTTACATGCTGTGGCTCAACGAGAACCGTGAGACCATCAAGAAGGAGCATCCGGGCATTAAGGTGACCGAGATCGCCAAGAAGGGTGGTGAGCTATGGCGCAACATGAAGGACAAGAGCGTACGTATTGTTATCCTTCCCACATGCTGTCGCATGTCACACTGTCCGAAGGTCTTTGTGAAATGATCGGTTCTGCTTGTCTTGTCACACAGGAGTGGGAGGCCAAGGCTGCCAAACAGAAGGATGAGTACACGAAGCTCATCAAGGAGTACGAGGCCAATGGCGGATCCACTGAGTCGGCTGGCAAAAAGCGCGGCAAGAGCTCAAAGAAGCCAGCCAAGAAGAGCAAAAAGAAGGAGTCCGAGGAAGAGGAGTCCGGTGATGATGAGAGCGATTAAACTGAAGGACCTCTCTTCGCGCGACTCCCCCTTTTGGATCAATCTATTTTAAATATTTATTGACTTGGAGGCTTCTCGTATCATCTTTTTTTGTCTTAAGTTCTCTTCCCATTTAGAAACAGGAAACTGTTCATGAATTGCGCATCCTTGGAAAATTGTATTACAAAGAAAAGAAAGATGAAGAAAAAAAATATGAAATAGATTGACAAAAGCTAAAGTCTGCCAAATTTTTGATATGAAATGATTGAGAAAAACATTCAGTGTAGTTCAACAACAGCAACAGCATTCAAAGAGAAGCCTCATTTTACAACATACTGAAGGATAATTCTTTTAGACGTAAATAATCCCCCTTTTTATATAATGTAATTTCTTTTTGGAAGAATTCACGATCAACAAATTCATGGATAATCCCCTTATTAGGTTCATTTAGTAGCAAGAAAACATTTCATATTGACTCGTGTACAGAGTACAGAAATAAAAGTAAGTGAAAAAAGATGGAATAAAAAGGTATAATCTATCAATTTGTTGCGTCGATCTTGAAAATTCTAGTAAGAAATACGTGTTCATTCAATTGCTACAAATTACATAAACAGAAAAGAGTAAGATCCTACCTCTCTTTCGAGAAAATATAAACAAAAGAAATGAGAAATAAATGTGTAAAGCGTAATTTATGTTTTGTCACAAGATAAACTCATCCCCTAAATGCATTAGTTTAATGAATGAAGAAAAAAAAATCACAGGACTTCAGAGGATTTGTGTAAAACGAAAGGACAGGAAACTTTTCTGTACCTGGTATTTAGAAATTAGGATATAATTTTGTGTTTTTGCTCTATAGTTTGTATAATTCATAAAGAAATAGTCGTTTAGTTCTTTCTTTCTGCAATAAAGTAAGATCATTCCCTCAAAAACTTGGTGTTCCCTCGTCACATAAACTCTGGAAGTCAGGAGAGCGAGTAATAGCACAGATTTTTCTTTGTATGAAAATTAATTGAATAAATGGAGATTTATTACAAATAGAAAAAAAAGAATTCGGAAAATGTGCTTTTCCTTTCTCTTGGGGATGGAAAAGGGATGCCAGTGACTCACGAGAAAGCCTCGAGGTGGCACCACAAGTGTTCAGTGTGTCAGTGAAAATTTTCCTGTGAATTTTTGCAGAAATTTCCAAGAGTGAAAAAGTGCTGTCTTGTCGGTGTTTTAGGTGGAAAGTCTCATTGGAAAGGCAAACGATACTCCCAGAATTATGGATATGTAAGATTGAAGAAGAATTTTGAGAGTTTTCACAGTTTTCCTATGCACTCTAACCTGCAAGGAATCATGCAGACGAAATACTAGTTTTCCTTCATTTCCCTGGCATTTCAGACTACTTGATGAGGTGGAATCACTGGAGGCGATCCTCATGGAAGATGTGAGCATCACCAGGAATCTAGAGAGGTAAATATTTAGCTCTTGGTCAGGAGTTCCCGTGGGGGAAAATCAATAAGATCATTAGTAATTCCGGAAGTGCCGAGATAGGTGGGTTACTGACGGGCGTCTTTGTTTGCAGTGGCTTCCCGGAGCTGATAGAGACAACAGTGTTCCCCACTGTGGGCGGAGACCTAGATCGGCAGTACGTCTGCGTGACATTGCAGGTGATGCCGGAGCCTGGATATCCGGACGTAAAACCGCAGTTTAAACTGAGAAATCCACGTGGACTCTCCGACACTAGCATCAACGTCATGGAGGAGACGATGCGGAAAAAGCTGGAGGAGTGCATTGGCCAGCCTGTTGTGTTCGATCTGATCGAGATCATCCGGGAGCAGCTCACTGACAGCAATCTGCCATCCGGGCAGTGCGTCGTGTGCCTGTACGGCTTTCAAGAGGGTGATGAATTCACAAAGACCGTGTGTTATCACTATTTGCATAGCTACTGTCTGGCACGGCACTTGACAGCGTCGCGTCGCAACTACCAAGAGGAGCACGATAAGCTGCCGGGGTGGCAGAAGAAGCAGGCGAAACCCTATCAGGCCACGTGCCCCGTGTGCCGAGAGTCAATTAGCGACGAGGTGGAGCCTCTGGGCTGCGCCCAGCCCCCCGTAGAGCTAGAGAACGCCCCCAATTTCCAGCTCACTGACGAGATAAGGGAGATGCAGACGAAAATGGCAGACCTGTTCCTGCGCCAGAAGATTCGGGGTGGCATAATTGATGTGGACGCAGACGAGGGCAATGTAATCTCTATTGATAATGAAGAGGACACACCGGATGGGCACAAGGCCTCTGACACAAGCCCAGAGGAGCCGCCGATTGAGATTCCTCTCACGCCGACGCGACGCGGTGGCTACGCTCACCAGAGAGGCATCACCCGGAGCACCCATCAGCGGACGCATCACGGTGGGAATCACCACAATCACAGCTACAGGCGCAACAACAGAAATCGCCGGGGATCCGGAAGGGATCAACCCTGCGGCTCCCACCCTAGATGACAATGGCTATTGCTACTCATCCGCGGGGGGCTCATCTAGCCAAAAGAGCACCTCCCGCGACAGTCTATCTGGAATATCTCTCTCAGAAATCTCCCCGGCGCTCAGATGTGTGCGCCACGGATGTCCTCGAGGATTGTGATACGTGAGATCTCGCGATGCAGGACATCCGCCCTATTTCTTTCAGCTCAATCGATAGGAAAACTATTTAATTTCTCACAACCCGCAATGCTCCAGCATTATACTCAATTTATTTCCTCTGGATATTCTAGGTAGACAATTTAAATGAGAATTAAATATACATTCCTAGTCAGAAGTTGTACGATAAGTTCACAATCAGGCGTTGTAAATTTGCAAAGTGTTATGTATATTTGATTTTATATTTTGTGAGAATTTATTTTTGTATATTTTTATTTTTTCTGCTATTCATTATTGAAAGATTTTAAAGTAAAATTTATTTTATTGCTGTGCATCCAAAATTCGTTCGATTCAACTTCTTTGTGTTCTGATTTTCCTGCGAGAGGCGCTGGGTGTTCATGGCGAGTGCGGCGAAGTGTTAGGAATTTTTTTGCGGAGTGAGTGTGACTGTGAGGAATAGTTGTATTTTTGCACTTTCCCCGGCATTTAGGTAGTTTCTTGGACAGTCATCCTGGTGGGCAGACTGCCGTGGTGCGTGATAAGTGTGATTTGTGTGTGCTGAACGCGAGAGTTGTGTGAAAAGTGTGGAGACTGACGCGCTTCAATATAACCTCACACTTGTATTGATTGCGATCCGCAAATCCCTATTTTGTACAAGAAAACACACATAAACCACCCCCCACAACGTTTTTCAGTAAGCAAAGGCCACAACAAACATGTCTATTGAGTTTTTGCAAGTGAGCGAGGAGGAGGGCGAGGAGCCCATCGAGTTGCCGGTGGAAGAGGATGGGACGCTACTTCTGTCAACACTGCAGGCGCAATTTCCCGGCACGTGCGGCTTGAAGTACCGCAATCCGGACTCGCGGGCTATTCGCGGGGTGCGCCTGAATGAGGGACGGCTGCACCCGCCGATCCCGGAGAGCGGATGGGGTTCACAGGTGTATTTTTGCGTCTTCCCCAAAGGTGGTAAATTCACGCTCCACTAAAGTGTCACTGCAATTCCCCCTAACTCAGCCGTTGCGTCTATTGTAGAAAACAAGAGAAAGAGCGACGATCATCTGGAGAACTCTACGGCAAAGACGAAACGCATGGAGACGCGCTTGAGATGCACCGACCTGATCGTGCTGGGCTTGCCGTGGAAGACAACGGAGCTGAGCTTGCGGGAGTACTTCGAGACATTCGGCGAGGTGCTGATGGCTCAGGTGAAGAAGGACATCAAATCCGGACAATCCAAGGGTTTTGGATTCATCCGTTTCGGTTCGTATGAGGCACAAATGCGCGTCTTGGCGCAGCGTCACCTCATCGACAATCGCTGGTGTGAGGTGAAGGTGCCCAACTCGAAGGAGGGCATGGTACAGCAGGTACCATGCAAAGTGTTCGTCGGACGATGCTCTGAAGATCTGACAGCTGATGATCTGAGGGACTACTTCTCCAAATTCGGCGAAGTGACCGACGTGTTCATCCCAAAGCCCTTCCGTGCGTTCAGTTTCGTCACGTTCCTGGACCCGGAAGTTGCTCAATCGCTCTGCGGTGAGGACCACATTATTAAGGGTGTGTCAGTAAGGGTGTCCAATGCTGCGCCCAAGTCGGAACAGAATCGCAATCCAAACTACACGTCTGGACCACCGTCACACCATCAACGTGGATCTGGTGAGTCGTAACGTTGAGACATTCGCTATCTGTATTACTTATCCCGCATTTTAACCCCAACTGAAGTGCCACCGGATCCGAGAAACCCCATCAATCGCCAGGAGAACATCTCCTATCCACAGAGTCGAGGATATATGCCAAATCCGCCGATTCAGCACAACAACGGCTGGAACAATCAGAACCGTGGGAATTTGGACATGCCTAACTTGCAAGCGCTGGGGATAAATCCACAAGGACAGAATCCATCAAATCAAGGTCAAAATATTAATAATCCACTTGGTAAATTTTACCAATTTGCTCTTCAATTCTGTCTATAATGGACAATTTTCACTTCCACTTCACTGCCTCTTTTGCAGGTGTTGGATTGAACATAAATGCGCTTCCTATGAATCCAGCCCTCGTGGCTGCCGCACTCAATCAGTGGAGTTTGATTGGGAATCTGCAGAATCAGAATCAAGAACAGGGCTTTGGTGGCTCTGGTGGGCCCAATGCACAGCCGGGATCGTCTCAGGGAGGCAACTTCCTGTCGTGGATGTCTCAGGGCGGTGGCGGCGGTGGGGACGGTCAGCAGGTAAACAATGTGAGATGATTTTTATATTACTATTCATCACGAGTCGCTCGTTGTGGATCACAATGGTGTGTCTCTGAAGAAAACAACTCTCACTTTTACTTAGTGTTGATATTTCTCAAAGTATATATGCCATTGTGACAAGAATGAGCGACTCAATCCCATAATATTCTAACTTGATATTTATTTATTCTAATATGTGATTTTTAAATGTGTAATTTCATGGCGTATTTGTTGCTTTATTGACAAAATCACCGTGTAAATGAAAAAATAGCAATTTCAGGGTGGTAATCAACCCTGGTCGAGACAGCAAGGCGGCTCCGGTCAACCTGGTCCAGATCACAAGCAGAATTTCCTCTAAGCCACTGTCAAGTGGTCTCGATGGTAGAGTTATTGCGAGTGAGAGAAAGTAAGGCGATTCGTAGTGTTTAAAGAATGATGTTTGGGTCAATTGTCAAATATCCCTTTTTTAGTGGCTTTTGCGATGACTTTTCCCCTTTCTTCTTGTCTTTCTTCTAGGCATAGATAGAAATTTATTGTGGAAATTGTGGCTCTGTTTGTGACATTGTAAGCGGGATGCGCAAGACAAAACTGGGGGAAGTCTATCTTTTTTTCTGTAAATGTGGATACAAGATTGTTGGTAAAAAAAAGTGAGAAAGCGAGAGCGAGAGCGAACGAGCGAAAGAGAGAGGCACAGAAATGGAGTTCTATATGAGACAAGAAAAATTGTGAAAGTGTGTCTCATGATCAATTTTGTTTCAATTTTATCTTTTTTGGCGTTATCAAATCATATGCTGAGAGGGGAAATTATGATGTGTGCTTCCTTGGCGTATCTGTTCTTGTGGGAGAGCGCGCGGTGGCGGATGAGAAAGAGGATGAATTTGTCTTTCTTGAGAGTCAGCAGGGAATCGCGAAAGGGAATCAGAGCATCTTTGTACATTTATTTCATCCTCTTATTAATGAGAGTGTGGCCGATGAATCGTTTTTTTTCCACATCAGTTCTTTTTCCCTATCATCACACATTTTTATTTAAAATATAAGTATTTCTTATTTGGAGAGTTGCTATACTATACATGAGTTACTTGTTTGCAAGTGTTGTGAGTTCTATATATGATGATTGTACCCATATGCTGAGCAATGCTGGAAGAAAAATTGTAAAATTAATTGACTTTGAGAAGATTGATGATAAGAAAAAGTAGATGAGAGTTGAATAATGATGGCAATTTTATATAAATTGATAACAATATACAAAACAAAATACTAATTGATAGTTACTAAGGCAAATTTATAGAAATTTTCCATTGTGTAAAAGGATTACTATTTTACTCGTATTGGAAACAAATGAGAGAGAATTTTTTCGGATGAGAATTGATATGACTTTTCTGAATATGAGATGAGATGTATAGTCGTTTCTTCATTTGTGAGGTGGACTATGTATAATGTTTCAATTTGTAGAATTGGGAAGCGAAATTGAGAGTATATAAAATATTATTACAACAGAGCAAAGAGAGAGAAATGTATGAGGAAATATTGTTAGAAGGATGAATGGGATTCTGTTGTAATAATGTTAGATGACAACAAAAAAACCTACAAATTTTATTCATAATTACAATAAAATATTCTTGATGTCTGCACATGAAAGAAGTGATTTTTCATGATGAATGCTTTCTCTTGGCACGTTTTAGTCTTTTTCCCTTTCAGTTTTTCTTTTTATTATCATTAAAACCGTTTTTTGCTTTTCCCTTTCCTCGTGCGAGTTTGTGATTAATTTCTATTCCATTTATCACACTCTTTTCCCCACTCCCGTAGGAAAATTATGAGATGGAAAATGAGTCGAATGGCAGGAATTATGGTGTAAGTCGAGGGGGTGCAATTGTGAGCATGTGGTGTACAGTTGAATATGCTTTGGTTGATGTTTTATGAGTATAATTCAGTCAGTTACTTGGCAGGACAATGAGTGTACACCACTTACCATAATGTTCTCCCCTTGATAATGAGTATAGTGCCAAAAAATTCATATACCCTTGATGAACCCTTCACGCTTTTCACTCTTTTCTGCACGAAATTGACCTTCCCAGCATCTTTCCCTGAAGCATCCCTGAAGAGAGCGAGTGAAACCCACCCCCTGAGGTCTAGTTTGAAGCTCATAAATGCAGTAAAAGTGGATGTGGTGCTTTGTGAGGCGGGAGATGTGATGAATTTGATGGAGTGACGTGAGTATATATTTAAAATAATTGCGAAGGGTGCGCACTCATTGAGGTCTGTATTTTCCATTATAAATGAAACAATAGGTGAGCTGTACAAAAGGGCGCAAATGATGTGTTTTCCCATGTCTCTTCATCATGAAATTTGTTTATGCATTTTCAGCTCATGTGTGATGACCACTAGAGCCAGTATCTGTGATGACCGAAATTTAATGAAAATGTGTCTGAGCGATTTTTGGAGGTGAAATTGGGAGCGTGTGTGTGAAGAGAATGTTGCTAATTTTGCACATCTATTTTACTTATCACTATAGGAGAGATGTCTGAATACAAGAAATAAAGACTGTTGAATATTTTCAGGGCGGTTCACTGATTCTGTACTGAGACTGTGATGAATAAAAATCACTTTAATTGAAACAGATGGGTGTTTTATTAATGGGATGCGTTGCCGAGGGTGGGAAAGGAGAAATATGCTCATGACAACATAATCTCACAGAGTTGTCTGCACTTTGTGGCGCATTTTCCATCCAACCGAGCACACTTTGAGAGTAAAATTGAATTTTTTTCTGCATAATTCATGCAGTTTTACATAAATTTCTTATAGAAACAACACATTTTGTTGTCTGTTACTCTTTAAATTCTTCCGACATCGCCATTTCCACACACCGATTCGGTCGATTTCATCGACTCGTTCTCGTGTGGAATGTGTGGAAGTCAAAGTGAAGAAGTGTGTGGTATTCGCCGTGTCGTCACGGGTGTTTTTATTATTGCATTTCACGGGAAAATCTCACTGAAAATCGCCAATAAACCACTCTAATTTGTAAAGTGTATCCCAATATTCGTACTGATAGCGTGAGTGACCCGCAAGACTGCCTAGGTGTAGGGTAAAGTGGCGCAGAAAAGTGAACCCGAGCGAGATGCAATCTCCAGTGTGAATTAATATGGCCGCGTTGTTGACATACAAGAGCTATTTTTGCTTGCGCTAATTAATTGCATTTATTGGATTAATTGGGAGTGATGTAAACAAATTGTGGCCACAGAACACGTGAGTATAGATTAAGGTGCGGTGTGGTGGTGCCCTGTGTGGAATGCGATGGTGATTTTTCGGGATTTTTGCAGGCGACTGTAGAGGAAAATTCCGAGAAACACAATGGAACTGTCAAAGAGACCAATCGATGGCGGAAACAAAGAGCTGCTGAGCTGTTTGTAAATCGCGGTGCGGCAACTTCATCCCCATTTCTTCAAATTCCAGTGAACGGGATCAGGTGGTCATCGGCAGGGGCGGAGGAAGTGGCAAGGCTCTTTGGTATCCGGATGTGTCTAAGCCACTTGGAGAGCTGATAGGGAATCGACAGTATTGAGCAGAATGACGTCCGTCCTGCCCCAGTGTCTCATCGTGACTGTCTGGTCAATTTTTGTACTCATCACGCACGCCAGATCACAGCTCCTCAGTCAGGACATTGCTGCCCAGTACAGCCTCCCACCGAATGCCAGCTATTTCACGCACCTCTCCTACGACAGAAGGCGATCCGTGCTGTATGCCGGCGCCACAAATCGCATCTTTCAATTCACCCGCAACCTTGGTCTCCAAGGAGAGTCCGTGACGGGCCCCAAGCTCGACAGCCCGCAGTGTCACACGGGAGGATGTCCCGATGATGTTGAGACTGTGGAAACGAACAACCACAACAAAATTCTAATTGTTAATGAGGTGGGTGACTCTCTGATAGCATGCGGAAGTGTCCGACAGGGCGCCTGTGAGATCTACAATCTCAAGAGTTTCCCATCTTCGCGGGAGGATATTGAAATCCCACTGGCGGCGAATGAGGAGTACGCGTCCACATTCGCCTTTATTGGCCCATCGAGGTACACGTCGTGGAAGAAGGAGGACATCCTCTATGTGGGCACCACATTCACCAATGTCGGGGACTATCGGCATGACGTCCCCGCAATTTCATCTCGAAAACTCAATGATCTCAACTACGCGGAGTTCTCCATTCAACAATCAAACATAAATATCGATGTGAAATACAGGGATCACTTTCTCGTGAACTACGTGTACGGATTCAACTCATCAGATTACGCGTACTTTGCCGTGGTGCAGAAGAAGAGCCACTTAGCGGAGGAGAATGGTTTTATCACACGTCTGGCGCGTATTTGCGTCAATGATCCCAATTACGACAGCTACACGGAGGTGTCGATACTCTGCCGTGTAGAAGACGTCAATTACAATATCTTGCGGGATGCCAAGGTGACGGTGGCGGGACAGAGATTGGCTCAGGAGATGGGCATCAAGAAGGACGACAGTGTTCTCGTGGCAGTGTTTTCACCATCACGTGAAATCACGAATGAGCCACAAGACAACTCCGCAATGTGCATCTACAGCCTTAAAGAGATTGAGGAGATGTTCACGGAGAACATCCACATGTGCTTCAACGGGACGCTCAAGGATCGAAATCTGGGCTACATCTCGGGCACGATAAATGACGGAAAGTGTCCGATGGTGGGCTCAATTGGTAATGTGCACGATTTCTGCTCCGTGGGCCTCAAGATAAGTGGTGTGGCGCCCATCACGGCGAGGGCTGTCTTTCACTTTCCCAATGAATCCATTACATCCATCACGACGGCTATTACAGGACCCCACACTGTGGCCTTCCTGGGCACCATTGATGGCTACATAAAGAAAGTATGGCTATCCGGGCCCGTGGCGGGACAATATGAAAAGATTGAGGTGGATCAGGGTAGCAAAATTCTCCCAGATACGATGGTATCTCCGCGTCACGATTTTCTCTACGTGCTCTCATCGAAGAAGATCACGAAGCTGCGAGTAGAGCATTGTGGCATTTACACGGATTGTTCAAAGTGCCTGGAGTCCAGGGATCCTTTCTGTGGCTGGTGCTCCTTGGAGAAGAGATGCACAGTGAGGAGTGCCTGTCAAAAGGACACTTCAGCGTCACGATGGCTTGCTCTTGGCAATGGACAACAGTGCATAGACTTTGAAATGGTGCAGCCCGAGAAGATTCCCATTGATGAGATGACGACGGTTCACCTCACTATCCGCACTCTTCCCGAGTTGCCGTTCAACGCCAAGTATAAGTGCGTATTCGGCAATTCCACCCCAATTGATGCCATCGTGACGGAGAGTGGCCTCAAGTGCCAGACGCCTCCGTACAAATTTCGACCTCAAATTGAACCACGTGAGGATCACGTTCTCGTGCCGCTCAGTGTGAGATCATCAGAAACCAACAAGGATTTTGTGTCTAGGAACTTTGCCTTCTTCGATTGTTCACGTCATGAAACATGTAAGAGTTGCGTTAAGAGCGAATGGGGGTGTAATTGGTGCATTTATGATAACGTCTGTGTGCATAATGCCACTACTTGTCGTACGGCCATCACGAATGCCGTGATAAAGCATGAGCTGGCGTGCCCCAGACTAAAACAGAGGCCGCGGAATGAGACTATCTACCTGCCCATTCGCGTTGCCAAGGAGATTCGGCTCGAGGTGGAGAACTTGCCACGCCCGCAGAGTGGTCACGTGGGATTCACGTGCACGGTGACGATTGAGGGGGCCAACATGGGGCTGCCGGCACGTGTTGAAGCCAACAAGTACATCGTGTGCGAGAAGACAGTGTATTCTTATGAGGCGAAGACCAACGAGTATGTTGCCACAGTGGAGGTGAAATGGAATCGTGTGCATCATATTGACACCACAAAGGTGATTCTCTACAAATGCGACGTCCTGGGATCTCATCGGGAGCATGCAGACTGCAGCCTCTGTGTCACACGGAATCCGAAGTACCAGTGCGCATGGTGTGGAAACAATTGTGTGTACAATGAGACCTGCGAGTGGGGACAAGCCACAACGGAGTGCCCTAAGCCGAGAATTGACATCATCAAGCCTCTGAGTGGACCAATTGAAGGAGGCACACTCATCACAATCGAGGGTAGCAACTTGGGTGTCCGTCGAGAGGACGTTATGGATAAAATCAGGATAGGGGATATTCCGTGTGAACTTGTTAACTATGAGATTTCCGTGAAGATTGAGTGTCGCACTGGGAGTGTAAGTTATGAGCTCACGGCTCCTGTTAAGGTGGGAAATGACGCTGGATATACAGAGTCGAGTGTCCAGTATCACTACAAAGATATCCAATTGCTGGGGCTCACGCCGACCATTGGACCTCAAAGTGGCGGAACGAAATTGTCCATCATTGGCAAGTACCTCAACATTGGGTCCAGTATTATGGCATATCTCGATGACTACGTGTGTGAGATTAACATCACACAAGCCTCGTCGAGTCGTCTCACGTGTGTCACTTCAGCTGCGCGAGGACAGGACCATATCAAAACCCTGACGCTGGTGATTGACGGTGCCAATCGAACTCTCGCTTGTCGATCTAATCGCAACTACGATGAGGTTTGTAGTGTATTTAACTACACTCAAGACCCACGAATTATGCAGATCAAGCCTCTTAAAAGTTTCGTGAGTGGAGGACGAATGGTCACCGTGCATGGAACGAATCTCGATGCCATCCAGAAGCCAGAGATTGAGGTTTATGCTAATGATGAGAGGGTGAATAAGTCCACATGTTTCGTGATCAGTCCACATCAAATAGAGTGTCCCTCGCCGGCGGTTAATGGAAAGTTCAACGCATTGAAGATGAGTGTGGCCACTTCATCTGGAGGGAATGGCACAAAGAGGCACAGAAGGAGCAATACTGAATCCCTTTTCACCACCGTTGGCTACTATTCATCGTCAGTGGTGCCGGGAAGTGGAGGAGATGTGGCAGCAGCGCTTAAGAGGGAGACTCAATTGAGTCTTCAGATTCGCTTCGTGATGGATAATGTTCAATCGGTGAAGGATCTCAATAAGCATTTCCCCAGCCTCAGGAGCACTCTGGTGTACGTCGAAGATCCCAAATTCCATACATTCCCCGCGAATGGCGTGAAGCTCTACAAGGGTGAAAGTCTCGTGATTGAGGGTGATAATCTCAATATAGCCAGCGATGAGACTGATGTGAATGTCACTATTGGGACTATGCAGTGCAATGTGACGAGTTTGGCACTATTACAGCTTGTTTGTATTCCTCCTGAGCAACAACCACTGGGCACGGATGAGAGTGGCATTGAGACGAACAATGATTTGCCATTAGTAGTCGTGAGGGTGGGAAAAAGCCTTAGATTCCCAATTGGCTATCTGAAATACGATTTGATGAAGCCATACGTTTTATCTACAGCGATGATTGTCATCACAATAACTATATTGATTGTGGTGATTCTTCTAATTATTGTGCTTATTGTGTATCGGAGGAAAAGCACACAGGCTGAGAGGGAGTACAAGAGGATTCAGATTCAGATGGACACTCTGGAGAGTAACGTGAGGATGGAGTGTAAGCAAGCTTTCGCTGAGCTTCAGACAGATATGACGGATATTACGGCAGATTTGGAAAATGCCGGCATTCCCACGTTGGATCATGTCAATTATATAATGAAAGTGTTCTTCCCTGGAGTATCGGATCATCCCATATTGAATGCTCCCAAGGTAAGGATGAACACACCACACACAAATTATGACGCTGCTATGTTGCAATTTGAGCAATTAATCAACAATAAGTACTTCCTGCTGATGTTCATTGAGACGCTGGAGTCACAGAAGTCCTTCAACATTCGTGATAAAGTGAACGTAGCTTCACTCCTGATGATTGTGCTGATGAACAAGATGCCGTACGCCACGGACATCCTCAAGTGTCTCCTGCTGAGGCTCATTGATAAGTCCGTGACGTCAAAGCATCCTCAACTCATGCTCCGCCGAACGGACAGTGTGGTTGAGAAGATGTTGACGAACTACATGGCGCTCTGTATGTATGACTACCTGAAGGAGTACGCGGGATCGTCGCTGTTCCTTCTCTACAAGGCCATAAAGCATCAGATCGAGAAAGGTCTGGTAGATGCAATCACCCACGACGCGAGGTACTCGCTGTCGGAAGAGAAGCTGCTGCGTGAGCAAATTGAACATCACGCGGTGACACTGCACATTGTTCAGGATGACTTGGATGAGAAGGTGCACTGCAAGGTGCTGGATTGTGATACCATCACTCAAGTCAAGTCTAAAATTCTCGATGCACTGTTCAAGAATACAGCGTATTCTATGCGACCGTCAGTGCATGAAATTGATCTGGAGTGGCGTCACGGACGAGGTGGCCATTTGACGCTCCAAGATGAAGACCTCACGACAAAGACACACAATGGGTGGAAGAGACTCAACACGCTAGCGCACTATGGAGTTAAAGAGTCCGCGGTGATGTCACTGATTGCTCGTCAGAATGAGAACTACAACAAACAACAGCCATACCTGAATTGTTTCTACATTAATAACACCCAGTCTCACATCATCATAAATGCCGACATTGACTCAGAACTTCATCCGCCAAGAGTGTATCACTTGGTGAAGCCTTTGATGAGTGACCATCAGTTGAATGTAAAGAATGCCCACTTGTCGACCCTGGAGAGGACGCACAAGGCCATTCCTGAGATTTTCCTCACCAGACTGTTGGCCACGAAGGGAACAATCCAGAAGTTTGTCGACGATTTCTTTGCCACGATTCTCACAGTAAATGAGGAACTTCCGCCGGCCGTTAAATGGCTTTTCGATCTGTTGGATGAAGCTGCTCGGCGGCATGGAATCTCGGATCCGGAAGTGGTGCACGCGTGGAAATCCAACTCGCTACCCTTGCGTTTCTGGGTGAACTTCATCAAGAATCCAGATTTTATATTCGACATCGACAAGACACCCACAGTGGATGCCAGTTTGAGCGTCATTGCACAGACTTTTATGGATGCCTGCTCGACGACTGAGCATCGCTTGGGTAAGGACTCGCCATCAAATAAACTCCTTTTCGCGAAGGACATCCCGCAGTATCGTGAGATGGTGAAGGTGTTTTACCGCGAAGTTGGGAGATTACCACAGATCAGTGATCAGGAGATGGGCACAGCCATGCAAGAGCTATCTGTGCAGCAGAACGATGAATTCGACACCATAGCCGCTCTTAAGGAACTATATATCTACGTGACGAAGTATCGTGATCAGATATTGGACACACTCGACATGGATCCCTACTGCAAGAAGATGCACTTGGCTCACAAGCTGGAAAATGTTGCCTGCACACTCGAGGGTGAGTGAAAAATATTAATTGTCTCTCTGTTTATGGTCATCGAGAAATCATTACTTTAATTGTGGCTCTGATGAGACGAGCTTTGAATTCTCAATGAAGTTGATGGGAAAGATCGTGGTGTATTTCAGGGTGAATCGAATTAAGAGAGACGCGTGGTCACGGAGGAATATGGGGCTTGTTTAAAAAGAGTAGCAAGAAATTTGCCTTGTCAGTAGTGTTTTATCTGAAGACAATCAATTCCAAGGAACTGGTTTGAATCATCATCTCTAGTAAACGATAATGCACGAATCCATTCTCAAGAATAATTTATGCCAGTGGATTTTTATTATCTTTTTTCCCACTCCAATCGATGTTGATTATTGAACAATTTTTGAGTGAAATCCACAACCACATCTTTTATCGTCCGATTTTGCTTAAAAGCTTTTCAATCGCTTCTGCGTAATTGACAGTTGGAATTGGAAAATTCATAAATGCAAAATGTGTTAGTCTAATTCTGTTTGTTTGACAAAATCCATTCTCTTATCTCAGCCGGACTATCGAGTCTCCCGAGGCCACATTAACGTTCAGTTGGAAGTCTTCCGCGAATTGATCTCAACCGAATGAGGCAGTTGGGCAGTATCAATTGCAGAAAGTATGCCACACTTAAGAACTCAATGCTGACAATGGGACAGTGCAACGATTCCGGCGAAGCGTCCACATCTCGGAGATGACAGAAGGTCTTCGAGTAGAGGACCATATTTTATACATTCTACACACGGGACAAGAAGGAAGCGTTCAAATCACACTCCTTTGATTTGAATATCATTACGATTGATGGTGTATTTTCCCCCCTCCTCAAGAGAATAGCTTACAGCTTACACATTAAGAAACTCATTTACAATTACAATCAACTATGGATAGTTAACATTGATATGTATATTATATTAGTATTTCACGCGAGATGACTTTTTAAGGTATGAAATGACGCATTTTCGTTGGCTAAATGGCGAATGAGAAATCAGTACTTAATGATAAATTGTAGAATGCATTTATCACAAATTGTAATATTTGTATAAATTAGATGTTCGAAATGCTTAAAGTGCTTCGTACGTAGAGTGAGAGATTACAACAAATTCCTTCCGATACACAACGGAAAAATAGACAGACTCCGACTAAATTATGTCAAGACTGATTATTTCCATCGTAAATTCCTTCTTTTATGAAGACTTTAAAGAAAAGAAAACAACACTGGCACCATTAAATCACAAAACTGGAGAACTGCCCTGAATTTTAGTGCTCTCTATACCTATATTGCTGTGCATTTTTTCTCTTAAACTTTAGGGAGTAAAGATATGATTTTTATCTCGTTCTATTTAATAGTGTTATATTTATTTTATACGCGCACATTCTACTTGTGCAAACAACAGTGAAGAAGAATTGTTAGCGTCCACGCAAGAGAAAAAATCGTAATGGTATTCCTAAATCAGATTTTTGTGAAAAGGTTTTTGCCACATAAGAATGCGCAAAACAAATGGACATAATTGTGGATGAATTTCATGCGAGTCCAATTGCTGAATTGATTAGTGTTGAATGGAGAAGAAAATAAGGGAAAATACAGATGAAATTATTATAAGGATTATAAAGAAAAAATCATTATTACTATACATTCCTAGTCGCAATATTTATAAGGAAAAAAAGAATTATATATATATATATTAAATGTGAGATATTGTGAGTTGTTTTTAATAATTACTACTATAAAGCAGTGAATGGAGAAGTAAAAGCTAGACATTACAATGTTTTAGTAATCAACTTATTCATGGAAAATTAAGAGGAGTGGAGAAACAAGGAAGGAAATCGTAATTATGATAGTAAAGAATAATGAATACGTACATTAGCGATTTTTAGAGTTTAGCGATATGATAATGTATGAATATTTTACACTTTAGATTTTTACATCGAATTTCAGTTTCTTTTTCTGGAGAACAAGAGCAAGAACAACTTACTATACGTATAATCCCAATATTACACATTTAATTAAACACTAATGCAATTTCATCCTCATTATAAGACAACAAAATATTTATGTTTAATTATGCAAATGATCTGACTTCGATAGACACACGCGGAGATGCAATAGTATTTTGAAATATTTCTTTTGTAAATATTTCCCATTATTATATGTGTGTTTTTTTTCTCTTCTATTATAATAATTTCATCCCAGTAACATTAGCCTACAGCATTTTATTTCTCTCTATACCATATGTGGTCAATTTGTATTGAAAAGACAGAGACGTTTCAATGTTGAAAGTCTCATAAAGTGAGAAGTAACACGAAAAAGTACACACAAACACTTTTGCAAGACTCAATGAGGTGGATTGCAAGAACATGTGAGATGAGCATAGGCTTAGACGGTAGAAAAGTTGATAATAATTGATAAAAAAAAAGTGAAGAGAACACTAATTAATGAAAATTTACTAATTAAAATAGGACACAAAAAATCGAAAAAACGACGTGAAGAGAAAACATACAATTTTAGGAACACGACAAGTGAAATGATTGTCCACCTTATAGATAACAAGTCTTTTTATTTTCGAAGGAAGAATTCATAGTGTAAATACTTTTTCTGAGAATATAATTATTTTCAAATCGATCTCCGTGCGTTTTTTTCGCTCACAAGAGGCTCAACTTTTCCCCCATCGAGTTCAGATAACGTTTATCTCAATTTGCTTTTACTTGGCGCGTTGCTGTAATTTGTCAGCTCGGCTTTTTTCTCTCCTTCGCAATGCTGAAGGCTTTCGAAATTGGCGAGATTCCCTCATTTCAGACACAGAGTCCCAAATGAGAGATTCACACAATTTTTTGCTCGGTCGGCATTTCAACTGAAGATCAAGTGAACCGACGCGCGGTATGCATGATTTCAGCGAGGAGGCGCTCAAAACAGAACTGCGAGACCCAAAGAGTGGAGGCTGAAAACCTTCAAGTGCTAGAGGCAGTGCGATGTGCGCCGCGCAATTCGATGAATGACCCCTTGTGTGGAGTGTGTATAAAGAAGTGTCTTTGGAGTACTAATGAGCCGGAGTGAGAGAGAATGGAATTCGTGTTATCTGTGCACGTAAATGGAGGAGAGGACTTATGCAATATGCTTCTCTCGCGCGCTCCTCTCATTTGGCATAAAATGCACAAAACAAAAGCGACGTGTATTTCCCACAAATTCAATTGCAGCCGAACGGCTGGGTTTTGCAACATTGGCGGCCCCTCGTGTGGCACTATCGATCACTGGCCGTGCGATTTTTATTTAATGTACCTTCGGCTTAGCATTAATATTTACACATATACGATCCAAACGTGAAAAAGGCACACACTCAAGTGATTCATTTAATTCCCCACCAACTTACATCGCGATAAACTCATTCCGTCAACTTTGTCGCGAGAGTTTAGTCGACTTTTCGATCGCGTTGTGCTGATACCATCAGAAAATTTTCGTGCTCCCTTCAATCGCTTTGCCCCATCTTTTGCTAACAAGGATCAAGTACATCATTGTCTCCAAACTCTCTATAGTGTCGAACTCAATTGTGAGTCTCGTGCTATTGATTCGGTGAGAAAATCAGTGTTTTTGTGCGATGTTACAAGGCGAACCTTGGGCACTTTCCTCCAGCACTATTTTGCACTTTGTGTGGTGGAAGAGACGAATTTATTTCGTCTTTCCCAGTGAATTTCTCACTCATCAGGGGCTATTCACTAAGGAATACTCAGTGCACCACCCCGATGATCAAGTGTTTTGCAGTGATCAGTGCTCTCTTGCTGTCTGGTGGATTACATTTATAGCAAGAAATACGCAAAAACCATGCAAATTATTCGTCAGCGGTCAGCAAATTTTCTCCACTGAATCATGAATCATAACTTCGATTCGAGTTCTACAGAATACATTGTAATTTTCTCAAAAGCGTAGGAATAGCAAATTATTATCGGCGCTTCAGGAAATGCTTTCAAGCATTTTATTCTTTTGTCCTAACTTTTTTTTGTCTCTCAGTTTCTGGCATATTTTGCGTGACTGTTAAAGATAAAGATTCATATGATACGCCCAAAATTAATTGCAATGCAGAGAAAAATTTGTTAACTCAACATCTAAACAAAATATTCTTTGACTTTTCCTTTGATTTCATTCACGGAACATTTTTTTCTCCCTTATTGTAGTATTTTTATGATTTAAATTGCAATCAGTAAAATTACAAATTAGTATTAAATTACAATAATTCCTTTCATTATGATTGTTGCACTTGGCCAGGGCCTGAATGAGCCACTTGGCCAAATTGATCATCATCGCGGCGATCTTCCAATTGAAGATCTCTTCACGCGATCTTAAAGGCCTCAGCGCAATTGCATGACATCCACTGATCACTCGAGAGGAGTTTCACCGCACAGTGCGATCAAGAGAGTGCTAGTGAGTCGCCCTGGAACACCTTGTGGCGTGTGTGGGTCATTTTTGGGAAAACACTGATGATCGCTCTCGCGTGTGCTTTTTTGTGTCTTCCTCCAGTGTTGCGACGCCAGCATGAGTGATCAGTGCGGATCGCCGAGTCCGTGTTGCGCGTGGTGACTTGGCGGCGGGTCCAGAAGACCTTCTCCGACTCCCCGGGATCATGGCTGTGCTGCTGCGCAACGTGACCAACAGCATCTGGCACGCTTTCGGCGCCCTGCACCAGGAGCAGGATGGCCTGGTGAACAAGACGAAGCTGAAGGTGAGGCATTTGTGGGTGGACTGAGGCTGTGCTGGTGCGTCCGGGCCACTTTGCGCGGCCGGAGCGGCCGAAAGGCCACACTTGGGCACATGTGGGCGTACCTCTCTTGGAGGTGCCTCGCACCACTCTCTGGCACAGTCGGACTCCGGCTCATGGTCACCGCGCGCTACCCAGCGCGCGAGCTAATTTCTCGCTTCTCCGTTTAAGGTGCTGACGGCAAATCTCGCAACTCTGCTCGACTTATATGGGGTGGAAAGGGGCCTGGATCACTTTCGGTCGACGGCCACACTCAATTTTGAGCATTTCAAGTTCTACCTGGCCCAGGAGGTGTTCTCCTGCCTGCCCAACACACTCACACTCGCCGAGCTGAGGAGTCACGAGGCCAAAATTGATGAGGTACGCATTGTCACTCTTCTTTTCGTCAAACTTTTGAGCAACACCGCGAGAGAGAAATCACGAAGAATGAATCACACTCGCGCTGCTCTTCTTCCCGCCAAGAATTTCACTCGGGCGCGATCAAAGTGAGATAATTCAAGAGCATTTCTCTTTCATGGGAATTCCATGAGAATTTCTGTCTCTCCTCCCGGATTAACTCAAATCGAAAGACTTCAACAGACGAAACAAGAAATTCGTTAGATATGTATCTTGTCTATGCTACTGAATAGTCGATGTGGTGATATTTTTGGTCGCATAGAAAAAATTTCATTTCTTCACAATCCAATACCGGAGAACAATTATTCAATTAACATATTCAAATACGCCCAATTATCTCATTCCAAAAATACTAGACAGCATAATTAGAGAGCGGCATGTGGAGCAAAGATTTTTGACGCTTTACTAATGGATTGAAAAATATTTGAGGAAATACCATTAGGGCAATTTAAAGAAAAAATTCTAAACCTGGTTAATCTAGTGTTAATATTAAATTCATCCATATATAAATGTTTGCCAAATTGACCACCAAAATCTATTTGTTATCGAAACTTCGCACTTTAGGCCACAGAGATTCAACTCAAGGCGTCCCAAATTAGCATAAATATTAAAACAAAAATATTGTAATTTGCATGAAATTAGATATTTTTATTTGAATGATTCATTTGCATCTCCCAAAAAATATCACGACGATTAACGGTGATTATTGCAGCGAAACAGTATTGCAAAAGACTGGTCAAAACGCCCAAAGATCGACTCCCTTAATGCGAATTTCACGCGAGACGCCCATCATCTTGACCAGAGAAACTTCCAGCCTCCGCGCAAGGAGATACTAGAAGTGTGGAAAAAATGGGGTGATTGCTCAAGAAACCAACGCAAATTTAATTAAACACTTTCTTGCATGACTTGATTAATGTGTTTATGGATTAATTAGCAATCCATTTGGGATTTCCTCCACAGATTTGCTGGCTAGTGTGTCGACAAAAGTATACAAGTCAGCGGGAGAGTAGCATTTATCCCGAGCAATCAGTCTATAAACTCTTCCGAATCTTCTGTATGTTCAGCGATCTCGTGGTACGAACTGATGGCAACTGCCAAGTGCTGATGCACTCTTCAGAAGCCATCCAGATTGTCCAGCAGCTACTGAACATGCTGGGCCTTGACTACGAAGCAGAGAAGAAGTACGAATACCTCGTGAACTCAGATCTCACGTATCGCTTTGAGCAATTCCTCTCACTTGTCGAGTTCAGGGAAGTGCGCGAGGGCACTTTCGAGTGCATCGAATCCCTGTACGAGGCAGTGGATGAGATCTTCCAGATCTACATCAAGGACATCATCAAGAAAGGTTACCTGTACCGTCGCGGCTACTTACTGCCCACACTCCGCGAATACTGGTTCGTATTGCAGCCCTGTGAGTTGTCGTACTACAAGACGCCTCATCTCAAGGAGCTATGCGGCAGCATCTGCCTTGATTCCAACTGCATGGTGAAGCCCTTCATGTCACCCTCTGGGAAGCATGACAAGGTGCAGCGCTTCATAATCACGTCCGGGGAGAGAAATTTTGAGCTCGCGGCTCACGATCATCGCTCCCGAATGCAGTGGATTGCGGCTCTTCAGCTGGCCATCACGTATTCGGCTGGCAAGGAGGGCTTCCAGAGGGATCTCACGACCAGGCGACGGCAGCAGCGGGAGGCCACGAAGCAGAAGCGTCGCGAGGAGGAGCTGGAGCGCAGCACTCACATCCAAGAAGTGGAGGAAGCCAAAGTGCAGTTGGCGCGTGAGAAGATGGCACGAGTGGCGGCGGAGACACAAGCCAAAGAACTGGAAGCGATCGCGCGGGAGGATTCTCGTCGAGTGGCCGAACTGGAGGACATGAAGCAGACCCTGGAGAAATTGCTCATGGAAGAGACACAGGCAAAGAGAGACGAAGAAATTGTTCGTGCACTCCAGGCGCGTGTGCTCTCGGATGAGTGGGAAAAACGTGCAGAGCTGGAGCAACTGCAGGAGGAGCAGCGTGTTCTCCTGGAGCAGGAGCGCCAGAAGAGAATGGAGTTTGAAAAGCTTCAGAAGGAGAAGGAGCAACAGCTTAAGGAAGCTGAGAAACGACTCAAAGAACTCGAGGATGAACGACTGAAGCTGGACAACGAGCTGACTGTGTCCCGATGCAAAATCAAACAATCAGAAGAGGCGAAGGAAGTCCTGGAGACAAGACTCCAGACCATTCAGCCACCATCTCGGGAGGGCAGTCGCGTCCGGCGAGCTCTATCATTCATGCCATCCACTCGTGAGCGACCCACCACGAATGCAGATGCAGAGAAGAGATCATCGAACATCAGGCGGGAGAAAATCATTTCAACCAAATTTAACCACTAGCGTCTTTGTAAAAATTAACCAATAAACTAACTCACCACTGCCAGGAATGCTCCTGCTGGTATTCAGACACAAAGGTCAATCTCCTAGAAAGTCATCAAGACAATGAAGATTTTTTGGACTTAACTCAATTGCCTCAATCGTCAGCCGCATTCCTCTCTGTCTTAAAGTTTATCTGACTGTCTGGTTAAATCCGATGAATCCAATAGAGAAAAGGTACACAAAGTCATATATTGAGAGCTTTTCTGAGCTTCTTTGTCATTCTTATCGCTGGAAGGATTAATTCGAGAGCCCAATTTTGTGGTCAGGAAGTGTCATGAAACAAATGTTGAAAAGAGCGGCAATTCGGTTAGCCTAGACACCAACCAAATTTCAGCTATGATTCAAGAAACTCCTTGATTTGATGTGAAACAGAGATGAAACATTTGCGGTTTGCAACTTATTTTAGGAAATACTGGCTCTTCTCTGTTCCTAGATTAGCATCGCTTGAATTGGGGCCTTCAGGTTATGAGATGAGCAAAAAGAGACAATTTCAGTCATTTCACTTTCCATTGGTGAGTGATTAGGCCGCTTGATAAGCTACTTTCAAGTGAGAACAGACACCAAAAGAGTGCTTTCGATAAGAATACTGTCTCAGTTGTATTTAGTCAATTGATCAAGGAAGGCATTAGAGCGATTGTTTTCATCGTTTTGATCAGTATAAAGTGATTTCTGTGGACAAAATGACCCTGAAGTTCTGTGCTAACCTGTCGTTCATGTTCACGGAGACTGGGAGTCTGCTGGAGCGCTACAATTTGGCTCGTTTGGCGGGATTTCGCGGTGTTGAGAGTGCCTTTCCGAAGGGTTTCTCCATTGAAGACCTCTTGACGGCAAAACAATCCCTCTCTCAGGTGCTAATCAACATTCGTACAGGTGCGCATGCGTTCACTTTGGGAACAGTTGTCATTCAAAGTCAACAGTTATTTTCTTTATTTTGTGCAGGTTCAGTTGCTGGAGGGGAATTCGGCGTAGCTGCTCTTTGCGGAGATTCTAACGATCCTAACTATCAGGAGGCTTTCAGAAGTGATCTTCAGACAACTGTGGAATATGCCAAGGCTCTTGAGTGCAAGAAGTAATTTATTGAATTGTTCTTTGGCAATCGTTTCTCATTCTTTGATTTTTTTTCTTAGGATTCATATTATGGCGGGAAAAGTCTCCAAACCCACGGAGGATAATCGCAAGGTTTATGTGGAGAATTTGAAATATGCAGCCAATGTTTTAGAAAAAGAAAACATTGTGGGACTTATTGAGCCGATAAATAAATACGCAGTTCCTGGATACTACCTCAACTCCTACGAAACAGGTTCCTTATTTGTAGATATATTCATAATGCTGGAATAATCTTAACTTTCTCTTCAGCACTTGATGTCCTGCAAGAAATAAATAACCCTCATATTCGCCTCCAGTTGGACTTCTTCCATTTACAACATATTAAGGGTAACATTACGCATTCTGTGAAGGACCTTTTGCCCTTCGTTGGCCACGTACAAATCGCCCAAGTGCCACATCGCAATGAGCCCAGCACTCCGGGAGAGATTGACTACGAATACGTCCTGAGGATGTTGGCTGAGGAGGGCTACAACGGCTGGGTTGGATGCGAATACCATCCCAAGACGTCCACCAACGACGGTTTGGGATGGATTGAGAAGTTCGGCTTCAAGTTGTGACGCGAGCAAATGTCTTTTCGATGATCGTGAATAAGCAATGAATAAATATCTTCCAATATGCATAGCTTTTCCAGCATTTAACTACTCCCGAACTGCGAAGCGACTCATTTCCTTGAGTATCGTGAGAGTGCAAAGATGTTCCGAATTCGCGAATCCGACATTGAGAGTGCCATTAGCAATTCCCTGCTACATGGCGATATGAACAGGGTGTTTGATATCTCGCAGAAGAGCAAAAAAATCACGGGCTCAATGGATCCCGTGTTGCTGCAGCGCGAGAAGGACCGCAATGTCAGAGCTCAGCTCAACTCTGCCAATGGCGACGCCGTGGAAATTCACGATCAGTTCTATCGGGATCATAAGCTCTTGCTGGTGCTGTTTCGTGTAATGGCCGTGATGCCAATTGAGCGATCTCAGCCGGGAAGGATCACCTTCAGCTGGACTAGCTATGCCACCATTTATGCCATCTGCTTTTACATTTTCACGACGGTTATCGTGATTATCGTGGGTTACGAACGAGTGCAAATTCTACAAACTACGCGAAAGTTCGACGACTACATCTATGCCATCATCTTCGTCATCTTTCTCGTACCACACTTCTGGATCCCTTTCGTGGGCTGGGGCGTGGCCAAGCATGTGGCCATCTACAAGTCCATGTGGGGCACATTCCAGCTGCGCTACTATCGCGTCACAGGGGAGAATCTGCAGTTCCCCCGCTTGAAAATTCTCATCCTGTTGATATCGATTGGGTGTCTTCTGCTTGCGGTGGTTTTCCTTCTCGCCTTGAGCGCTCTCATGGATGGATTTTTCCTCTGGCACACCTCGGCATACTATCACATCGTCACCATGATCAACATGAACTGTGCTCTTTGGTACATCAACTCCAGAGCCATCCGAGAAGCTTCCAGTAGCCTCTCGCGCTGCTTCAGTCGCGACATTCGCATCGAGTGCACATCCACGCTGATTTCAAGTTATCGCTTTCTTTGGCTCAATCTTAGCGAGTTGCTGCAGACTTTGGGGAATGCCTATGCCAGGACATATTCTACCTACTGCCTTTTCATGTTTGTCAACATCACCATTGCAATTTACGGAGCACTGTCCGAAATCTTCGACCACGGATTTAACTTCTCCTTCAAGGAGTTCGGTCTCATCGTAGACTCCACTTATTGCTCAGTGCTGCTCTTCATCTTCGCCGATAGCTCGCACAACGCCACCCTCCAAGTGGCTCAGGGTGTCCAGGATACTCTGCTTGAGATCAATCTGCTCAACGTGGATCAGCCCACGCAGAAAGAGATCGACATCTTCATTCAGGCCATCGAAATGAATCCCGCCGTCGTGAGTCTCAAAGGATACGCCAATGTTAATCGCGAACTCTTGACTTCATCAATCACCACCATTGCTATATACCTCGTTGTCCTGCTGCAGTTCAAGCTTTCCCTCATCCAACAGCAGGCTTTCACTGCCGCGGCGGCTGCAAAGCTTGCTCATGCTGGTCATTGAACCAGGCCATTAGCAGCACACGTGGTCAGAAACAGGATAATGCGCCCCCAACAAACAGTATAATTATATCTAAATCGATTTTGGGAGTAGATTGAGGCAGAGACATAATTGATAAGCATTTCACGGTTGCATGTATTGATAAAAATTTCAAGGGAAACTCAAATTTGCACCTTTAGCTTCTAATTTGTAGTGCAACAACTGCTGCTTTCTCACGAAACTCAGTTAACAGTGATAATCACGTATAATCAGGGGGTTGCAGACTTTCCTGACTTCTTATTTTATCAGCACCCACACTCTTTTACTCAGTCGGATTCTTTTACACAATTATCTTCACTATTTCTGGAACAAAATTCAATAAATTATAATGATACTAATATAAAAATAGTTCTGATGAGTATTTCTTATACATGCTTTATTCATTATGTAAACATAATGTTACTGCCCCTTGGCATTGATCCTGTTTGTCTATTGCTGCCGGGAAAAACCTGTCGCGAGGACATCAATTGCGTGTGTCTTTCAACATTGTCGCTCAGCATGTCATAGTCAAAGCCATAGCGCCGATTCAGTGTTAATAGAGCCGTTTACCATGCCGGACGGAAGTTTCGCTGTTGACAATGAAGATTCCTCTTATTCTACTCCTCCTCTTCAGTCATCAGTCTCTCAGTCAGACTGTGCCGCGTCCCGAATTCAGGATCATTTCGCCACAGTTCATGTGCAACGTGAAGAGTGCCAATACTTCGATAGAGGCTCCGCCGGAACAAATAACCATTCGGTAATTGAGGCGAAGGAGTGTCAATCAGCAGACACCACGGCATGTCAATCAATAATTATCTTTTATGCATTGCCTATAGATTTCAGCCGCGCGAGGGAATGAGGCTCACCTACCTCGTGCGCGTGTATTTTGAATTCATTGACGGATGGAAGAGCCAGTGGCGAACAATTTCCCTCTGGCGAAGTGTTCGCATGCTCGAGAAGAGGATCAGGAATACGAGTGAGACGATAACACTGAACAATCAGATTTACATCGATCAGAAGGAATTGACTCCCGGAGTCGCTTACACATTCAATATCGCCGCCAGGGATTCCAATGGGGGCCTGAGTGAGGAAGAGAACGTCACAGTTCTGTTTCGAGGTGACAGTGTGTCTAAGAATAGCGCCAGAGATACTTCCCTACTGCTTATCGGATCGGTTTACATCTACAGTCATTTGCCTCTTCTTATTCAAGCCAATCTAATCTTTTGTGATCCAACTAATGATTATGTGGTAAGTGTTTGGATATTAATCTTTCAATTTATGACTTTTCATTTAATAATTTATATTTATATCGTTGGAAGTTTAAGTGGCAAATGCCTGTTTTGGAAAATGAACAGCAAGAGTGGTTAAAAACACCTGGGAAAACCTTCTATTTGCCGCCAAATACACTCAAGCCCAGACAAAACGATGAAATACAAGTTCAGGTTGTAAACAGCAATCGGACACTCATGTACACTCAAGTAAGGCTGTTCAAACTTTAAAATCTGCATAATTCTCTTCTAATTCAATGATATCATTTCAGAAATCCATGAAATTACATGTTCTCAACAAAGAATTCTATGCCCTTTTAATTCCCAGAAATCTTTCTATTGGAATCAATCACAAGATCACTTACAAATTGTCCATTTCCGAATTGGACGTTGATCAGTATTCACTTGAGATATCCTGGGAATGTGAAAATCTGCGAAATAACACCAACTGCACCAATTTTCAAGAATCATTCAGCCCAAAACAAGAAGTTTCCTTCCTAGAACAGGGATATTATCGAGTTTCTGCTATTATAACGTATCAGGAATTCACGCAAAATTTAACATCCTTTGTAATAGTGGATCCTAGAGTCATAGCGTCCGTTCAGTTTCCAGACATTAAGCCCGAGCCATTGGTCTCTTGGAGAGCTTTAAGAATTCCAACAGTTGTTAACAACGTCATTCCCAATTGTCTTCTTCAGTGGGTCACAGTAAATGTAACCGAAGATTCCAGTTACGGATTTATTGATGAATCCTTTCTAACGACGAAACTCATTCCGGATCTTGAGGAAAATTTCCTCTCAGATATTGTAGAAATAAGTAATGCTACATTTTCTGAAGATTTCCCATTGGCAGTTCCTGAAAAATCAGATAACTTCGACGGAATAGAGCCTCAAAAGATCTACATTTTCAGACTACTCATAACCTGTCCAGAGCCTATCAATGAGTGGGACAGTGAAAGTCAGGGCAATGTTACGAGTTTCGCAGATCTGATTATAAATTCTAAACAACCACCACAAGCCAGACCGATGGAAGTTATTCCCGAAGAAGGAATTGCTCTCAAGACGCTATTCACAATCTTTACGGGAACTGCTGTGGACACACCCGAAGACTATCCGATGCGATATTTGTTCCAATACCAAGTTGGACCACTTGTGGTAGATCTGGAAGAATACTACGAAAGTATGGAGATTGTTACTGAACTGCCCTATTCGGAAAATCCCATAAGAATATTCTACAGAGTTTGTGACACTGAAAATGCTTGTTCCCGAACAGAAGGACCTGCAGTACGAGTGAACCTAACCAATGACTTTTCCAAAGAGGAATTTAATTTCAAACTTGATAAGATTAAGTCGATGTTTTATCGAACAGAGTATAGCAACATGTTTTCAACGAGTGCCTCTTGTATCTTGACGTTTAGAGAGTTACCAGACAAAACATTCTATCAGATTCTCAAGACTGAACTAATTCAATCAATTCAAAAAGAAATTGATCGTCTTCAGACCATTGATGCTGAAGATATCTTTGTATCACAACTGAAAATCATGTCTTTTGTTAAGTATGGGAAAAGATTAACGGAATTGTTGGGTGATAGAAATGTGAAACTGAAGGAAAGACTTCTGAATCTCCTGAATTCAATTCCTCAAGAAAGATCAGATGATTTTGACGCAATGGAAGAAAATAACCTGATCATGAAGCGTTCAATAAGTAGAGTAGACATTGAAATACGAGATTTATCGCAAGATGATAAGATTCAGAAAGGAATTCTCGATATAGAACTTCGAGAAGCTATACTAAATTCTTACAATTTCACAAGCAACTCACAAAAGATTTCACTTTTAAAAAATTTCACGCAACATCTTCGAGAATTTATAGGAGATATTTTATGTCCTTCACTGCAGTTGTCTTCGGACTACAATTTTGGTAAGCAAATGAGGTAACATAATATAACAAATATCCCTAAATCGTAATTTATCGAATTTACAGCTTCTGTCAATTTTTCCCTGGAAATTTTTCGTGGAAATGCATTTCAAGTGAAAGTGAAGAATCTTTCACTTCCATTATCTTCGTGGAAGGTTAAAAAGCGCAACGGATATGTTGTCTTAAGGAATATTTATCAGACTAGCCCTAATAGAGAATATTGTGCTTCGAGGATTGCATATTCTTCAGACTTCATGACTGGCGATCACGGAAAACTGTTCGATGTGACTCTTTTTGAAATAGATTCAGAATTAAATTCAGCAATTATGATGGAAACTAATGAAGACAATGAGAAGTTTTCGATAGTTTCTCTTCAATTTGAGTCTGAAGGATCATTTGAGGATGCGAAATGCGTTATTTGGAATGGTGATTCTTGGGCAGATGACAATTGTAATGCTGTACTAATAACGTCTTCTAGTATAGAATGTCAATGTTCAACATTGGGCTTTGTAAAGTAAGTCAATCTGGTATGTATTGGAATTTAACAAGTGATAAAAAAAATTTCTCACTCTTCTTAGGGCAATTTCTAATAGTCGTTTCGACTATGAAGAAGTCTATGACAACTTAACAACCGAATCTACAACGGAATATAGCGGAGTTACTAAGCAAAGCGAAACTATTGTAAATGATCCACCAATTGATTTTATGATATTTGATAAAATTGATGAGACTGAAACCCTTGTAATCACAAGTGATATTAAGAAGAAGGCGAATAGCGTCTCGGATATCTTCACTTTCTCCCCCATCGTCAACAATGCTATTGAGGAGATTGTAACAGTTACCACAACCATTCAGAGAAATGCCTCAGAAACGCCCGATGATCATGGAGAGACTGTTCGGGAAACTAGCTTTTGTAATATACCATTGAATGCATATCAGGACAATATCTAATCTAAATGTATTTCTCATTATTTTTCAGCTACGCTTATTGGATTTATCGTTGTGGGTGTATTTTGCCTGATAATCATCTTGATAGTCACACTGAATCTCTATTTTATCCGCAAGAAGAATAAACTGAAGCATCTCCAGGAAATGCAAATCATGGTGAGTCATTTGCTTATTGCAAAACTCAAATATGTACATATTTCTAATTCCATTTCGTCTCTCAGTCAACCGAAGCCAGAGTGCAAAGCGAGGAGATAAAGTATGCCAGATTCTACGACGAACAAATGCTGTCGGGAAATTAGCTTAAAATGCACATTTTCAAAATCTCCTCTTTTTATTAATATTCCTAAATACTGACATTCCATCTCATTCCCTTTTCACTGTTCCTCAATCTGATTAAAGCATTTCATTTTCAATTTCTTTTACAAAACAAATTGATCATTTTCTGTATGGCAGTAGAATGAAAAATATATCTTTTCATCTCACCCTTTTTTTTAGTGCAATTGCAAAACATCGGTTATTGACAATCTTTTTTTTTCTTCTTTTTGAAAAAATCAAATAAATGTATAAAACACTCAAAATATTCATGCTCATCGCACTATGTCTTCCCCATGAGAGACATGAATATTTCCCCTCCCATTTTTTTCTTGTCATATTCGAGTTTCAATATTATAATAATGAAAACAATTACATACCGAGGCCAATGATCATCTTTACTGGAATGATCTTCACGCGATATTCCCGTGAATTGTCGCCTTCAGACCACTCCCAATCACACCCAAACTGTCACTATCGCGTCCGTTGCAGCTCTCATGAATGCCAGACGTGTCGTCCATCAGGATGTCCGTTGAGTGGGAAGCCCCGTACTCTTGTTGCATCATCTCATCCAGACTCGGCGTACTCGTGATGGAATTCCCATCAGTGCCGCCAAAGTACATGGAGGGACTCTCAGGCGAGGATTTCTTCTTGTTCAGCACAATATCCTTCAGGTTGAGATTGACTTTCGGTTTGTTCTTCGGCGGTTCGAAGTAGTAGTTGAATCTCTTGAATGTCTCGATGTCCCTCTCTTCGGACTCCAGCTCGTTCAAGTTCACTTTCTGATTGGGAGCAAAAATGCTGTCTGGAAATTAGATGACGGAAGTCAATGAAAGATCGCTTGTAAGACAAACACTTTACTTACCTCCAAATTCTGGTAGAATCTCACTGCCATTGTTGCTGCTTGCGCACCCATTGCTGGTCCTCATCATGCCTTGCATCCTCCCGGAACGATGACTTCCCACGGCCAAATTCAGATTATCACATGTGCCTGCCGTTGAGTTGGGAATCCTCGTGATTTCCACCTTATTAGACCCAGCATTAGCGGCCGCCGAAGACTGATTCCGCAGAAACTTCGATTCACTTATGTTGTGAATAGTCACCTAATAGTAGATCTATGACATCTCTGCGCAGCTGAGAATTCTCACATTAACACTCACCTCTGAGTTAAGCCTCTGGCCAGGTTGGAGATTCTGCAGAAATGACAGCTCGCTTAACTTCGCGCTGAGTTCCGCTTCGTCGGCATCACTGAAGCGACTTTGTGTGTTTATCACTGGCTGATGAGGTGCCGAACACTCGCCACCCGAGAAGACGCTGTACCCACCAGAGCCTCCATTCATCTGCCCACCACTGCCAAAGTATCCATGCTGGTGGGCTTGAGGAGTCTGCGAAGAGCTGAGGAAGTCCCCATTGAAGCCGTATGACTGTTGATTGTCGAAAGGCGAGTAGGATCGTCCAGAGGATTGACTAAAGTGCGTGTGAATGTTATTGAAGGCACTGTCACGATCCTGTTGACCACTGTCCATTTGCTGATGTCCAGCATGAGGTTCCCACGGAACCTGCTTCTGCTGTGCACTCCTCATCTCACTCCCAATCGCCGAATTGCACTTTCCTGTGTTCCCATTGCATCCACCCAGGCCGTCTGAGAAGTAGGAGAAGTTCTCCTGTCCGTCAGTCGGGCAGTAGACATTGGGACTGTATTGACGGAAGTTTGTGCCCACCCCACTCGAGAGTGCCTGGTGGAGAGCCGGATTCCTGATGGTGAACATTCCATTTTCGTTCTTAATTATCGCCGCCGGAGGATCTCCAGTCATGCCCGGCACAGATTGTGGTCTCATGGGAATTGACTGATGGCGAATAGCATCCGTGACAGCATGGAACATGGGATTCCTCAGTGTGATAATCTTCGACGATTGCTTCTGACCATCACTATCACGACGAGCACGATTGCCAGGCGGAGGATCTTCCTTGCCACCCTTCGCCTTTTTCTTGTTCTTCTTCTTTGACTTCTTCAGCTCCTCCGCCGACGGTTGAGCTGGAGGCGGAGCTGCTCTCCGCATATTACTCATCGGATCAACCATGATCAATCCCGTGCCATCAGGAGCCATCCCACACGGAACGCCGCCGCCATTCATTGCGTTGGTCATCAGCATGTGCGGAGGTGGCTGTCTCGGAGGTTCAACTTGCTGCTGCTGCTGGCCAGCTATTGGAGTGCATAACCTTCCGATTGACTCCTTCTTGGCCTTCACAGCCTCTGCCATTGAGGGATCCACCCGAGTTAGAGTGATTCCTGGAGGAAGCGTCAATCCTTCCACCTTAATTCCTCTATTCAATTGCTCCATTATGCTGATATTGTTGCCCTGTTGCTGGGAAATAAAACACAATATTGAAAAAAATTAAAAACAAAGGAATTATCATACATCTTACCTTATCAGGACTCTTGCAGTCATTCACCAGTTCAATGGTAGTATCAGCGTTTAAATGCAATTTCAACATTGATTTCGAGAGAGACTTCGCGACCTTCTCCGCCCTCGAGACATTCCTATCAACGGACGCTTTTGCTGTTGTTGCCGCCGATTCCGCCTTTATCTTAGCATTTTTCTCTTGCTGCAAAAGTTTCTTTTTCTGCTTCTTTGTCAGTGGCGGATTGCTTGGCTCCTCCTGAACAACTTTCGACTGAACAACAGTCTCTTGAGTTCCTTTCTTGGCGCCTTTCTTTTGCTCTCCCGAAGACTTCTCAATTTTAATTGTATCATCCTTCATTTTATCCTTCTGCTTGCTCTTAGGCGGATTTTTCTGGACTTCCTTAGCCGGTGACCGTTCAGGAACTTTATGTGCAGGTGACAAATGCATATCGGAAGAAGTTGATTCCATGTCAGAAAACTCATCAGTGTCCAGAACACCAAATTTGTTGGCTTTGAACTCAGGATCAATTTCATAGACTTGGCGAGAAGGCTCCGGAACACTTTCCTCGGAGTTCTTCTTCGTCTGAGTCTTAGTCTTCTTGCTCTCCTTCACAATCTTAGAGTCTTTAGTATCACTCTTGACATCTTTCTTCTTCTCAAGTTTCACCTCCTCCTTCACACTCTGCTTCACGGCTGTCTTACTCTTATTGCTCTCCTTTAGTTTCTTCTCCTCCTCAGCCGCCTTCTTTGCCTTGGCCGCCTTTGCCTCCTTTTCAGCCTTCTCAGCCGCCTCTGCAGCCTTCTTCTGCTTCTTCGTCAACTTCTGAGTACTTTCTTGACTCTTTGCTTGAACAGCCTTCGTCTCCATTATTTTGCTGCTTTGCGGCTCTGGCTGCTTCTTTATCGAAGTCTTCGTCTTGCTAGTTACTTGAGATTGCAGTTGAGCAAGACGTGGCGGTACGACGCAACATTCATCCCGGCAAACAGGCTGACTTTGCATCGCTTTGTTATGCTGCTGCAGACTTGCTTGGTACTGCTCTTGCATATTGTAGGTTGTAGGTTGAAGACTCTTGAGTAGCATTGGGTCCAGAGAAGACGCCGGAACCATTTGTCCATTTATAAAGGAGTACAAAAGCTGATCTTTATCCGGTGACGCACCCTTGGCTGTCACTGTCACTTGAGGCTCAGCATGCGGCAAATTGATCCTCCGGATAGTGACCATTCGCTTCGTGGGATCCAACGATATTTCGCAGTTCATCTGCGATGGGTTTTGACCCGAGGTAACGTATGAGCTCACAGTAGATTTTCCCGAAATTGGATGAAACTGTGGTGAGATGAACGGCGGAGGGACTGGTGGTGGGCAAGGACTCGCTTGGGATTTCACCTTGTCTGCCTTGCTGGAAGTTTTGACTTTTGGCTCTTTTGGCGGCTGGTAATTGAAATTGAAATCAGGATTGTTCTCCCGAATCTCACAGATTATTTCACATATTGCCGACTCCGTCTTGGACTTGATCCTCGTTAGTCGCTTCAGCTCAGCCTCCTGCTCATTTATCTTCTTCTTGTCCTTCTTCTTCACCGACTTCAGTGCCTTCATCTCCGCCTTTGCATCCGTCTCCTTCGAACAATCGCCATGGTACTGCACTTTCAGTATCTCCAGCTCCTCCATCTTTTTCAATTCGTTCTTCTTCTGCCTTTGACGCTCCTTCTTAGCTGCCTTCTTGTCGGAATCCTTGCCATCACACGCCTTGGGCGCCGGAGCTCCTTCGATAAACTGCAGAATGTCATTCAGAGGAGACGTTCCATCGACAGTGCCACAACTGCTGCTGTCCCTTCGACCAATTGACGATGGTGCACTGCTGTTGCAAGAATGAAGCGGCGGTGGTGGCTTCGGCGCAACTTTGACCTCAGTCTCCTCACTGATCAGGTTACCAACTGTAGCAGGCTTTATGAGTGGCACATCCTTTGTCGGCATCGGTAGGAGCTTTCTTCTGGTCGGTGGCTGTAAAACTGCCGGATTGGGAATTGCTGGACCTGTGTTTTCCTTCAGAGTGGACGTGGCGGTGTTCAATTTTGCTGAATTGGCAACACTCTTGAACAGACCAGGCGCGACTTTACTGAAGCTCTTCATCGGCTTCATCTCTTTGTTGTTGTGAATTTGATGAAGCCTCTTTCTCAGTCGGTCTCTCGTCTCGTTGTTTCGCCCATGATTACATTCCTACAAACAAAATACACAAAAAGAACCCATTAAGACATCTATCAAGCTCACATTTCTTTTTCTAGAGAGATCTGCAAGAAGTATTTAGTACTCATGTGTAATGTTTCTGTTTTTATATAGAGAAGTAAAGCAGAAAAGCTTAGAACATATTTCTACTTCCCTATTGCAAATCTGTTAATATGCATTGAGAAGAGTAACCCTTCTCATAATATTCTTTTTAGTACGATAGACGAAAAAGAATAGTGATATGGGGTTAGTAAGAATAGAAAGGAAAATAATACTTATTCAGTGGTTGGTGAACGATTTTACTGTACCCTATTTTTACTACGAGTTTTACGTACGGTATGCCCAAAGATTGTGCAGTAGTAACACGTGCACTGGCCATCACCCTTGTGGCATAATTTGCTCGAGTGATTCTCTCGGCAGCTGTCCAGAATCTCTGAATGGTCAGCACAACCTGCAAATGCAATGAAACAATGAGCGAATCCTGAGAAGATTCAGCATTCCATTTGGACTCACATTTCGTGCTGCCTTTCTCCGTCTTCAGAAGTTTGTTCTCACTCTCCTTGATTTGCTCCAAATCTCTCATCATATCCTTGAGCGCACTGAAAGATGACCTTACATTAGTGGATTTTAGTAGAGAGTTTCTTCCCACTTCGACCATTTACCTGTGTTCCTTCTTCAATGTCCGCAACTCCGCCTCGAGTTTCTTGTTCAATTTCCGACTGTGGGCAAGTCGCATGGCCTCAGTGAGCACCTCGGTCTTGAACTCCTTTGATGGCTTCCCCTCCACAGGATCTGCCGTCTTCTCTACCTTATCAGGACTCAAATCCGCCCTGTCCAGACCCTCAGCAAATCTCTTCATCAACTTATCAGCCGTTGTCTTCACCTCCAGCTTCATCTCTTTCATGCCATCGTGCTGTTCATAGCTTGGTCCATTAATTTTCATATTCTCTATCTGAATCTTCAAATCCGCCACCGCCAGACACTCTTCCGTTAAACTCCTCTTCTCCGAATCTGACTTCGACTCAAGAATCATTGCCTTAGTAATGTGGATACACTCCAACCATCCCAAGTCAATCGCAATGTCAGATCCGGTGGTCTTGAAGAGGAACTGAAAGCACGGAAAGATCTCCTCGTCAGGCGGAAATGTGAAATCCGTGAGATAACACTCGGCGAACACCGACGCCACAACTCCTGTGTCCAGATTGCAATCCTCATAGAGCAGGTGGAGATAATTCGAGCAGTTGTTGTTCGGATTCCGGAAGAACTTCTTCCGCAACTCCTCAGACAGCGGCTGATAGGCAGTGAGGAGGAACTTGGTAAGCTTGAAAGGATAGAGAGCCACAATGAGATGAGTGGCCACACGACACTCTACTCGCCTACAAGGCGTGGGTCTGAACATGCAGAGATGCCTCAGGTTGAGCTTCTTCACCGTATACGGCACCCGATCGGGCAGGTGCTTAAACACAGCCCAAGAGAGATGGTAGATTATTTGATTCTCCGGCTTCACGGCCGCCATGGCAGCCTCGGTATCGCTGGAGAAGAGATCAAAGGAGATGCACTGGCGTCCCATGTCCGTTTCCACAAAGTATTTCTCCTCGTGCTTGTGGATGAACTTCATCACGTACGTCAGGTAGTCACGATCGAAAGTTTTGAAGCAGCACTTAGCGCAGATCTTGAGGTTTAACTCCTCCGACTGTGAGAACACCGGCCCGCCAGCTATCAAACACGTTCGACACTCACAGTGAAGCTTGTGATCGGCCAGCTCAACGTTGCAGTGCAAGCAATGATTGTGCTCAATAGAAGCCGTCAGTCGCTTATCCGTGCACGGAGTCCATCTGGTCCGGATGTGCGACAGAGTGTTCTGCCACACATACTCCTTGTCCTGTGACTCTAGCCAGTCTAGCACCCCACTGTTGATCTCCATCGCTGCCGGCGCTTCGCCATTGGATCTACTCATCTGTATAAGTCCCAAAAAGTTGTGCGCCGCCAGAATCCGCTGACGTCTTAGCATGTCCTTTTGCGACATGTGGTAATTCTGCAGCTGCAGCCACGTCTCTTTCCACATCTCCGCGGTGAGCATGAGTTCATCGCTGAAGTCAAAGTACCTTTTCAGTATCGATGGCGTGTCTTCGTAAGAAATGAGTCGGAGCTGAGCCAAGCACTGCGGAATCAAGTACTGCACCTGCGACGACACGAATTTGTGGTACAGCCGTTTGTTTAGCAACAACCACGTCAGGGAGAATTGCTGCAGGTGTCCGGATTGGTTCTCGAACAAGAGTGGTGTCAAGACTTTAGCGGCATTGCAGATTTTCTCATATCCATCAAGCACGTAAGGCGTCAATTCCAGTGAATTGAATTCCGGACTCACTCCATCCTCCTTGTACTTGATAATCTCCTTGAGTCCCTCAGCGTACGCCATCACCAAACATCGCACCTGGATGCAGAGCAACTCGAACAGTTGATGCGGATCCCGCGAATAGAGCATGCTGAAGACCAGAATGAAGGTCATCTCATTGGTCAGGGGCAAATTGGAGCCCAGAGAGATCTGGATGTTCTTCTTAAAGTCCAGCTGACCATCACTCAACCACTTCGTGGTGCTCTTGTTCATCAACTCGCGGTACTTTCGGTCCAGGGGAGAGTTCGGATCACTGAAAAAGAGGAATTTTTGAGATTTCTGCGCAGACACAAGGTCACAATGGAGAATACTCACTCCGGAATAAGATCGTAGTACTTTCGAATAATTAGCTGCAATCTCTCCCACAGAATATTGTACTCCAGATCCTCCAGATAAATCTGGATGATGCACTCTCTGTACTTCATGCAAATGCTACAGTCGCACGTCTCTCGGATTACATTATCCTCATGCGTCTCTTGGTCTCTGTCCGTCGGCTGGTCCTGAAAATGCATGGGGAATGCAACTTATTGCGACTCCAATTGGAAACATTCTCTCCAGCTATAGGGGCATTCCGGAAACATCCCTCCGGAAAGCAAGGTTATGTCCCCCACTTTCACATATTTCCGAATATCTCCTAAAATATCCCAGGAGCGCCACTCACTACCCTCTCCTCCATTTCTCAGAATATGTCCAGGCACACACTATCCTGGGAAACCGCAGAAATGCAGCCATTTCCAAGGAAAAGTGCATGTTCCTACGCACAATCGACTACGGAATTTTATGTAACAAAAGCATTGGCGACACAAACAATTCTCCACAATTTCAAACACATCTTCAGCCAATCTCACCTTGTCCACCAGCTCCAGGTCCTGATCCTGACACTCCCCGTTCACATGAGCTGTGGCTGGTTCGAAAATAACAAATTTCGAGAGGAATTCCAGCGTGTTTGGACGCGGACGCTCAGCTGCGGGGCTTTCCTTGCTCATTTTTCCACCCAGATTGCACTCCAGCATCGGTTTGGCCGCTTTCAGCAGGATTGGTGATGGTGCCACGGATACAGTGCAACGAAGAGTCACTCCAAGCGGAATTGTGGTCGGAAAAGCGATATTTTTCCACACAAAACCAAGAATCTTGAACAATTTTCTTCAGGAAAATATGACAGCTTTCAAACTACTGAACGCGCAGCACCACCTGGTGAATGGTCAATCGAAATACAGCGACAGTGAAAATTAGTTGTGGTCCCCAGTCACCGGGAGCGCTGCGACATTTCCATTTTAAAAGTCAAACTGTTGCAGGATTTTAAGATATTCCAAAATTAATTAATTTTATTAGTCTTTATGCTTTATGCTCATTCGGCAGATTTCCACTGCTATCACAATTTCGTCTCTCCCTTCTCTCGCGTGCTCGGCGATTCTGGAACCATATTTTCACGCGAACGCAGGACAAATCGAGTTTCTGGGCGAGACTATTGGCTTCCTCTGAACTGAGGTATGTGGACACTTTGTAGGCATCCTCCAAGGCACATAGTTGACTTACAGTGAAAGGGACGCGGGGCAATCGTCCAGGAGTTCGCTTGACAGGTCCTATTCTCAGTGGCCCTTCAGAAGAGGCGAAAAGAATCTTGCAATAATTCTCTTAATTTTGACTATTAAGAACTCACTTGGAAGCTTTGGAGGGTGATATCTTGTGTACTGAAGCCAATCCAGATGAGGAGTGTGTCTCTGAATCTCTATCCTGTTCTGAGGATGACACTGCGAAGAGCATCCTGGCCAGTGATCCACAAAAGGCACTTCCTGGACTTCATCATTCCTTTTAATATCCTCTCCCGCTCTGTTTAAAATGTGATCGATGCTAAAGTCACTCTGTTTCACACATAAATCCTTCTTCTCCATCACGACACAGAATAAATCCAACATCCTTCGGAAGGAACAAAGTTGAGTATTGCAGGATATCTGAGGATGAACTAATCGAGGCTCTGAGGATCCCTTCTATTTATACGTGAAGGATTAGAGACGGCACTAAGGAAAGGAGGCATGAAATTTGGGCGGATCCTTATCTCCTTCTCTCTCCTCTGTTGCAATTCCGACCACATTCGTGTAAAAGAGCGGCTGTATGAGTACTGAAGAGGTATCTATTTCACCCAGAGGGATGATCCTCACTCGTCCTGTTGAAAGTGTGTCTTGTTTACCCTTGTTTATGTAATTACCAATCACCAACTGCTCCTGAATATATTCATTGGGATAATAGCTGATAAATTGTGATCTCTGCGAGGGGAGGAAGTTTCTCTAAACCACTTCACATGCTAAGTGTACAGATAAGTTCTGATTGTAAAACTAACTGATGGTTTTTATAGAGGAATTGTCTGACCATCCCCGAACGGTATCAATTACAGAATGAGGGAAATGAATTACAATATGAAAGGAAAATTAATTTATTTTGTAACAATAGTTTAGTATCGGATTTCCAACATGAGGCATTCCGGATAGTCCTTTTACGCGCTTCCCAGGCCGCCAAGAGGCCACCAATTCGCGCGGTGAGGAGCAAAAGGCCGCTCTCAGCGGGTGATTGGATTATCCGGAAGGTGATTCTTCCTTTGCGGCGAAGAAATGAACAGTATATATCTTGCATTTCGCAATGCTCCTTATAGGATTGTCTCTATTATTGGGAGCATTTTATTGAAGAAAAGCCGATTTGGCGCCTCTTTTGAAACCGATCCGCACATCTCCACATCCTCTCAATCCTTAATCCACTATTCAGCTGTGGATTCATGGTTTTCCCAGCTCATGACGAATCTATTACCAGTTTGTCGAGAGGACAAACTCGAGGACACTCTTCAAATTGGAGACAAGATCCTTATCAGCCTCGGTATTGGTGAAGTGTCTCTTTATGGTTTTATTTTGCAACAGTTTAATGCAGGCACAAAGGGAGAATGTGATTCTTATCGCATTCTGTCTGGTGCTTCTCGAGCGAACGACAACATGGGAATCAGTTGGGCTTTTCTCGCATTTCTCCACAGACGCAAATGCAGGAGGTAAGATGAGGACATCTCAGCGGCTTGATGTTCTGTGTACTCAATTTTGTAATTGAGGGATTTCGGTTGTCTCATTCCTGGCCACTGTCTTCTCAAGAGTCGCCCAGCCGGATTGACCAGCTGCAGATTTAGGACTATGATAAAGCTTTTCAATCAATTAGCTTCGCATTGAGAAGATTTAATACGTTGATCTCACGTGTAGAATGACGTTCAGATTTTCATGTTTTGCAATTGAAAAATTAATTTATTCTGCACAATTGAGAAATTGTGGGAAAGGTCAGATAAACAATGAATTGATTTGCCCCAGATTAACCAAGCAAAGCTGCTTAAATGAGCAACAGTGATAAGATTCTACTTGCGGTTCGTGTGGATATTTTCTGCACAAATATTTAACAGAGAGACAAAATCTGTGCGAGTAGGTTAAAATTATTTGTTCGTGAAAGAGCAAATGAGAGTCAAGTTCGGAGAAAGTAAGAACTCCACGATTGAGGTCAAAAACCCACCAAACAGCTTTTTTTCGGGGCTGCTAAGTATTTTTTTTCATGCACTCACATGAAGAAAATGGCATTAAAACAAATGATTTCGCATGTCCGACCAAATAACTTTTAATTATACATATTAAAAAGACACAATAAAATTGTAATTGACATCCTCTCAACTTTTTTCAATTTTTCACGGCTTTAATTGCATTTCAGACGCTGATGTAGGGGAAAGGGAACCACGGTCTCCCCACTTACAGAGCAACTCTTTTCTCTTTCTTTCGTCGCTTATTTTCAGTACTTTTCGTGCCGTTGAGACATTCACATCCGCTCCTTGAATGAATATCGCGAAAACAGTGACAAAAATTGTGAAAATGGCCAATATTCCTAAAATCGCCTTCAGCAATGGCCTGGAGATTCCCGCTGTTGGTTTGGGAACGTGGAGAGTGAGAGCTGAAAATTGCATTTACCTCTGTAAAGTATGCTTGACCCCATTTCCACTGTTTTTCAGGCTCCAGATAATGAAGTGGAGACCGCTCTAGAAACGGCTCTCAAGTGCGGATATCGCCATATCGATGCAGCTCCGGTTTATCTCAATGAACCCGTCATCGGGCGAACCTTGAAGCGCTTCATGGATTCTGGAGAAATTAAGCGCGATGAATTGTTTATCTGCACAAAATTGCCGCCTCATGCCAATCGTCCGGGATGCGTGGAGAAGTACCTCAAGAAATCTCTGGAGAGTCTCCAGCTGGATTATGTGGATTTGTATCTCATCCACACGCCTTTCACTGTCCCCGAAGTCGATGGGGAGTTCCTGAGGGATGACAATGGGTACGTCATCCTCGACAGGGAGACCGACCATGTGGCCACATGGAAGAGAATGGAGGACATGGTGTCCCAAGGATTGGCCAGGAACATTGGACTCTCAAATTTCAATGAGCGCCAGATTCAGCGCATTCTCGATAATTCAACCATAAAGCCAGTGAATCTACAGATCGAAGTGCATGTGTATCTTCAGCAGAAGAGTCTCGTGGATTTCTGTCGCAAGAATGACATTGTGGTTACGGCGTATTCTCCTCTGGGCTCCAGAGGCATTGCAGACATGCTCAAATCTGCCGGAATCATGTGAGTATTTCTTTTATTACTGTGCATACAGAGCATTTTGTTTGGGTGTTTAACATCCCCATGACTACTGAATAGTTAGTTTCTCTCCGGAAATGGAGCGTCGTGATCTCAGAAAGAAGCGTCTTCTGAGCAAATTTGAACCCATTTACTCAGAAGAAGAGGATAATCTTGAGTATCAAAGTACAATAGTTCCTGTTCTCAGCGAAAACTCGACAGTTCCTCAGGAAGTGCTTCAATTTGATTATTCCTTCGGTTATAATTGCAAGAAGCTCTCAAATCTCTGTTTAATCGATAAGAATGTTTTGGTGTTTACCTCTGGGAACCTCATTCACTTCCTCAATATCCCAAAGGTGTCGGTGTCTGTGAGGAGAAGTGAGGGAGGAGCGGGAATTGGGAGCATTGCAGTGAATCCCAAGTACAATTACTTGACTGTGGGAGAGAATGGCCACGATCCGTCAATTTATCTCTATGAGTATCCCAGAATGACTATCGTTTCGAAACTTATGGGCGGTGGAAATGCCACAATATCTGCCCTAGCCTACAGTAATAATGGAGAGATGTTGGCCTCACAATCAGGCCTTCCTGACCTCATGCTGACCATATGGAATTGGCGCGAAGAGAAAATCATCCTGCAACAGAAATCCTTCAGAAATCTCGTCTTTAATCTTCAATTTTCAACAGTCAGCGACAATTCACTGATTACTTGTGGCGTGGATCACATAAAATTCTGGAAGATGTGCAAAACATTCACGGGCTTGAAACTCACCGGAGAAGTAGGAAAGTTTGGCAAGACCACAGTTTGCAATATCTATGGGATTTTAGCAATTGAGGAGGACAAAGTGTTATCTGGATGTGCTTGGGGAAACATCTTGGTTTGGGAAAAGGGAAGAATTCAATATGAGGTGTGCAGGAAAAATCGCCGACCCTGTCATTTAGCTCCTATTTCGCAAATTCTCTGGCAAAGCGGAGAAGTCTTCACGATTAGTTTGGATGGATATGTGAAGGTGTGGTATTGGGACTCTGTCGAATCCTCAAGTCCATGCTCAGAGGATGAGGCTTTCATAGAAATTGAACCTCTTTATGAGTACTTTATAGGCCACGACAATCACAGCAGTGAGCTGATTTCACTGGTCAAGAGGAATCCCTCAAATCCCAGAGATTACATGTGGTTGGCTCAGGATGGAAACGGAGGAATTTGGCAATGTGACATCAGTCCAGAACCCTTTCCTGAGCCTCCTATTCAGCTGTTCAAGTGTCATGCAGGAGAAATTGTGGCTGTTTCCGCCAGTCCAACAACCAATCACATCGCCACTCTTGGGAGAGACGGAAGACTCCACATCTATGACTATGAACATCACCAATTGGTGCACCAGCATCAGTTTAAATCTCACGGAACCGATATGATCTGGTTTCCACTGGATTGCGATCCTTCTGGACGTATTCTAATCAGTGCTTTTAGCGATGGTGCTTTGAGATTAGTGTTTCTGGCTCTAAACGAGAAGAAAATCCACCTTTTCCAAGCAATTAAAGCCCACAAAGAGGCCATCAAAGCACTATGTTTGAATCCCTCTTCGACAATCTTGGCTTCTGGGTCACAAGATGAAACAGTTTTTATACATCAACTGAGTAAATCCAATAACTTGATCTTCATCAATCCAGTTGGATTGGTGAAAATGCCCTCAGCAGTCAATGCAATCACTTGGAATTCCACAATTCCTTCGAAACTACTAATAGGGTGTCAAGGAAATGAAATAATTCACGTTGATTTCCCGGAAAAACCATTATTCTACACAGAAAATACATTTTTCGTGTCTAATGTGGGCAAAGAAGAGCTCCAATGTCCGCCCAAAAAGAAAGAAATCCAAAGAATGAAGAGGATTACTGAAGTTTGGTATAAGAAGGCGATTATGAAGGAATTTGTACCAACTTATGCACCAAAAACCATCCAAGAACCGATTCCTGAAGAGGATTCTCTGGCGAAATTCGCCACAAGCTTTCAAAGAGATGATCTTGCATTGGAGATCACAACACCTGATCCTGGAGAAATCATTTGGATGAAATTCATCGACAAGGACAGTTTTTGGGTGGCAATGTCAGGAGATGAGAGTGGATATTTGTACGAGTATAAGTTCAATGAAGAATTCAATCCCATCAGATGTATTACAATTCCAGACGCTGAAGATCTAGAAATAACTTGCTATTTTTACAAGAATGATTTGCTGGCTTTTGGCATGAGCAATGGATCGATCCGTCTCACCAAAATCAAAGAGGATTTTCGTTCCTTCGACGATCGCTGGGAATTGGTGATGCATAGCAATGAAAATGGAATGATTCCTCGCCTGGTGGATAGTCGAGATGGCAAATATCTCTTCTCCATTGGTCACGATGGTAATATATTTTCATACAAGTGGAACATTGCAGGTTTTACCGGAGTTCCTACTAAATCTGTGGATGACGTTGAATTTCCTGATGTTGAAGAAATCATGGATAGGGATTTCTCTAAAACTCTCTCTTTGGAAGAGGAGAAGCAGAAGATTTCTGATGAATTGCGCGAAAAGGAGAGTCAAATCAAGAAGCAAAACATCCGCAATATTCTCTCAGTTTATCGAGATGAATTCAAAGATATTATTGAGAGAAATTCTCAGCTTCCAGAAGAGCAGAGAATTGGAGAAAGTGATGATCTGCAGATAGATGAGAGGATTAATAGAGACTTGCAGAATTCTTTGGAGAAAGAAATGAATTTGTTGAAGAGGAAGATGGCTTTCGATGTAGAAAAAGCAAAACTAGCCAGCAGCAAGATGATGCACTACTTCATAGATCCTCTAGAAACTTATCCCATCAAAGTAGCGGGTCTTAACACACCCAAGAATGTGAAATCCTTCAGGGTTCAGAAGCTGAATGAAGAGTATTTCGCCTGCAAAGATGATCTTGACAGACGAATACTGCTGGATGTGGACAAAATCACGTGAGCTTATCGCCAGATTATTGTTATTTTATCTATTGAGCCAATTCTACTCTTATTTCAGGACTAAAGAGCAGAGATTATCCATCGAGATGACCAAAAACTTAGGTTACACTCAACGAACAATTCAATCTGAAGGCGAAGGAGTGAAGATGAGTCGAATTGAATCCTTCCTGAAGGATTTAACGGAGACCAAGAGCACTTACAATCTTCATATGAAAATGAGGCGTCTTCTGAACAAATATCAGGAGAGGAAATCCAGAGAGATGGACAGGAAGCGGGAATGGGAAGCTGTCAATGGCCAAAAGCCAAATATTAATGTCAATCATCCAGACGACGCGAAGGCTCTGATTGATGCCAAAGCAACGATTGGGGACTACAAATTGAAGACTGATCTCAAGCACTTACCGACAGACAGTACTCATAATATGCTTCTGGATAAGTACAACGAGATACTTAAGATCAGAGAGGAAATCTTCCTCAAGAAAAATGAGTACAATGAGAAGATTTTCAGTTTGCGACAGAGAAAAGCTGATCTTGTGGCTTTCATTGGGCGCCAATCGGAAAAATTGAAAGAAATCCATAAGGAAATCCCGGAAGAGGACAGAAAATTCATTCCTGAATATAACGAAATCAATGAGAAGATTGAATACCCGGAGATTTCTTTGAAATTGCTTGATCAAGGAGAAATTATTGGGGTGTCTCGCATGAATTCTACAAAGAAAAAGTTCGATGAAGATGAGATAATGGAGGATCTTGATATTGATGATCTTGAGAGGGAAATTCTCTTCAATTTAGCTGAGAGTAAGGAAAGTGCTTGGAAAGTTGAGCTGCAGAAAGCGAGAATGTCAAGAAAACTCTTCGAGCAAGGTCAATTGACTGATGAAATAAGTGACAGGATTAAGGATTTCGATGATTACCTCATTCAATTGGACCACGAACGACTCAGTGTAGAGTTGGATGTGAAATTCCTCGAGATACAACTTCTCACACTCAACGAAGAATTGGAGATTTTGAGGGATTTTGAAGACAGAGAGGTTGGTCTGGTGGAGCATGTGGATGCCAAGATGCTGGAGAATAGCCAACTCTTGGGTACAATCATGAGTCAGGAGACCTCATTGGATACTCTGAAGAAAAATCTGCACAAGTTGAAGGAAGAGGAGAAGGGTTTTCAAGTGAAATTTCAAGAAAACTGCTCAGAGAGTCGTTTCTTCAAAATCTTCAGGACGATTTTTGATGGGAAACATGGTTCAGTAGAATTTCCTCCTTCGATATCACTTGGGTCTGTGGATGCAGGCAGTCAAGATTGCTCGTTTCGCTACGATGACGACGCTATTGATGAGTATGACAAGGAATTGTATCACTTTGTGCTGCAGCTGAGAAAGCAAGTGTTGGTAAATGCAGAATCTCAGTATTTGGAGCAACAGAAGATAGCCGAGACCAAAGCGAGTCTCCAGAAATTGACTGAAACCATAAAGGATGTCCAGAAGGATTTAGCTGAGAAGCAGGAGAATCTCCTGAAATCACGAAGGGAAAAGCAGAAGCTTCTAAACGATGTGAAAACTGTGGTGATCCTCAAGATGGATCAGCTTCAACACTTCAGAGAGAGGAGTGACTTTGAAAATGTGGAAAAGACTCTTCTCTTCACCAACGAGAATGTGGCTAAACTCTATGCTCGCGTGGGACAATTGGCTGTAGAGACTGTGGAGGCGAAGAGGAAGCACCGCGTGAACATCGTTCACTTGTCCAGGCTCAAGACCGATTGCCACTGCATGGAGGGCGAAATAGCACAGCTGAAGATGGATATCAAGAGTGCCATGATTAAGAAATTTGGTATGATTGTGAATCTGGATGAACTGCAAGAGACTGTCTTGAGACGGCTTGTGTATGAGATTCGATTGAATATAGACAGCATTGCTGAGGATTTCGACAAGAAGACATCAGAGCAGAAGAGGATTCTGTCTGAGAAGAAGATTGATTACATTAGGGTGATTCGAGAAGGGACAGATAAGCTGAATATTTTGACGGTTCTTCAGGAGGAGCAAAACTTCTTGGCAGAATTATTGGCTCACCAGCAGAAACTGCGCCAGAAGAAGAAAAGTCAGAGACAAATTGACTTCATGAAGGATCTCGAGAAACTCAGAGAGATAGCAAAGCAACAAAAGACCCAGATTGAATCTCTGCAGCGAGAGATTCGCACGTTGAGCCTCAAATGCAAACCTTTCGGGAACTTGGCTTTGGACCCCATGAAAACCCCCCGAAAATCATTGGCATTCGAGCAGAAAGAATATGAAGACTCTATTTTTGCAAGCGTTGTGGATTCTTTGCCCAACAGTGATCGCAGAGGTTCTCCAGACTTCTTGTTGTCCATGGAAATTGTGAACATCGTGAGTGCTTTCCTGCACAAAAGTCTTATGGAAAAGCGTATCGAAGAGAAGTATGTTAAGAGATGCAGTGATGGTCTCACCAAGTACTTCTTGAACGTTGCGAAGAACTTTGACTTCAGCAAGAGCGAAGAATTGCTGCCCTGCATCGTCCAAGACTTCCAATCCTATCTCCCGGATGAGTGTCGTTGGTCAATCTCAGCGGCGGACATTGCCAATGTCTTCGAGAGGATCATGACGAAACTGCGCACGGAGGAAAATGATGTGGACTTCAAGGATGTCATATCGGGAATCGTGGAAAACTCTGTGGAAATTGTTACTGTAACGGGAGCAGAATCCTACACAGACGCCCTAATCACAGAGATTTTCAGACAGATCTGTGTGACTTTGCAATTGTCTGACTTCACCGATAAGAGTCACATTAATATGCTTGTAGATGCTGTGGCATCAATGTCTGATCTCAATCTCACGGAGATCAATATGGAAAAGGTCGTCCAAGATGTAGAGGAATTCGCCACGACTAATCTCACAGATGATATTGATTCTAATTTTATAAAAGCCCTCATTGGAAGTTTCATTGAGAAGCTGAGAGGCAAATTATCTTAGGGTGTTTGAGTGAAACTGAAGTCTGAACATGTGAATAACCAATTATATTATCATAGAAAAGTGTGTGAATTGCTAAAAAAAAAAGTGTAACTCTAGTAAGTTCAGCTCATGTTAAATTTATTTAGGAAAATCTTTACAAAAGTAAACATTTGTGGCAATTTTAAGTCAAATTTAATCACAGAAGTGTGCCAAAAATTATGCTTTCATTAGAGATTGAAATGTTGATTTTCCCAAATATTGTATCAATGTCTATTTCTCCGAGTATTTCGTGAAAAAAAAAACCAGTCACATTACCTTATAACTCTTAATACTACACGTATTTACATTACAAACAGCTCTATATTCAACATTTAAAAGTTCACATGTGATTCTTCACATCAAAATTAAAGCATAAATCTCATATAGTCCATGCAAATATGTCTATATATTGTTAAAGATAAACTTTGTTATGATTTACAGACGCAACATACCGGATCTGGTTGAGAATCCCGTAGTGATGAAGATGGCGAGTAAGTACGAGAAAACGCCCGGTCAGATTCTGCTCAAGTACAACGTCCAGCGTGGTCTGGTGGTCATCCCGAAGAGCACTAACGAGTCGCGATTGAGACAGAACATTGACCTGTTTGATTTCACACTCTCGGAAGACGACATGGAAGTGCTGGCGGACATCAATGAGAACGTGAGAGTGTGCGATTTCGCCTTCTTCAAAGGGTAACTTGACTCTCTCTCTTCACTGTTTCCCTTGCATTGATACAATTTCCTCTCCTCTTGCAGGATGGACAAGCATCCCGAATTCCCGTTCTGATTTTGATGCATTGGTCATGTTCTTGTTCTCTCCCTATTTATCCCTGGGTATCACTTTTAAAATGAGGTTCTCGAGTTAGTGGCGTTCAGAGCGCGAATAAAATCGTCAAGCACGAAATTCAGTTGGTTTCATTTGGAGCTACTACTCGCTGAGTTTGTCACTGGGGAATCCTTGTTGATGGCCGACACTGTAAGGTCGAAGATCATTACGAGGAGACAGAGCAGCAGTGGGCCCAGCACGGCTCCCTGGAGGCCCATCCAGTACAGTCCGCCGGCAATGGACAGACCCGTGAGATATGGATGCCCTGAGCTCTTGATGTCCGCATAAACTGCCGCATCCACAGTTGATGGGATGAAAAAGTGGAGCGCCAGGAGGATCACAGCCATCCAGAATCTGTCCTGCGCCAGCCACAAGTCGAAGAATGCCGGCACGGCGCACCAATAGGTGCCCAGGAAGGGCGCAGCAGCCAGGACGGTGGCCAACACGGCCGGCAGATACACCACGTTCACGCTGAAGATAGTGTGCGTGAGCCACGTGAACAAGCCGTGGAAGAGAGCAATTTTTGCCGTGGCTGTTATCACTCCTGCTATGCTGCCCTCAATCGCTTCAGCGATTCTGGGGCCAGACTTGAAGCCCAGGGACGTCACGAACACGAGCGGTGAATATCTCTCTTCACTGCTGCACAGCAGATAGAAGAGAGCTGTGAAGAAGACGATCTGAAACAACAATTTCGTAAAACATTATACAAATTACTGTGACTCACTCCAAGATAATCGCAATAATTATTCTGACTTGCGTGCAAAAGCCAGGTCATGAGTCATCGCAATGTAACAAAAAGTTTTTTTTTCTTACCGTGTCCACTACGAAAGTCACCACAGCATGACCTCCACCAAGAACAATTGAGAAGACAGAACCGAGGACAGTGCCCAAGAGGTACATATTCTTCTGCAAGATGATCCACAGGGAGTCCATGACGTCCTTGAGCATCCCCACGTTGCTCTTGGCCCACGCAATGATACCCTCCTTGGCGGCCGGATTGTCCACAATCTCATCCAAAGATTCCCGAATATCGAAGCCCATCTTCGGGCCAATTGAATCGTCCCCACTTCGCTCTAGCATATTCTGCACAAGACGATCCCACGTCGTGAGCACCTGTTCCTTCAGCTTCACCGCTTGCTGCTTGTCTGTGTCCTTTAGGATGTCATCTATGTAAGTCTCGATGGTGTTTCGGCCATACTCATGGGCATTGTCGATGATATTGTCGAAAGTGCTCTCCGGGAACATATCTTTAAGCTCTGGCCTGTGCATAAAAGCCTTCTGGATGACATCATGTCCCAACTGCGCCACGGCAATACCTTCTGAGTAAATTTGCACGGCTAGGAAAACTCCAGCAGAAATCACCACGACCAGCATTAGCACGATCACCGCAATAGATGACATTGTGTCTACAGATGATTTGAGTCCTTCTCGCACACATTGATGCACCTTCCGATTGATGAGGATGACACCGGGCAGACAGATGGGGAATACAGCGGTGTAGCGCTCGTTGATCCACTTCTCAATGGCTGTCTGCACGCGAACGGCCTTCTCACTCGCATAAGCCAGACTTCCGGTGGAATGGAGCGCTTCCTTGGAAAAGTGGATGAATATAGGCACGGCGGAGAAGACCAAAATCCACATATTGCGAAAGATTATCGTGCCTCCGCAAGCCAGGAAGAGAATATTGAAGTAGAAATCACTCTCTCCGGGCTCATCTTCGCTGGGGACTTCAGGCAGAGGAGCGTCGAGTTGAGTCTTCGAGGCGCTGGTATTCAGCTGTTCCTTCGTGGGTTTCGGTCCTCTGGGCACTTCTATAAAGCGTCTCAGTCGTTCCGTGAGATTCACATCTTCAGTTGAGGATCTCTCACACTGCGCGCGGTAAGTGAAAATCACACCGGCGAGGCCGTAGAGCAGCAGAGCGATGAACACAGGAACTTGGAACGGACCCAGGAAACTGCAGAGATACGCTACGAGAAGCAGCCACAGTGACTGGCCGAACATCATGAATTTCGTATGGTTGGTCGGCTTCCAGAAGAGCACCACGGTAGTTATGTAGGCCACCAGGAAGGTCACCACCTGCAAGAAGACAGTGTTAGACAAAGCAATGAGCAATTTCCGAGCAGTCTTCCTCACCAGATGGGCGCTCAGTTGACCTAAAATGTTAGTCACGTAGCTGTGGCTCAGCACGATGGCTCTCCACATGAGACAGAGAAACTTCTTGGGCGCATACTCAACCGTGAACCTCATCATAGCGAGTCCTCCGACACCAATGAGGATGAGGTGTTTGTGATTGCGCAAGAAGTTTCCCAGCATCTCTCCGAGCGATTCCAGGCTGTGCATAGGCGCTATGGCAATGTTAAGAATCAGATTCCCATCCGTCTGCTCGAGCCTGTCGAACCAGGCCTTTATGGAGGAGCTCATCTTCCTCTTGAAGGGATACACAACGGCTCCAATGAGAAGTGCCCATAGCAGTGGCTTGAGGAAGGGCAGGAGGACGAAGACAAAGGCAACTACCGTGGACACTCCCGCTACGGCTCCTATATTATATATCGTGCCTTTAATCTCACGTCCTTGGGAGAAGTTGAGTGTCTTGAGGGTGTGCCACGCCGAGGTGATACTCTCTCGGGGGTAATTCGGTGTATTTGGCTTTGACGTCATGATTGCTGCTTTTAAAAACGTTCACAGACACTTAAGCTACACACTGTTGTTCAAAACAGCATTTTCACTCGCGACTTTCTTGGAGAAAAGTGGCCAGAAGTGATCCCGGAGGGTAGATATTTTTAGCAATGAAGTCACCTAACCTCAAAATTTGGCTGGTTCCGAAAGCTCCGAAAGCGATCGAGGCGTCAAATAGCGATGAACATTTGTACTAAACATAGCGGTTGCGAACATAAACAAGAAAAGTTTGGCATCTTCAAAATTGCAATTAAATTTCCTTTGAATTTTATCTAGTTTACAATTATAGTTGTGTATTTTTATTCACTTTAGAGTGTGTGTATTGAAGAAGTGTTTGTAGTTATTATCAATAGAGTGAAATAATTATCAGCGGCGAATTTTGACGGACAAAACGCGTTGACGCAATAATGAGTGATTTTCTTATTTATTGGTATATTCTTATCAATGTTCCTTATTCCATTTTTCCTTGTTCGCAGATGAGCAAAAGACAATGATTACGCTGAGGACAGAAGTGCCACGATTGTATAGAAGCACAAACAAATCCAGGATGAAGTTGTTTGCTCGCAGCATTGAGAATACTGAAAATTACACAAATGATTCCGTAAAGTTCTCCATCCGAGGATTGGACACCAATTTACAAGAAATTAGTACTATTTTGCACCAGGCAGAATCATTACCAAACAATACAATTCAGGTATGCTGGTATAATCTATTAAAAATTTGATTGTACATTAGAATTATATTTACAGACTCTACAGACAGATGAGATAACAAGGAAAGTGTTGGAGCTGGAAAAAACTCGATCCGTCATAAAGGGTGATCGCTAAAATTGCGATTTTTCCGAAGAGGATTTTTTCCACTTCCCGTGAAGTAGGTTGTAAATAAATTCCAGACAAAGCAAATTTGGCTGCGTTTGCTGAAATATTTGTATCGTAAAATAAGTATAATTGACAATTTCTAAGGTAATATATAATACCTCGAAAAGAGAGAAAATTGTCTCTTTTGTTTCCTGCTCCAGGAGAACTTGTAGAATGAAAATTACCCTTTGCTGTAGAGAAAAACAAATGTTTACTGTTTTGTCAACAGAATTTACAAACAAAATAGATTTGAATCTCACCTTCTGAATAACTTCATTGATGATGATGTCATGGATGGAATGCATGGGAATCAAGCGATTTTTCACTCTTCCGCTGCAGTATTTCACTGTGTTTTGTAACCCAAACTGACGAATGAAAGTCACACTCTCTGAAAAAGGATTTGTGATGATTGCAAAGCATTTAAGAAGGAAAATATAGGGAAATACCTGACTCGATGACATGCAGATGCAGATAAAGAGGAATCAAGACGAGAGACAACATTAAAACATGACTGAATATGGAACTAAATATTCCGGTGAGGAGCACGAAACCGATGTAAAGACTGCTGGTGAGGAAGGCCAGTCTCAAGAGTCTCGTTCTTTCTTTGGTGCTTTCTGTATTTTCCACGAGAATTGTGATTGAAATATCAGAGAAAGTATCCACTCGTACTCGCAGCACTTTTCCATTGATATTTTGGAAGGTTTTCTCCACTGTACACATTCTGGGGATGTATATAACTGCGACAAAATCCTTCTGTTCCGGTTCGTGGTTAGGAAAAATGCAAAACAATTACTACTTTCACCAGGAAAGAGTGAAAACCGCTTTGTTTATGATTGTTTTCAAAACAATTCAACGTCATTTTCTAACCTCAAAAAGGAGCACCGAATATTTTCAGAAAACTGTTATACGAAATGTTTCGCCCATCTGGATTCTTTGGAGAAATGCGTAATTTTCGAGTCCAAATTAAGTGTTTTGGGACAGAATTTTCAATACAATCCGCAATTTTGCTTGTCATGTCCTCTTTTCTCCTTCATTTCCATTTGAATTCTCCTTGAGGAACTATAAAAATGGCTTCACGAGCTTTTTCGGCCGCCGAAAATCTAGTCCAATCGGCGGCCGCGAAAGCTCAGCAGCTTCGGCGTTGTTATTATACCAAATTTCAACATGGCGGTGATAATGTTGTGAATTCCTCAGAAGCACGTCAATAAAATTTGTAATTCCACGTGAAGAGTGCAACATTTTGCGGTAAATATAGTGTAAAAGTGTAGTTTACTGTGCCGGCCGTGCATTTGTATCCTTTCCACGTCCGTCGAGACGCTCGCAAGTGCTGAAAAGTGGGGCCTAAATGCTGACTGACTGAGTGTTTGTGTGAGTGGCGGATGGGAGAAAAAAGAATGGGAGCCTCGCTGAGAAAATTACTGAAATGTCTGCCCTTTTGCGTTTCTCTCTTTGTAGGAATCCACCCCGAATCGTTGCTGCTGCGGAGGCATCTGGTGCCCGTGAAAGAGGTAAGAGGGCGTCGCAAGGTTGGGGAGCGTGCTGCGTTGGGCACGCGAATTCATGTGGCATCTGTCGGCCGGACAGGAGCACCGGAGGAGCGACGGTGATCAGCGTCTCATTACTTTCAGGTTAATCCCACTGGCCGACTGACGAGGATGCTGAAGTCGCTAGGTGGGCGAGACTAAGAGCAGAGCCAGAGCGACAGACAGACTCTCCGGAGAGGCGCCGAGGACACATATCGCAGACCCGTGGGCATTCTATCTGCAACTGGTTGGGCATCACAGCGTACACCACGGACATCTTATCCGGGCGCCCCAAGATCGCGAAGGTGAAGAAGCGCAAGCGGAAAGTCGCCACAATGACAACGGACACCAGGAAGAGGGTGAAGCTGTATGCATTGAATGCAGACAGACAGTGGGATGACAGGGGCACGGGCCACGTTTCCTCCCAGTACGTCGAGAGATTGAAGGGTAAATATTCTCTTTGCGCCTCCCTCTGCTCCGGGGCTCATCATCTGGACGTGTCTCTTTGCAGGCATGTCCCTTCTTGTGCGCGCCGAGGCGGATGGTTCGCTGCTGCTGGAGAGCAAAATCCAGCCAGACACAGCGTATCAGAAACAACAGGACACACTGATAGTGTGGTCGGAGGGTGATAACTTTGACCTGGCGCTGAGTTTCCAAGAGAAGGCTGGTTGTGATGAGATTTGGGAGAAGATTTGTCAGGTAAGGGCTTCCACATTTCGCAATGTTGCCCAACGTCATTCAGTGAAACCTTTGCATATTTGAGGAAAACACCTTTTTTCTGTCCTTTCCACGTCTCAATGTTGCTTCATTCACTTTGGTATTGATTTGTTTGGCGGAGAAATTTCGTGAAAAGCGTGGGGAAAAAGATTTTCCACAGAAAACTGATTCAATAGAGTTTAATTTTGGAAGGTTCTCAAGAAATAAGATCAGATCAATTGAAATGGAAGTTTTTGAGAATCTGAAGATGTGAGATAGTTGTTATTTTGGAAATTATGAACGAAATTGAGGGTTTATCGTGACATGAAGCAATATTGGGGGGCCTTTTGAACCTTCACAGAGTGTCTCAGTGATAACGCGATGCAAAGATTGAGTCACTGTGGCGCCAAAGAGAGTGCACAGTGAGGTAGGTTGCAAGTAAATTATTGGAAGAACTGGCATAGAATGAATGTGACCAATGTACCATCTGAATTGGGCACTGATTGAACCTCAATTGCAGCCGCATAATAGCAAGTTCAACCAGATTTTGACCATCCTGACTAATGGTCTCTTTACCAGTTTGAACTTGATAATATATCAGTTTGATAGCTCAATGGATTTAATCAATACCTCGTCATTTATCTCACCTTCCATACAGTACAAATCATTAATTCCCCCTTCAATACTGCCAAACAATTCTTCTCATCGCCAGCATTGATTTTCTATGGTGAAAATCCTCCTACCTGTTGTACTGTGTTTACTCCACAAGACTGATAAGAGATTATTATTCATGGCATCAGATTGGGAGACATACAGAATTTTTCAGCTAAATGAAATGATTACATTTGTAGCCTTGTGGATGTTGTGCAAGAACAGTCGCTGTAGTATTTTCCCCAAATCATGTTTCTCTGTGTGTGGATGCTTTTTCTTATCTCGTTGACGTCACCATGTGTGATATCACAATGTTTATTGTGCAATGGGATGTCATGTGGAGGGTGATGATGGCGTAAACAGAATGTGCAATGGTGTGTCTCTCGTTGGCAGGTACAAGGAAAGGATCCCTCCGTGGAGATAACTCAGGATATTGTGGAGGAGTCTGAGGATGAGAGATTCGAGGAGATGTCAGACTCGGCGCCGCCAGTGGAGCTGCCGCCGTGTGAACTGTCGCGTCTGGAGGACATTTCGGAGGCGATTGGGAATGGCCTGGCCACACCGCTGCGGAAGGAGAAGCTAGCCATGGCGCTTGAGTCGGAGAACTACATTGAGAAGCTGCTGAATCTGTTCCACATGTGCGAGGACTTGGAGAATGTCGAGGGGCTGCATCACTTGTTTGAGATCTTCAAGAACATCTTCCTGCTGAACAAGAATGCTCTGTTTGAGATTATGTTCGCCGAAGACACGATCTTCGATGTCGTGGGATGTCTGGAGTATGATCCGTCGCTACCGTCGCCACGGAAGCACCGTCAGTATTTGCGGCAGATGGCGAAGTTCCGAGAGGCGCTGCCAATCAAGAATGCCAATTTGCTGGCCAAGATCCACCAGACGTACCGCGTGCAGTACATCCAAGACATTGTCCTGCCCACACCGTCGGTGTTCGTGGAGGACAACATGCTGAACACCCTGTCGAGTTTCATTTACTTCAACAAGGTGGAGATTGTGACACTGATCCAGGAGGATGACAAGTTTCTCGTGGAGTTGTTTGCAATGTTGACGGATCCAAAGACATTGGCGGTGAAGAGGAGAGATCTGATCTTGTTTCTCAAGGAGTTCAACAATTTCGCACAAAATCTGCAGCCACAGGGAAAGGATGCATTCTACAAGACACTCACAACACTCGGCGTCCTGCCGGCGCTTGAGATAACGTTGGCTATGACTGATCAGAAGACTAAAGCTGCTTCCATTGATATTCTCACGTCAATTGTGGAGTATTCATCCTCAACGGTGAGAGATTACACTCTGCAACAGGACAATACTACAGACCCGGTAAGTCTTTCATGTCACTCAAATGGGAAACTTATTTGATTTGCTTATTTGCCATCTGTTTTGGCTCCTTTGCAGAAGAATATGTTAGTCAACATTGCACTCGTACAAATGCTGTCGGATTCAGAGCCAGAGCTCGGTGGTGCTGTCCAATTGATGGGAGTCATTCGAATACTGCTGGATCCAGAGAACATGTTAGCGTCCGTCAACAAATCAGATTTTCTTAATTTTTTCTACAAGCATAGTATAAAGATACTAGTAGGTAAGTTGAAAGAAAGAGAGTTTGTCCCTCGGAAACTTGGGTTATCGATCAAACTTTATTAATGGTTTGTGCGCGATGTCGCTTTAGGGCCACTTTTGGCGAACACCACTGGTGATAAGCCGGCGAAGGAGGACTATCACACAGCTCAGCTGTTGGGCCTGATTCTTGAATTGCTGTCGTTCTGTGTTGAGCATCACACGTACCACATCAAGAACTTCATCTTGCAGAAGGACCTGCTGGAGAGAATACTGGTCCTGATGAAGAGTACTCACACGTTCCTTGTGCTTGGCGCTCTCAGATTTGTGAGGAAGGCAATTGCCATGAAAGATGAATTTTACAATAGGTAAGAAAGAAAGAAACACAAAGCAAATTGGTGAACAATTTATTGATCCAGTTAATCTTTTCTTTTCCCATTTCAGGCAAATAGTAAAATTTAATTTATTTGCACCAATCGTTGATGCATTCATTAGGAATAATAACCGATATAATCTACTCGAATCAGCTATCTTGGAATTCTTTGAATTCATCAAGTTGGAGGACATCAAAACGCTATGCACGTACTTTGTGGAGAAGTTTGGCAAAGTATTTGAGGACATTGAGTATGTTCAGACATTCAAGAGCCTAAAGACAAAGTATGATCAGCACCAGGAGAGATTCAAGGATCGCGACAAGATTCTGGACAGGTTGGTTCATAGTTTAATTCTTCAATATAAATTTAACATCGTACTGACATCGATATTGTGTGTCTTTATCGTATGAAAAGTAGTATACCAATGATTCGGAATATCCGTCATCGAAGAGATCAACGACAATTGGAAGAGGAGGAGGAGATCTGGTTCAATGAGGACGACGACTTCTCAGATGTTCCCACGTCAAAGACCGACTTGGACACGAGTTTAGGTGGGTGGAATTGATGCAATTGCATTGAGATTTCTCTCTCCTAACGTTCTTTTATCTTCTTTTCTGTCATCCGCGCAGAAGTTGTGAATGGACCGAAGATGAATTGTTCAACACCGGTTTCGACAGCCACCACAACCACCACGGTGATACCAGCTTTACTCCAGTCCAGTGCTTCACCGACAATTCCCTCAGCTCAGACTCAGAGTCCGCAGCCACAGCAGCCGCTCCTTCAGCAACAGCAACCACTGCAGGTCCAGACGGCAGTCAGTAGTAATTTAAACAATGTGAACAATAATTCCAAGGGATCCAGCGGACTGGTATTTGGCGACACAAACAAGACCATCTCAGAGGAGACGAAGAGCATAGTGTCGGGGACGATTAAGAAGGTAAGAATGCTTGTTTGTGAATGCTTGTTAAGTTTTCAGAGAAGTGTCATCAGAAGCAAAATATAGATGATGAAGAGCTTCTCATTAAAAAGTTCATTTGTCTATTTGAAAATGCTCTCTATAAAAATCAATTTCGCGGGAAACGGAGTATCCTTAGTTCTTGAAATTGTTTATAATTGAATTGGTAATAATGGGTTTTTCCTGCAATCGAGAACCAACATAGAGAGAGAGTGCAATTAATGTGTGGACAAATAAAAAGGAGTCGCATTGAGAGGGTGTTTTCTATCTATCAGTGCAATTTAATTGAATATAATAGTATACGCTGATGTGATATATGCGTGGCTAATGTGAAAAATGGCATTTGATTAATGTTGCAGGGACTAGTCGACTATGAGGGTGATTCAGACGATGAGGACGAGGATGAGTCCGTTAATACACCTCTGCAGAAGAAAGCACGTCTCGCATAGCAGCTGCACTTACTGAAGAAGACTTAATTATCTCAATGGGTTTGATATAAGTACGTCGTCAAGGAGGATAATTAATATGCGGCGAAGTTTGTGTGAATCACAGAAATTTCGCGTGACAAGAGAGCGAAAGGAAAAGAAAACCACAAAAAGAGGATAAAAAATTGAAACACAAAAATGAGAAACAAAAATATTTTAATTTTAAATGCATTAGTATAAAGATTAAATTTTAAAGTAATGAACAGATATTGTACACAACACCATCGTGATCTCTATTGAAGAGATTTTGGTGGTGAAGAATGCACAGAATTGAGCTAAAAGTGTGCATAAAACGCTGGAATGAATGACATCTCAAATGGAAAACAACACCATGATGGATAAATATCTGCAGTACAGTAAATTGGCAAAAGGCTTTCTCTAAATCGGTTGTTTTACGAATTTGATTGTTGGAAAGTAAGGAATAAGAGCATCATGAAATAGACGGGAAAACTGGGAGGCAGCAAAAATGAACCTCTGTACAATGTGTTTCGTTTATTGACTAATAGATTTCTATAAATTATTTAGATATTGTGTAAAACTATAGGGTTTTATCCTCTTTGCACGCAACTAGTTGGACTGTGAGTGGAATTTTCTTGGAGATGACGTTTTCTTTTTACAGTAAAGTGTAAATAAAGTGAAATTGCCAAGATATCTGCAAAGTTGAGTTTTTTACAAGAGGACAGACAAAATTATACTATTATTTTGTATCTCTGTGCAAAGAGGGAGAGAAAATGGTTGATTTTATTTAGAATAATGTCCGTCATTTTCGACTATTTCATCAGTATTTCCCTGGTTTTTCGCTGAAATATATAGCAAACGGAAAACTATACTGAAAATTCGTGCTACTGAATTTTTGTATGTAAATAAAGGTGAAGAGACATAAAAATTGAATGAATATTAAACTGAGAGATTAACAATTTAAAGAGAGAAGTTACAATGTAAGAAAATGTAGATGATACTTGAGATTATAAACAAATTTAGTGTTTGGTACAATTTTTCGTATGAGAGGAGAAAGAGGTAAGGAAAAATTGAATTTCCCAATTGAAAATGATTTACCCAATAATGTGAAAAGCGAGTAAAGCATAAAGTAAGTGGAGGAGATGAGGCGATATTTGTCCAAAAGGTAGTGTGAGGCAAGGTATATTTCCCATAATTGGTAATATAATTTACTAAAAGGAGCAAAAGTGGCAAAAATAAGGGGTGAAATTAGATGAAATTTCTGATGTGCACACTTTCCAACAAGTCAAATTTATAAGGGAGGCGGACAGAAAGTTACTCATGTAATTGTGTAAATAATGATTTTACGTGACAGTTCGTTAGATTATTATTGCGGAAGCGAGCGAGAGAGAGATGCAGATGTGGAATGAGAGAGAATGAGAATCAACCTTAAGAAAAAAATATATTATTTGTGTACATTTACACGATCTTTTTTAATTCCAACTTTGCCGGATAAACTTGCATTCGGCAAGTGTTTTTGGATAGGAAAAGGATAATCACACTACATTGAGCACCACAACAAACGGCTGAGTACAGCTTTCAAGGTGGTAATTTCGAGACACTCTTACTGAAAAGCTAATAAGGAATGTTCATGATCAGAATTCTTGATCGTCCACAAAATCGCACAGCTTAGCGCAAATTATTGTTGTGCTATTTGTGGAGGTGGTCCAGAAACTTTTTTTTTAGATCATTCCCTTGGCGTGTCAACAACTTCATTGCGGAGACGCCTCGCCAGGGTTTTTCTGAGCTGCAGGGACGCTTCCGGAGGATCTGCCATCGCCCCGGGATCCACTCCAGTCAGGATCTTCTGAGCCACTTGAGCCGAAGACGGTCTTCCATCCTTCTTCACCGTCTCGCTGAGTTGTCTTGCGCGTGTTTGCTTCTTGATTTGTAGGATTTTATCACGCTGGGCGATTAAATAATCCCTCCGATTCTTCACGTTTTCCTCTGACATTTTCTCTTTCTCGAAAAAGAGGTTCAGCCTCTGGAATTTGTCATCGATTGAGCTGTCAGTGTCTTCTGCCCTTTCCTCGACTCTCTTCTGTGCAGTCTCTTCGGCTTCAACAGCCTCCAGGTCCGTCTCTTCGGTATGCAGGGTCTCTGAGGGCTCCTCGGCAGTCTCTTCAGCTCCTCCCTGCTCACTGAACTCCTTCACATCAGACTCACCAGACTCAGTGGGCTGAGAATTCTGCCGTCTCTCGATGAGATCCAGCGCCTGCAGCTGCAGTTCCACATTTCGCTGCGTCATCATGCGGATGAAGATGCGGATGTCATTGGCCGCCCAGATCTGCTGGAAGAGGCCCTGGTGGAAAGTCAGCCCGCTGCTGGTGCCCGTGTGATTCCTGCCCTCCAGGCAGGCTTCTTCGAACTTCTCCGGTGTGATCTGCATCTCATCCATGAAGCTGCCCAGCATAAAGTCCACCAGATTCTTGTACTCATTGTGAATGGTAATATACTCCGGATTCGAATCGTCCTGCTTCTCGTTCGGATCAAAGACTGTGCAAAGAATGCAATTTCATTCATTGTGTGCAAAATGATCTCAGGGGAAAATTCATACTCAGCGATTTCTCCTCGATGAACGTCTGCAGAGGTGCATTCCAAATGGGGCCATGAAGAAAGCACACCAGCGAATCAAAGACCCAAGAATTATCCTCAGACATTGAATGGCTTTTAGCAATGCAAAATAGTTTTCCTCTCAACTACTCGAATGCAAAGTCACTTCTGACTTTCGAGTCGATACTGGAAATGTTTTGTATAAGTTCCGTTGGCTTGGCGACTACGATGGAAAAATTCTATGTGAAATTTTCCATCTACTCCATCTCTAGTGATTGCTGGGGTGGAAAAGAGACAACCAGAGTTTCCCCAAAGGGCTAATAAACAGGTTAAGAATTTCACCAGATTTGCAAAGTGCGCAAATCACTAGGATCGTACGCAGAGTATAACAAGGTGAGTAGCTAAAACGTAATTTCCTGTCCCTTTTCTCGATTGCAGAACCCATCTTTCGATTTGTGTTCTCTGTTGTCCTCAATTACTCACCTTCGGCCATGAACAACGCATGAATGAAAGCGTGGAAATGTTACAGTTTCACCTCAGAATTTATTTATTGATTCACTTCTTCTGGAATGTGTTACAACAATAAAATGATAATAATTTAAGCTACTAATATTAACACGTATTACATTAATTTCTACATCTTTCACAGACGTGGGTGTTAAACTGAAGATAATTGGGAAAATTATACCGCATAATCCGAGACTGGGACGGGGACTACATTTTCTTTCTCTGACTCTCGTGTGATTGAAGTGAGTGGAAATAAATGCCACTTATTGGAGTTGGATGAGCGAAGAACTGAATTGGTTATAAGAGCAATGATTTCAGTGACATCATCTGCAAAAATTCAAGTATAAATTGTCCTTAGTGATAAAGCTTCTCTAGTGTTACTCAATTTCTTTATCTTCTTTAGTTACTTTATGTGTTGTTCACTTCTGCAAATGAATTTTCGATTCTGCTTCACTGTCGGTAATTTAATGTTAGTCCATTATTATCATATGCAAGTGTTCGTCTCGACTAGCTTTTCTCCCATTTCAAAATTTTTCTCTATCATTATAAGTTATTCTTATGGTCTATCATACGTTTAATTTTTAAACTATCATATAAGAGATTATAAGGTATTGTGTAAATATACTTGATATTAAGCTTTCAATGGATGGCTGATGATGAGTTCGCTTGAAACAAGTGTAAACTTTACCTCATAAGTTTCCTTATTCAAAATAAGATTACTCGTGGACAGATTCAATGTAAGAGTGCCGCAAAATAGTGCATATTGATAGATTTTTGCTTCATTTCTTCTTCGTCTATAAACATTAAATTTGTGTGTTTAAATTTATTCTCATTCTCTTCACTTAAATTCCTCTACTTTTAACATGTTGTATTTTCTTTCATGAATAATTTACCTTTTCTCTATATTTATTATGCTTCCCGTCTATATAAATATAGGCCCGTGTAATTTATGCAAATGATCAATTTTTTTTACTCATGTCAATTAATAGGAAAATAATTAGCTATTCGTTTTATTATAAAATGTCTCATGAAGTTTGGTGGAAGAAATTGTTATTATTCGTCACTTGTTGTCCTTAAAAAGAACTCGCCTTCTTCTGCCTCACACTCGCTGTGAGATTGAATGCAGGACCCTTAATTAATTATTACTCATTACAAAATGCCAATATCATACATTTCATAGGGGAGAAAAAATACCTTGACAAAATTGTTTTTCCTTCCTCCTTCCCTATAATACGATTAACATTACATCCCTCATATTAATGACTAAATAGCAGAAACATTATTACAACGGACACGTCTAACAATTACTAAAGGGGAACGATTTCTCATGATAAATACTTTATAGTCACTATTTAAGAGTAAGTATAGAGTTACAGATATTACATGAGTTTGATGATGAAGGAAAAGAAGTATGCGAAGGATTAAAAAGGAAGTACACAGGGTGTGTCTTGTAAAACGTTCTAAAGATGACTGAATTTGATAAAATCTTATTGCACGTTCGTTCATAGTTTAAAATAATTAGTTTGTCATTGGTCATATTTTCATAAATTTCTCTACTTTTTTGCTTTTGGGATACTTTATCTGAGATCCGCTGTCTTTTTCACCGCCCCCTTTCTCTCACTTTGACTGCAATTGTTTTTTTTTTTATACTGTTTGCTCTGCGAGGATTGTGCAATTTTCTGCAAGCAACAACAAATAGCAACAATCTCGAGGAAGATTGTGAATGTCTGTCATTTGGCACGCTCCAAGGGATTCCGCGTCTTCACGTAAGTCGCATGGAATTCCACATCGTCTTCATACTGTGGCATTTTATCTCTTAGGATTTTTATAGTGATGAGAGAGGCTTCTTCCGTCTACCGAGCAAATTTCCCAAGAAATAAGTAATCATTTGATGTTGATTTTTGCTGTGAAAACCGATGATATATTGTATGGATTTATGTATTCACTAAAAGTTGGTGTATTCTGATGAAATGAGTGCTTACATATTACAAAATACAACCACGCTCATCATCTTCTTTAGGCAATTCAAAATTGATTCCATTTCATCACACCCTCACATTTTCTACTTAGTAATTGGTATTTCTTCTCTTATTCTCCATTACATGCTAAATGTCTAATACCATTATTGAAAGTATATCGAGAGTGTTCCTTGGAGTGTTGTCATCTGCAAGAAGAACGCTTGGGGAAATGAGTCGTCCACGCTAAATCCTCTCATTTAGAACACAAGAAGACGGTCTGCACTTCCTTCAGAACTATCGTCGTCATCCTCGTCGTCCTCATCGTCGGAAGTTAATGAAGCTGCACTATTAATTACATCCTCTGATGTTACCATAAAAATGCAACGAAGAAAGAGCACATTAATATATTTCATCCAGAAAATCGCGTGCATGTGGAAAAATGCAATAAAGTGAAAATGTCAATTCACAGAGTGGATTTTGCATAGGAGTAACTTCAAGAGAAATTATTCAACGCTAATTTGCTGAGTTCTTGTGATATTCAGTCTTTCTAACATTGCTCTAGTTGAGTTTAGTCCAATGAGAGACTTTTCAGCACAACTCCAAAAGGCTTTTAGCAATTTGATGCTTTCCAAAATGGCAAAAGCGCTTTCACTTGCTCTCTGTGATGCTGAGTTTGAAGAGCATTTTGCAACACTTATCGCCTCATAAAGTTCAAGCGCTTAATCGTGGTCGAGAGCAAATATCCGGGGGCGTTCTTGATGTCGCTTTTGGCAGAACCAGTGATGGAAGCTCTTTAAAAGTGATACGAAATAATTCATATAATTTTCAAATTCACAATTTCCTCATTAATTAAGAGGGAAATATTTGTTTGCATTGCGCTGAGAAATTTCAAATGTAAATCATTTGGCTACTAAAATTCCTTCTCACGTTTGCAACTTTGAAACTAATGAATATAGTTTGATTAACACGAATTATAACATTTAGCGAAAACAAGAATTTGGAGATAAATTGAAAAGCTCCTCCCAACTCGTGCTAAACTCCCTGCATAATCCACCTGGAGAGCGAGCCAGAGCAAACTCGGGTGGAATTGCAAATAAATTGTAAAAGTTGTCTCGCAATTACCGCAGTTGGGCTTCCCTCGAGTGCGGGTATTTGCAAACTCGACACCATGCTTGTCCACGCACCAGCACACGCCCACAGAGTTGTGGCACTGGGTGGGCTTGTAGAACCCTTGGACGTCGCAGTCGGGAGCATAAGCACCTAAGGATTACAGAGGGCAGGTCAATAGATTCCAGGTGACTGTTAAGTGGGTGTTTTCGCGATGCTCACCTAGAAGATCGCCGCCAATTCGTCGTCGAACGGCGGCACAGGGTCGGTCCGTCTTCTCAAAGCATCTGCACCATTCGCGCGGATTGATGGCACTGTCCTGGTCCAGATCACAAGTGTCGATAAAGGGCTTAATGCAGCGCTCATTCTGGTCGTGCTCAAGATCGTACAATTCCTGTGTGGTGAGCTGGCCGTCGTTATTCAGATCCAAGTGGCCAAACATCCACTTCGCCTCTGTCTTGCACGCCGGCGGGAAGTGAGCTGCAAAATATCCAATTGCCAATTTAGCAAATCCTCTGCAATCCAGCATCATCGCCGTGGAGGCAGAACAAGCTGCTTTCCCTTACCCTTGGACTTCTGCGAATGTTGACGACGCTTTTTGCTGTCGGCCATAATCACGGAGAACCAATCCAGCAGTCGATTTCCAATCGCCGTCAATTGCTGTGGCTTGCATTCGCCGGATTTCGAGGGGTAGCCTGAAATGAGGACACCCAATTGCAAATGCGCCCATTAGCAATTCCGAAATTACAGCTCAGATGCCGCACTGCTATATGCATGGCAATAATTTACTCACGGATGCTGTTGGAATTCTTCGACAATTTGCTTCCGGACTTGTCAATGACTTCGTTGTATGTGCGATATTTGTGCTTCTCGTCCATTCGATTGTACGAGTCCTGCGAAACAAAAACGAACGCAATGTCCACAATTCGCACATAAATTTAATCTCTCAATTCAATCTGCCTTCCTTAGATTTTATTACACGATTCCCTCTGTGATGCAGAGCGTGAATTTGCAATAGAATGTCTTTGGTGTGAAAGTGTCACTCTTGAGGGAATTTAGAAAGGTATTTTCTTGAAAGAGGATTTGAAAGAAACCATTCAAGTGACTCTCTTTTACAAGGTACTTTGAGAAAAATCAATAGTGGCATAATGCAAGTTTGAATATGAATGCAACAAATAAGATGGATAAATTGTATTTTATTTTATTTTCATGTGTCACTTTTTATTCTCATAGCTTAGCTAAAAATACTCTATCTAAATTGTACTTAAATCCGTGTTTCTCACAGGAATGTGAGATAAGAACTGCAATTTTAATTGGACTTCGCGATATCTGAAAAGTATATCCAATAAATTTGCAGGAATCTCACGAAAAGCTCCCAATCGTCCTCAAGAATAAAGAGAATGAAATTACGATTTAAACTATTCGTCTCGAAGGAAATGGCGACATCGCGATGCAATGTGATATCGTGCATAAAAGGCAGATTCCACTTTAAATAAATATTTACAAAATGGATTAATGCTCACCTTTTCCTTGCCACCCTTGTACGATGATGCACTGTACTTAAGATACTTGTAGTGCTTGTTGTCATACTTTATGTCCTCCGGCGTGAAGGTAAACTGAGAATTGATGTGATTGAAGTGTCGATTCTTATCCTCCTTGTACTTTTTAGTGTCGCTGTCATCACCATTTCCCTCCACTGTCATCTTATACTTGGCATTCAGAGCATTCTGGCGATCCAAGAGTCGCTGCTGCTTCTTAATATCGTTGGTATCTGTGCAAGATAGGGAGTGAGATGTGTAGAGAACTTTCCAACCTTCGACCCTTTTCAAACTCAAAGGGCGAATGCAATTTCCTGCTAATAATTAAAATGCTGCGGTTGTGGCAGAGGCATTAGATAGGGGGTGGAAGTCAGAAAATTCCACACAATATCGCTCATGTTCGCAATTTCACCGTCTGGATTTCTACACCTCAAGACTCCAACTCTACACCTCCACGAGCTCAAAATCATTTGCATATTCCTCGCATAAACATTGAAATTTCACACAATGAACGTGAATAGGATGTGCGAACACCAAATCATTCTATAGATGAAATCTTTTCATAGGGCAAAAAAAGGAATTCTCATCAACTCATTTCAGAAGCTCATACATTTTCCACTTCAGCAGATGTGCACGCAAACTTTCTCATATATGCAGAACGTACAAGGCTAACGAGTACCGAGTTAGGATTGCCAACAGTATTTTCGGCTGTATGATAATTTCTATATTTCCTCACAGAAAATCGATCTCGAATCAGCGCTCACTTGCTAAAATCGCGACGTTACAAATGATACATTAAATATGACCCCGTGAATTTATTGTCATACCCGCGTTACAAAATACGCATTAATCAGGGGGAAAAATTGAAATTTATTAGATGTCTGACACTATCAGTTGAATAAAAATGCAAAAAAGACCACCGCTTTGGACTAAGTGTGAAAAGTGTTGAATGACAAAATTGCAAATAATAAATTAACACAGAGAGAGAGGGAAAAAAAAATAATGTGACAGTATTGAAAATCTCCACCCGCCGCACGGTATGGAAATTATCAGGAAAAGAGTGACAATTTTCGCATAAATTAGGCGATGGAGGAAAAAAAGTTCAATAGTGAATGCATTTCCATAATAAATGAAGCGAAAGAGAGGAGGCATTTTCTTTGTGGTGAGCAAATCACGTGGAAAAACTCGTTAGATGAGATGGGAGGAACTTTCAGCACGGAAAAGTATGATAGAAGTTTTCTTTTAAACTCCATTTCTCTTCTTTGCGCTTGAGAGGTTCTGAGAAGATAGATTGAGGGGACAATTTTTCAGGTTATCAAAGCTTCTTTGGACGCGATGAAAGTCTGTTCAGCCAAGGTTTTGTTGACTATAATTTCAGAAATTTATTGCAATTGTCTAAGGTTCTTTGGCTTCCAGCTGTACAATTTTATGGCTTTATCGCAGCAAAACTACGAAGGCATTAAATCTGATTTAAGACTCAAAATTATCAGGCAACGAGTGTATTCTCAATATTTGCACATTTCCTCTGTATTTCCTCGGTAATCCTATTGTGGATATTCAGCAGGTGGAAAAAGAATGGACTATGTATAGATATGGAGCATAGGATAGCGATCTGAAATATTTCGAGGGCTCAGGAGAAACGCGTTTCCACCCGCGTCTTCCCCGGCAAATATAGATACCGTGAGGCAAAGTGAATATGGAATTGGAGGGAAATACAGGTGTGTAAGCATTTCTCTCATGAACCGTTTCTTATTCTATTGAGACGTACTCGGGAGAATCGCAAACGGTATGTTTGAGATTTGAGCTTATAGCCGCATTACAATACACTTTGAGCGTTTATATTGATATCGATCTCAATCTCCCCAAACCCAACAATAATTGCAAAATCCCTCGGATGGCAATAAAGGCCGGGAGAGGAGTGCTGAGTATGTCAGTCGCCCTCAATTTCCGCAAGTTTCCAGCACCCGTGGGGGTGGTGAAAACCATCAAACTCATTCAAGCATGACCAGCCACAAGAGTCTGGCAGCAGCCAGGCGGTCTGGCTGTCGCATGAATTTATCCGCTGACCAGCCAGACAAGTTTGTTAACATGACAATTCTCTCATCCGCTCACAGCATCCCACCTTCATTCACTTTGCACATGGTATTTGAACAACTTACCACGGCATGGGCAGAAGCCCTTGCACGCAACTTTGATGGCCGTGGCGTGAATGCAGTTGTGATAGTCAAGCCGGCACAGAGAGGAGTAGGTTCGGTTGTCGGAGCCACACATGAAGGTGGGCTTCGTCACTGGACAGAGCTTGCAGTTCCTGAAAGTGGAGGGCAGAATGTTAAACTGCTGCTGTGACATTATTGACGCTACATCGGATGTGATCTCTGTATCGCAGCCACGTGTATGCAAATTGACCCAGCATGAGTATGCTCAATATATTGCACAAATTGAAACATGCTCAGGACATCAGGAGAAAATCGGATCTACCGCCAAATGTCGATATCAGAGCAATTGATTTTGATAATTCAACTGTTTACTTTCTGTGGGTGTATCAACAACAATCTGTGAGCAAAAGTATTATTACATTATGAGGGAAATGTTGTCAAACCGAAAAAAACAATTCCATAATTGTTCTATTGCAAAACGATTGTTTTTTATTACTCTCTGATATCAAATTCAATCAATTCAATACCTATCGGTTTACTATTTTCTGTTGGCTTTTTTGCACTCTCTGCTCTGTAGAATTTATTGTGAGAATCCCACCACGTAGCTTTTATCACCAATTAAATATATACCCCATTATGTATTGTGCGATATTACAGAGGAGAGTGGATTAACTGATGGCTGTTAGGTACAAAATATGAAAATTAATGTGTCAGATAGATTTACTGAGTACGGATGCGTAAATATTTTATGTGCATTACGGCATTAATTTTTGAAATAAAGTAATAATTTAATTGTAAAATTTCATACAAAAGCCACTCACTCTTCATCGCGATCTCCGGTTGTTGTGTCGTAAAACACGTCATCATCCTGCGAGCTGTCCTCTTCCGGATCGTCCTGATCCTGCAACTCGTCCATATCTAGGTCCAATTTTCTTTTGGTATCATCATCACCAGACAATTTTGCCTTGGTAATTATCTCATCCCTGAAAATTAAAATTAGCCCGTTAGAGGGTCGTTGTTAAAGTTGTACATCTCCTCGGAGCTCTTCTTTCGCCTACTTTTCCCAACTGACTTCGGGCCCTCCCTTTGGCGTCTTAACGACCCCAAACATATGCTGAGCCCCGAGGAAGGGTAATGAAGGAGTTGATGTAGCTTTTATGTGGGAAGTAATTAACAATTCTTGGATAATTTCTCAGTGTCTCTTTGTTCCCATTTGGAAGGACGAGGATGTGGAGTGATGTTTCCCGTTGTTGTATGCACTCATCCACTAAATACAACTCAAGTGCTCAGAATTCAGGACATATCTTCTGTGGTGTTAACAATTTTACTCACTCAACCACTTTAATTCCCTCTTAAGAGATGTGAATGTTTCTTCTTTTATCAGACCAAGCATTGGCCAAAAGTACTGTAATGTTGATTGGCACAAATCACTCTTTGCGGCTATCGTGAGAATTCCCTTCACGCGGAAAAACATGGAAGTGGCAATTGAGTAAGACAGATATCCTGATTAATCAAGATGTTTACTGCTGTGCACATATTTTTATGCCAGAATACATAACAGACGCTCATCCATCGTCTTCCTCGGAACGAATGGCTACACTTGAAATTCCGCTGAAAAGCTCCTTATGTATTGTAACTTCATTTTAATGACTCCAATTTCGGCCATTCTGAGGCGATGAATGTGAGCTTAAAATTCATTGAAGCGCAACGGGATGGGAAAATTCGAGGAGGAAAAACAAACCAAGCAGTAAATATAATTAATTATGTTGTACACAAAGACATCTAATTAATGAATTATTGCATTCATGCTTATTTTATGTGGTGTAATCATTCTCATCGTCAGCAAGGAGGCAGAAAAGCGAATTTACGGTGAAAGCATTAAATATTCTTTTGTGTGTTGAGTGAGGAAGGCATTTAAAAATCTCTTGAGATGTTTTCCCATTGAAAAAGTGAGTGAAAGAAAGTGGGCGAAAACGTGAAAGGGGTTCTACAATTGAGCATTTGAGGTGAAATTCTTTCACGTTTCCCTTGAAATTGAGATAATGTCATCAGAACTTTTTGCTGAACAAACATTCTGCTCCCAGCGGCAGAATAGTCAAAGACAATGCGGGTCACAGATTAATTCTGTTAAAATGATTGAGTGGGTATTCCTCATAGATTGGTAACTATACACTGTGGGCCTCTTCATCAGCCCTTGACTTGGCCACATAATCCGAGTGCTCAACAATTACACTATATGTTCCAGCGTCTCTTAGCCAAGTATATAAATGGAGTCTTCCAGTGAAGGCTCTCCAATAACCATAATTGAATTCTTGCCACCGGATCTGGGAAATAATCTCAGAAATTGAGACGCAAGCACTCAAAATACTTTCCGCATTTTCACTGTCAAATCATTATTAAAGATCACATTTTGTTGCTCAGGTAACTCTGCAGCTGTAGTCATAAATAATGAAATTTTCCAGATAAATCTCACTTGAGAATTGAAAAGATGGCGAAAGAAGAAAAGAAAATTAATTAGGGGAGAATGAAGGATTTCACACAGATCATCCATGGTGTGAAAAAATATTTTCACTGTAGTCATGGATATAAAAGTAATTTGCAACTTTGAGAATTTTCAAGTCACGCTCCTGGAAAGTAAGGAAACCCGTATTTACACAAGAGTACAATCTCCAATAAGTATACATAAGATAATGGGAGGATTTCTGAGTTGATGACGGAGAAAATTTTGGCCCTTTATCTCAGTTAAATGTGGTTAAATTGTGTGAGAATTTTAAGTTTTGGAACTTTTCGCATTCCCCATTGGCCGAAAAAGGCGCAAATCTTAAGCTCTATGCTCACTGAGCTTTCCACATATTTCACTGCTAAAGCTTTCGATTGTGCATGTAAATTTCAATTCAGCCCCCAGGAAAAATTCTCTGCCAGCATTTTCCGCGCTCACGTTGAATGTTTAATTGATATGAATTCGCATTTATTATTATCACACGATTGAACGCGATTTTTGGCATGGGAGTGTGCCATAAATACTGCCGTAATGCTTCCACCTTTGCTTATGTAATTTTCAGGCTCTGCATGTGGGAGGATATTGCTGCTGCTATGAGAAACCTTCTATATTTACCTGTTTCGATGGAGCTCCTTCTTGGAGACACAAACCGCCGTGTATGCGTCCTCGAGGAGGCAGAGCTCCTTCTTCTTGCAATTAAGTGGTCGACATAAGTCACCTGGAAGGAGTGCAAGAAACAGAAGCAAATAAGAAATTTGAGTACAAGTGGAATTCGGTCTTTCGATAAATTTATCGCCTACGTGGCCGAGTGACATGACAAACGTGAGATTGTTAGTATGGAAAGAGTCACAGAGTCAAGGCGATAAAGCACGACACAAAAATTGAATTGGAGAATTAATTATTGGAAAAATTGTTGTGGAAAGAGTTTTGACATAATTGGTTGTGTTTGAGTTTGAAAAAATATTTTTTCTACGTTTTTTTCTCCGAACAGCAGAAGGCATAACAATTTCGGGTATCTGGTTAATGTACCTTGTCGAAAATCCAAGTAATAGTGCGATAATTTCTCCTGCAAAAGTGTTGTATTAAGCTTTATGGAAAAGTCCAGAAATCCATTGCGAAAGACATCCTGAGAGAGCGAGAGCTTGAGAGAGATTTGAGTGTATTTTCCCCATGCTTTGAATGCTCGAGTGTATCATTTGGCATGTTCCTACTATTGACTACATGTGTACATCCTTTTATTATGCATGAGAGGTAAATGTTATTTGCTGGCAATGAAAAAAAAGAGTGCCAGAGACCGAAAAAGGATCTGCAGCACTTTTGGAGCCGTACAAATACACATTTTCTGAATATTTCATTCGCATCTTTCCATTTTGGCATGGCGAGAGAATTAAATTTATACAATTGAATACATTACACTACCACCATCCCCAGACACCTCGGCCGCGTCTTTGTCCGCACTTCGCGTCTCAGTATCAAGTTGAGTGTCTCATGAGATTTACCTGATAACTTCTGTAAATTGCAAAATTGAACTTTCTTCGTAAAATGGTCTCTTTATGATTTCCTTCCTTCGCGATGCCAAGTTTTAACACTCCCAGCACTGAAGTACGGAAACTTTAGTTTGCAGTGAAATATTCATGCTTGAGTACGCATAGTCGCACAGCAGTTGTAACTACAAACCGTGCCGGGACCTTTGGGAATTGTTGCAAAACTATTTTCAGAGCGGAAATGGGAAAATACGGGGATTCTTTTCACCTCAAAACTTTTACTCAACATCTCATCCGCGAATCTCATAAACTCAAAATTATTTGTCACACTTTCCTTCCCTTCGCATTGCTATAACAAAGGATCATACAGCAGAATTCTGGGAAATTCGTGATAAGTACTCAAAAAATTCATTAAATTAATGTATACAAGAATCGCCCATTTTCATTTCCTCGTCATACGCAAAAAGAGTACAAAAGAAGAAACAGAAAGAAAACAATAAATTGGAATCAAGTTGGGAAGGAATTTTATTACATTTTTGCTCCTTGCACGGCTCTGGTTTTATGTTGAAGTAGGTATCGCAATTTTTATTCAATAATTTTTTCCACGACATACCAAAACGAGAGATATAATAAATTGGCCCTTTTCCAATGTTTTCCCCCTCAATTCGTGTATTGTTTGTCGGTTTTCAACCAATGGCAAAACATACGAAAAAGTATTTATAATGTCTCTCGGGTTCACATTAAAAATTTATAAAGGGAATTGAATTTGTCGACATACAGAAGGTACTCAGTGTCGTCTTGAGATATAACGCTCGATGAGAGAAAGAGGCAATAAAAATAAGTATGATGTGATTGGATATGAGATGCTGGAGCTTTAGAATTGTAATTAAGCACACGGAACTTACTCGATGGATCGTGTATCCACTTCTTCTTCTCCGGCGTCGGTTTCTGTAGCGATGATTTGTCGTCCTGAAACAAGTAGAAAGATTTGTAAATATATTTTTAGGGTAATGAATACTTTGTTGAGAGTGGAAATTGTTGCATCATCGCAATGTTGTCGTCCACGATCAAGAAAGGATACATTTTTGATGGTTTTCATCATTCAAACTTTCATGTATACCACAATAGTTGCAATATTAAAGTGACAAGCGGTAAAGCCTTCAGGCTGCGCTCAAATAAAACAGAAGGAGGCGGCTTTTGAGTCCATAAACTACATAAATTGTGGAATATGTGGAGCAAGTTGATCTCAACATTCCATGTTGGGAGTGTATGTGTGACTCCATGTGGGCTTTAGGTTATGAAAAGCAATTTCAGACGAGGAGCAAAGAATATTTCTCTGAAATATACTTGAGACACATACAATTGGATATCTACTCCATCCCCCAAACACATTCAATATCGTGAGAGATAAGTGCATGTGTGGTGTGCTATGAAATTTTATTATTAAAAGTTTTATTGAATTTTTTTCACGCCCAACTCCAGGGTTGCATCATTTCGCGTGAAAGCTTGTTCGGGTTTTATTGCTTCAGCATTATCTATGCGCGATACCACCATCCGCCAGGAGCCGCAGGGTGGGATGGATTTGATGGCGCAATGCTCCGACCAGGACAGGAAGGAAGAGTGCCGCAGACAAGTGGCAGAAATGGTCTAAGTATCGTGAATTGCAATCTAAGGAGAGCTCAATTAATTCGTGTTAGTAATTAATTTACAAATTGAACAACTCCCAGCCACTGACTACGACCTAATGAATCCAATTTCGTTCTCCTATCATCCGTGTGAAGCATTATGTTGTAGCAGAAGGGTGTTTTCCACCCTTATCGATCGCCTCTCACATTCGACATAATGGTACACGACAAATTTTCAAACCTTTCCCATCCACCGGCCTTCACTATCAGCCGCCACTATCGGCACACCAATAGCTCTCTTAGAATAACACGTTGTAGTCACATTAAACACATTGAGATACGGTATAGAGAGTGTTTGCAGGAGTATCCGAATTATCACTATTAGCTCCAAATATAGCCGCTTCGTTGAGGGTGGAAAACGGCGGCAGATTATGGCACATTTTCCAAACATCAAAATCATGCATCATCATCGAATTATCATATTTGCTCACTTGAAGGGGCTTTAATGGTTCCCTGTAGCTTTGGGGCGTTAGAAAGGCTTTTAAGCCACCCAAGCACATGTACATAATTATCCACAGTTGACATAAAACTCTCGACATCCTTGAGGGTTAAAAGATATTCCGGCAATTTAATTTCCCCCATTACAATGACATGTAGAAATAGGAAATATATACGTCTAATCTATTTAATTTACACGACAGAGTGTCTCACGGTCTCCCTCGAGACTCATTTTAGGCATTAGATCGCAACTGAGAAATTCTCCCATCCCATCAACACTGCTTTATGTAAATCGATATTTGACAAAAATAAAGTATTCAAGCAAAGTAAAAAGTGTTTTGTAAAGTGCATCAGAGTAACTATTTTATCTAACAGTGTCAGAGTTGTGATGAATTTATATAGTGAGAGATGAGTGGAGTTTACTGCCAAGTAATTTGATTTACAGGAGTCATGGTAAACAATTTGGCAAGGTTCACAGCATTTCCACAGCACAACGTGTAGGAATAATTCGATATGAGTTGTGAATAAATCAGAATAAGTTCCAGAAAAAAGTGCCTGATCTGGGATGTCTGAGGAAAAGAAACATCTCTCTCTCTCTCTCTCTCTTTCTTCATGCATAACGAGATGGTCTAATGTAAATATTTACATACGCCTAGCTATTGGAATATTTCACGACTTGTCAAAGATGAAGATGTATAGTTTGCATATAAACTCTGTGATATGATTTTTTTTAGACTCTTTCCTCGCAATAATTGGCCTCACGGAATGTTGACAAACCCTCCTTAATATACAAAGCATATTATATCGTATATTTGTGCTGAAAACCCTTGACATTTTCATGTCTCCTCCACGGCACACAAATTGAACAAGTGTTTTATTAGGTCACTTGTCGTCGGTATTAATTGAATTTCATCATCGTCGTCAGGACATGAAATTTTTAGTACATAAAATTGTGCTGCTGAGGCAATTTTTGTGCTATTTTGTCTGCATTTTAATTTGAAGCGACAGGTCGTCGTAATAAAAATTGACTTCTATTCGCCAGATTAAGTCACTGCCTCACCTAATTCTGCACTATACATCTCTTCAATTATTTATAATCCAATTCCAACCTGAAAGCTCTTCTCGCTGCCCCGACGTCCCCCATGTAAAGTGGTTGCACGGGGGAATTGAGATGTTCTGGTTGCTGCAAAACTTTCCATTCTTCGGGCAGAACTTCCTGGGGAGACTGAGCACTGCGCGCTCTTCTCATCGGTGGGGATGATGAATTGGGGATGTGGCCATTGTATCGAGAGAATGGGTGAGAAAGTGACGGTGATGGGAAGGGATGAAAAATGTCCTAAAACGGACAATGACGATCCGAATGGGGCAGTGAAGAGGAAAGAACAGAAAGTGATATCTAAATTGTGTTCAATGGTGATAAATTTTATTGATGATAACCATTCGGGCTTTCGCAGCAGAAAGTCTCACTTGCCTTCTGGATGAGCTCCATCAAATTTGGGCCAGACAATTTCCCGTCACCATACACACTCCGCATGATTAGAGGCTGTCCTAGATGGACATGCAATTGCGTCCACGAATTCCCAGCTGTGACGTGTCTCTGAGGCACCTGAGATGTCACTTCCCAGAACCCATCTCATTTGAGGACACGGCGATGGCCGAATAAACACGGACTGTACACTATACATCATTAGGTTAGATACCGCCTCAACCTTTGATCCTCTTTGTGGAATTGCCGACGCGATGCAGTGATACAAGTGGCGCGCAGTGTAGCCACACCGCATTACATAAGGTAGCAACATGGTGAATTTATACGAGCTGGTTACATCTGGCGCATATTTCATTAAACCCGTTAAACGGCCTCACGTCATGGGGTCCAAAGGTGCTAGTGCTGTATAATTCACTTAACTGTCGGGGTTTTAGGTACTCAAGAGCACCCTAATAAATTGGGTGCTTTTCCCTTCGAAAACACCCACTCTTGTCATACGCACACTTCCCAGAGATTGATCAATATTCAAACTCTTCTCACTATGTGTTGATATTTATCAGAAGCTTATCCTTCTTCCCCATTATCGAGCTCTCTCCCACGTTGACTTCACAAGTAATGGTTTTCTTTCTCACATAAACTTATTGATTAGCCAGACCTACCAATTTGTTTGCAATTCACTCACGTTTCCTTTCGTAAATGGGAAGAACTATACACAATATGTATGGAAGAGGCTTTAGCTTCAGAAGACGCGCATTCATATTTTATTAAATGGATTTTCATGCAGTGAAATTTCCCACCTGAATTCTCACTCCGCCGCTAAGCTGGAAGCATAAACAACATTTTGGTGAATTTGTCTTCACTCTCCTGAGCCTCCATTTATTCAATATATCCGAATAAATATCAATTTTCATGTACAAAAAAATGTCTGAGAAATCTCACTGAGAATTCACACACGGTGCCCACATATTTGGCATGGAGGCGGGAAAATCAATAGGATTAGGGTGGAAATTTTTCCGTTATATCGTGTTTTACGAAATCGTTCTCGATTAATTCAATAGTAGCCTCTGCTCCTCTGAAGTATTTGTTCATCCATTATTTTCCGGTGGAGCAAAGAGATTGTTTAATATTTGAATAGTGTGGTAGAGAAAATACAATTTTTCCCCTCTAATAGACCATAAATTGACTCCTAATGACGTTATGTCCACCAGCGGGACCACTAATGCGTAGGTGCACAAAATGTATTGCGTAAGGCAGTCGAACGTTCGCTGGGTTATGCAAAATTCATATTTTTAGAGAAACAAAGGTGGAAAAATCCGTGCACAGTGAAAGAGTGTCATTTTGGGTTAATACCATAAACTTTTCCTCCGCAGTCCCAAATGTGTTTCTTAAAAAAGTACACATACACAAGAAGGTAAAAAATAGAGGCAGCCACACAATAGGAGAAGCCATGGAAGGAAATTATTATCCTGGTGGGAAGTATAATATTTCCGGGTTTATTTGGGGGGCAGGGCGCAAAATAAAAGACTGTGAATTCATGGGTGGAAAAGGAAGGCAGTAAAATCCTCTCTTCTCAGCAACTCCCTGGCATGGGAGTGAAATTTAACTGGGGAATACTTCTGTTAATCACAGTTGGAGATTTTTCCATGCGATACAACGGGGTTGAAGTGTTGTGTAAGAGAAAAAAAATTCGATGAATGTCAACATGCAAACATTAAATGAATATTTTCTACTCATGTGCAAATACCAATCTCGGTGAGAGATGAATGGATAATTTCAGCATAGCAAACCAAGAGAATAACCCTGGTTTAATATTTATTTGTAAGCAAACAGAGACCCTCTCTATGGTGGGGAAATATTGTTCTAATTTCTGCTAATTATTTCTGCACATAAGCTAATTATCGCAACATAGAGGAATTATTTTGTGGCTCCCAAACCCAACATCCAGCAGAGAACTCATGGGAACACAAACAAATGTATGAGAATTGTGGTCGGATAATTCTCTCCAGGAGAGAGAGAGATATTCGAGGTATTACAGCAACTGACAAATTACTCTGAAACACCTCTGAATACTCTAAATATGTATTCGCGAAGAGGCACAAAATGCAACTTACCGCCATTGTTAAATTTACTTGGCAAAAAAGAAATGAAATATGTGAAATATACACATTTATTTAAGAATCCTCAGTAAGACTTGTACTCTGGAATTTCCAGATACAGTGGAAAGAAGAGAAAACTGAAATTGCACGTGTAGTCTTGAGACTCAGCAGAAAAAGGCGGAGAATAAAATGTGTGGAGATAAATGTTGTCGGAAAATATTCCAACAAATTTGCAAGAAATGGCAAACTTTCTTTTGTGCTATT